CCACTGCATTGCGTTAGTAGTGCGATGAGACAAGTAAAATAATACACGTATACACGTAGGACAACGTACGGTTGTAGGTTGCTGAAGGCGTTGCGCAAAAGGTTGGCGACGTAGTTGGTCAGGAACTCGCGGTTGGGCGTGTTGGCCTGCGCCTGGTCTGGCTGGTAGATAGGGCCCTGGATCTTGGGAGCCGAGCCATCAGCGGGATCGACGAGGTAGAACATTCGCACCAGGAGCGAGGACTGGGTCTTGAAGCCTGCCTTGTGGTCTGTGTCGGTGAGAACGTAGAATACGTCCTGCAGGATGAGAATGAAGAACTGGTTGAAAAACGCGTTGGCAGTCGATGTGTCCGTCTTCTCGGCGACGTTGTTGATCAGCTCCAGGCACATACCCAGACCGGCGGCCTCGACGTCGCGGTTGTCGTGCTTGCTAGCCCACAGGCAGGCATCGATGACAAACTTGAACTGGCGGTTGTCGAGCTTCAGGAGCGCTGGGAAGCAGTGCAGGTTAATAGCCCGCAGCAGATTGAAAAACTCCACACGGTGCTCGGGGAACTCGGAGAAATCCTTGTTGATCATCTCCAGCGTGCACTCGAACACGTTCTCCATGATGATGGGCACCTGGTCTTCCATCAGGCTGCCCAGCTTTGAGATGATGGCTGCCATTGCCTTCAGCACCTCTGCGTCGCGGGCGTTGGGGACGTTCCGGTTGTAATCGACCAAAACCGAGTCGAGCAGCTGCGGGACCATCTGCGTGCGCACTGCCGGGAGCTCCTCGGCCTTGTCGACAAACACCTCGATGAGCTTCAAAATCTCCTTCTTGATTGTCCGCAGACCGCGGACCTTGGGCGTCTTGGGCGCAATTTCTCCTGCAAAATGTTAGCATATCCCAGCTTGGGGTTGTTTTCTTTTACTAAAAAATAATAATGATAAATCCTGTCGTGTGCTTACCGTCACGAGCTACAGCCTCCGAGATAAGTTGGCTGGTGGCGCGGTACATCTGGAGGAGGTCAAGGTAGATGCGGCCGATCTGGGGGTAAAAGTAAGGACCGATCGATGTGCACGCGGCAACGTTGGTCTTCATGATGTTGCCAATAATCTTGATCGTGTCGGAGTCCTGGAGGATGGAAGGATCCGCTGTGGCTGACTTGATGATCTGGTCCCATGCGCTGTTGGGTAGCGCCATGAGGTCGGAAAGCAGACGCTCCTGCTGGCTACGGTTGCCCTGTGCAGAAACCATATAACCACAGGCCTCGTAGAAGGTGTGCACCTGCTGCGGCGTCAGGTCGCAGGTGATTTTCTGGAGGTTCCGAACAATCTCATCGATGAACGGCTCCTGCTCGCTAGGCTGAAGGGCGACAAAATGGCGGCGGCACTGTTTGGCAATCTTGATGAATGTGTCACAGGCCATGTCCTGCACGCCCTCATGGGATTCGTGCATGAATTCGAACAGTTTGTTGACGACCGTCTTCAGGAACTTCCAGTGGGCCTTCAGGAAGCGAGGATACTGGCCGACAATGTACATAATGTTACTCGCGACGACAGCCTTGTTGTCCTTGCCGCGCTTCATTTCCGTAAGGCCCAGGAGGTCCTTGATGACGGTAACTAAGAACCGCTTCTCCGTCTCTTCGTTCATGGCCAGCGAGATGGAACCAATGGCCCAGCAGAGCACATTGCAGTTATGCCATGACCACTCCGAGCCGTCGACCTGGCGCGCGAGTTTCTCCGTCATGATTTGCTCTGTGTCGACAACGTCGAGATGTGTGAGGTAGACAAGACACTCGCGGATGGTCTTGTACAGCTGCACGGTGTCACTTTCCTTGACAAACTCACGAACAATCTCGCCCTCGTCGTTCTCGACAATCAGCACCTCCTCAGGACGCACCATCTTCTCGATCATAACGATGCGGAGGTTGGACAGGATCTCCTTGTACTTGTGCTTCCGCAGAGGGTAGTTGTTCAGGAGGGCCGGGTTGGGTGCGCCGTTCGAGGTAAGAGTGCCCATGGCGAGAAGAGGGTTCGCCTCGGACATGGGAAGAGACTGCATCTCCTCGTACAGCTCCTGGACAAGCTTCAGCCAGTAGTCGAGGGTGATTTTGAAGATCTCACGGTCGTCAATCTGGGAGATGCGAATGAGGTAGAAATGGGCGTGGGTGAGGAAGTCGCGGTTTGGTAGATTCTCGATGAGCTGGGTGGTACAAGCCATTGGTCAGTACATGCCCTGAAATGTGCACTGGGCATCAGGAGTATCAGGACGGCGAAATACATACGTTGAGATGCATGGTGAAGAAATTGCACAAAAAGAGTGCCAGGTTCTGCACGAATTCCTGATCCCGAGAATTGCTTTGCGGGTAGGTCGTCTTCAGGTCCATGGACAAGGGAATGATGGTGGCAATGGTCGTGAGGACCTCAGTGAACATCTTGATGAGCTGTTCGTCGTAGTTGCCTACTTGGCCCGGACCCGACGTCTGCAGACCGCCGATCTCGGTCAGGCACTGCAGCGTGATGTTGCGGAACTCGGGAACCTCAAGGAAACGTGTGCGGAGGGTGTCGATGAGGGGCGTCTCGAAAATGTAACCGAGAGGGATCCAGTTGCAGAAGCGCAGCAGGGTCTCGAGGGTCGCCTTCACCAGACTGGTCTGGGTGGCCGTGTTGAGAATCTCGGTGCAGAGCTGGAAGATCTGCGAGAACTCGGCACACATGGTGGTCTTGAGGTTGCGCGTCTTTGTAGACGTCATCTGCTCGGCGGAATAGTCAAAGACCTCCTCGGAGAGGAGGCGCAAGATGATCATGTTGTTCTCGCAAATCGACAAACTCGAGCGGCAGGCGGTAATGATCTCGTTGATGAACGTAGGCCAGTTGTGCGGCCACTCCTGCTTCAGGATCGAGATCAGGACAAGGTTGAGCTTGTTCAACAGCGTCTTGTGTTCGCGCAGGGCCTCTTCCGAGTCGGAGCTCTGGATAATAAACTGCACGACAAAGTTGCGGATACCTTGACACTGTTCCCGCGGCAGGACCTTCCATCTCGTCATAATGACATGGTCGAGCACCTGCAGCGCCAGGAACTTTGTTTGCGGGTACGTGGCCTCAGAAAGGATTTTGTCGACGATGAGCCAGGCGTCAGGATCCTCTTTGAATTGGTTCAGGGCGCTCTCGGCAGCTTTTTGCTAAAGCAGAGAAAGGCGAGGCATACGTTAGCTACGGGACAAGGCACGACAAGCGGCACGAGGAGGAAAACAAATCACAAGGCCGAGAAAGACATACCTGCTCGCCGCGGCCTTCATAGAAGGCGCGCACGACCGAATCGAGCTCTGCCACGGTGGGGGCCATCGCGGGAGAGGTTCCCAAGGGAGATTATATCAAATGCGAAAAGAGTGTGTCGAGGATGGGCACGGGTGTTTGCCAGGAAAGGCCCAGCAAACCAGAGCTGCAGTTGGAGATCTAGACCCAGTAAGCGATTACGCGACGTTACAGGCTGCAATGGGTGCTCATGTAGGTCGGATCGAAGAGAGGGTTAGAGGGGTTAGACGACTGCTTCGTGAGGTAAGTAGAAGGACGAGGTACGGCAAGCTCGAGAGTGGCGAGATTTTGTTGTCCAGAGAAGGCTGTCGGAGGTGGGGGGGGGGGGGGGGGGGGACAGGATTGGCCGGGTGGATGCGCTGGGCGGAGCTTTTGTATGCAAATGGCCTTGGATGTTTCGAGAAAGTGAGGACGTGCCAAAGCTGAATGTCTCAACCAAAACAAAGCCTTAGATTGAAAGAAAGGGAACAAATGGAGGAGTTGTCGGCACAATAAGTCGAGTTGTAAGAAGCGATACAAGAGCAGCGCTCGCGAGACAAGCAACGCGCTCGCTGTCTAACGCGTTTCGATTTCGTTGGCTGCTAGACTGCGTGTGGTGAAGGGTGTGGAGAAGGGTGTGGTGGTGGAGGAGTCAAAGCAGAATGTTGTGGGGGTTTCGGTGAGGTTGTAGGCGAGGAAATGCTGTCGGAGGAGAGAGGAGCCTTCGTGATGATGTCGTCGGCAGGTGCAGGGTCGGCAGAAAGAGTGCGCATGGGGGGAGGGAGAGTGAAAAAGGAAGGATCGAGATGGGAGGGACGAAAGGGTAGGAACGAGTGTCGTGCGTAGGCGGAGACTGGGAGAAGGAAAAGTGAGGTGGCGGGGTCTCTGGGAGGGCAAGCGGTAAGATACGGTTAGCAACAGCAGCAGGCAAGAGCGACAGGCAAAGTTAATCGACTTTGGCGGGACTGGCGCAGCAAGAAACAGCACCACAACAGCAAGAGCACAGCAAGAGGACAGCAGCGGAAAGGGAAGGCGAGAGGGGCGGAGGCCCGGTATGGAGACAACGCAGGGCTACGGGAGGCACAGAAGAAGCCAGGCCGTGAACCAGGCATAACCATGACCGGCAGCTTTGGACAGCCCCGCGATTTTTCACATTTGATTAGCAACCTGGCGCTACTGGAGCTGCGTCTTGGGGGGAGTTGGGAGCTGATGGAGGGAAGCTCTGTGGCTTTTTGCTGCGAAGAGGGGATTGGGCGCCGGGTTTCGTTGGGCCGTTTTGACCGTTCGCCCCTCTCCTTCCACCGGCTGAGAGCGCGTGAACGCAATGTACCTGGTCTGCACTTTTGAAGGCACCGCTACTTGCGACCTTCTCACTTCCTGTTATTAGTAATTTGGTAGGGCGAAGTTGGAACGACTTGACCACTCTATGCTGGGCAGTGCAAAAGACTGTCGGTCGGCGACTTTTCACACGAAACGCACCTGGAAACCAGGGGGTTCTGGACTTGTAAATTCTGTGTCTGTGTTCAATTTAATTGTGATCGAGGTGGACTTAACAAACCTCATTACGTCCTTGTAACACAAACTCTCAAAGACAATTATGACCCTTGCGACCCTGCCGTAAGCCGTTTACACAATCAGACAAAATAAAGCATAACCTTTGGTATTCGGATCAATTGATGGAGACCTTGACAGGGATAGTATCTACTTTCTACAGAGCTCGATCTACGCTTTTTGGTAACCAAACTCGGCCAAACTCTCCTCGAGCGCCTTGAGGGCACGCTCGACGTGGCCTCTCTCGGGCTCCAGCTGTGACGGTCGTTAGTCTGTGCAGTGGTTGATGGGACGACCCGACTGGGCAGGACACATGGACCGCGTGGAATCGACTTACAATGCTGACACCCATGTGGCCAAAACGAATGTACTTGGTGGCAATTTCCTTGTGGATGCCGCCGGCAAAGACAACGTTCTTCTTGCCCAGGCTGGGCAGGATCTGCGCGATCTGGATCGACTCCGGCAGGTAGATGGCGGTCATGGCGTGCGCCTGGTCCTCGGGATTCGAGGCGACCTGCTTCAGGCCCAGGCTGGTGATGGCGGCCTTGATCCTGTCCGAGGCCGCCTTGTGCTTGGCGAAGCGCTCCGCCAGGGGCACAGAGAGGATCTGGCCCAGGGAGGTGTGGAGGGCGTGAACGAGCTGGGGGGACGGCGTCGCAAAGTAGGACGGCTTCTTGGCCTCGTAGTTTCTCATAATCGGCAGCCAGTTTTGGGTCGACGCATAGTACGCGGCGGGCGGCGTCTTGCGGCTTTCCACAGCCCGGAGGGCGCGGCCACTGAAGAAGGAGATGGACAGCCCAGCGGGGACGCCAATGGCCTTCTGGCTGGCCGTGACGACACCGTCCAGCTTCCAGTCGTCAAAGGCAATTTCCTCGCAGGCGACCGAGCACACGCCGTCCACAATGACGAGCGTGTCCGGCGAGACGCGGTGGACGAGCTCGGACAGGTTGCGGAGCTCGCTCAGGACGCCGGTGGAGGTATCGACGTGCGTGACGGTCAGCAGCTTATACTGCTTCGCCTTGAGGGCGGCCTCGATGTCGGGCAGCTGGGGGCGACTGCCGACGGGAGCCTTGAGCTCCGTGACATCAGCGCCGTAGGTGCGGAGGGCGTTGGCGAAGCCGTCGCTGAAGTAGCCCGTGCCGAGGACGAGGGCGGCCTCGCCCTTCTCGATCAGGTTGGCACCGACAATGTCCCAGCCAAGGGTACCGGAGCCGGAGATAACAAACGGCTGAGCGGCCGGGTCGGTGGACTGGAAGAGTTTGCGGAGGCCCGAGAGGACTTCGCCGAAGACGGAAACAAATGCCGGGCCGACATGGCTCTCGCTGTGACAGTTAGATGAGGGTGTTCTCGTACGTCAAGGAAGGCCGCGCGACGATGGGAAAAAAGACGTCACGACAGAAAACAATTGCAAAACGAAGAACATATCCGTCCTCTCCCCCCCTCCCCCCCCCACCCAAAAAAATCACATGCAGAAGCCGCCGACGGGGAACGAAAGCAATGCCGATCGAGGCCGAACATTACCTGTAGTGGCTCATGGAGTTGAGGACGGCATCATCGAACTCAATGGGGCCCGGAATGAGCAGTGTGGGGTGATCCGACTGTGACGACATTTTGGGCGATGAAGCGGTAGTTGCGGTATGAAGACGACGGGTGACTGTTGATGTTGACGGGGTGGGCGAGGAATAAGTAGTAGACGGTCGATAAGCCGAGGAGGCGGACAAGTGCCCAGCAATCCCTGCTAACCGATGTACAGAGGGGCTGTCGTCGGTGACACGGCGATGGGGGGGGACCATAATTCTGGCAGCAGTAGCGCCGCTGTGGAAGGCGCGTTGGGTTCCGCCTTCGCCTGTGATTGCCGTCGCAGAACTTGCTGCTGGCGTGCCTGCTGCTCCTGCCTGACTTAGTAATATTGCCTTGCAAGTGGCTGAAGACGACCACGGCCACGCACTAAGGAAGGTACTTTGTTGGCGACTCGGCAGGAAGGGACAAGGCCAGCGCGCACGACGGACGATGGTGAGAGGCTGCATTGTGAACGGGGGAGAGGAGACAAAAGCAGAGGAGGTAGACGACCCGGAGGCATTAAAAAAGGAAAATAAATCCGGAGAATTGCGTCAATTGGGCGGCACGGCGCTGTTTTCCACGGATAAACAGGTGCGGCGGGCTTGGGCAGTGTTCAGTTGTTCCTTCCTCCGCTGGGTGGCGCTTTCCCTTCTCAAAGTCCTGCGGGTTGTGCCTGCCCGCCTGTCTTTTGGAGGTTGCGCTTTTATGATGCCTCCGGGATTAAAGAACCCCTTCACGAGAGTGTAGGCCCTAAATCTCCGAACGAACGCCGTCCGCCAAAGGCACTCTCAGGCACTCTCTGGTGAGCCGGTTCATCATACGGAGAGGAGCGAATTTGGCGGCTCCCACGCGCTGCCCCATAAAAGACGACAGCCCCGCCCGAGAGGGGTCGTCCACTGATGCTCGGTTCTCCATTGTTGCCCCCGGTTCCGATTTTCGGGGTCGTTTTCAGGCCCTGTGGCTTGGTGTCCAGCGATGTCCTAGTGGCTGATGAAAATTTGGGGGAAAAGGGAAGGTGGAGTGCTGGAGCTTGCCTTCTTGGGAAAGCTTTCCAGAAGAGGCAGCAACGCGGCCCCAGCCACTCTGTCGCTTACGTGCCACTAGCAAGCGACAATTCCAGGCAGGGGCGATTGGGCCACGGCATGCGACGGGATACTCCCTCTCTCAACCGCATTCGTCGACAGCCCCTTCTCTGGCAAAACAGCAACTGGCGACAGCAAAGGCAAAAGCAACCCTCGTGCGCACCCTCTTTCTCATCTAGACCCGCTGCAGACCGCCTGCGTCGACCGCGAATCGGCTGCGAAGCAACGGAACTGGGCGGCTCGTCTTGCCCCCCCTCCCCGTGTTGGCGCCCTCGGAGTGCACCGACACTCGCTCCATACACTGCGGACTCGCCATTGAACAAAAGGACACACCAGTCTAGCGGGCGTCCTGCAGTCACCATGGCGTTCCTCATTCTCGTCATCGGCGACCTGCACATCCCAGACCGGGCACTGGACATTCCAGCAAAGGTAGGCTTGCCAGCGTTTCCTGATCGAGCGGATTGCCCCCCCCCCCTCCTCTCTCTCGCTGCGTTCTGTGCGCTCTAACACGGCGTCCTCGTTTGACAGTTCAAGAAGCTTCTTGCCCCCGGAAAGATTGGCCAGACCCTTTGTCTCGGCAACCTCACCGACAAGCACACCTACGAGTACCTCCGGTCCGTGGCGCCGGATCTCAAGATTGTCAAGGGCCGCTTCGACGTCGAGGCCACCGCCCTGCCCCTGACCCAGGTCGTCACCCACGGCGCCATCCGCGTGGGTTTCCTCGAAGGCTTCACGCTCGTTAGCAACGAGCCCGACCTGCTGCTGGCCGAAGCCAATCGCCTGGACGTGGACGTGCTCTGCTGGGGCGGCACCCACAAGTTTGAATGTTTCGAGTACATGGACAAGTTCTTCATCAATCCTGGCAGCGCAACGGGCGCCTACTTTTCTGGCTGGGGCGGTGATGGGGACAAGCCCGAGGATGAGGTCGTGCCGAGCTTCTGCCTCATGGACGTCCAGGGCATCTCGCTTACGTTGTATGTCTACCAACTGCGCAAAGACGCCAATGGCACGGAGAGCGTTGCAGTGGAGAAGGTGACATACTCAAAGCCTGTGCAGCCGACAGGATCGGCCGCATAGCGCGGGGACGAGAAAGGGGGGGGGGGGGGGGGGGGGAAATAACCTTTGATGTCTGTGCTTTCTGGCTTCTGGCTTTCAGTTCGTTTGTTGTTGGCGTTTCGTTTTTATCTTGTAGCAGACGTGAGTAACTTGCTATTTTACGTTTACCTTTCCGGCGATGACACCTGTATATACCACTTTTACCAGGCAAATGTCTGTTTGAGTCACCGACGGGTTTCGCTCTGGCCAGAAGAAAGCTGTTGATGCATGCCATGTAGTACAAGGATGGTATTTTGAGAGTTTCATCAAAGCTTGTCACAGTAAGGCATTCCATTAAAAACAGAGAAAATGAGTGGCAAATAGGATATCCTAAAACAATAAAACGGTCGGCCGCGGTCGCAATCGCAGTTTCCACATACAACGGAAGCAACAAATGCAAGTAAACCAAGGAGAGCCAAAAAGAAAACATAAAAAGCAGGAATCTGAAGGCAAGGAATGACAACGCAAAAACAAGGAGCGTTGTTCGTATAAATAAACAAGGACAACGCCGAAACACCATGCTCGCGTCTGGCCACTTGAGTGTGGTGTTCTACTCCATCGTCTCAATCATTATAGCATCATGCTCCGTCGCCGTGATATCCTGTCCCGTGTTGATAGTGCCCGGCCCTCTATGGCTTGGCCGTCATCTCTTTCTGCAGGTGGCTCGTAGGAGGAGTCGGCAGCATCTTCTTCGTCGTCTTCGAGCATAGATCCCCGTTTCATCCCAACCATTGACGCACGCTTGCGTGCTGCTGATGGTCGGGTATGCCGATCCGCCGACGCAGTGCCATCTTCCCGTGTATTTGTCGTCGAAGACCGCCGCGTGGTTTTGAGGGAAGCCCGAGAAGAAGCCGACTTTCTTGATCCGCCTCTCGCCTTGCCCATGCTAGCTTCGCACTCCTCGTCCTCGGCCTCTTGGGATGGAGATGAAGCGACCGTGAATTCATATGGGTCCTGATCAGCCGCTGACCTGTTTGTCCCCTCAGCTTCGGAATCGGGCTTGTTGATTGCCTTTTGCTCGCCGACTGACGACGCTCGTGGCTGGCGCTTGTCCGAATCCGTGACGAGCTGAGTCTGTGCAGCCTTGTCCTCCCTAGGTTGTTGCTCGTGGGGCCGCGGAACTAGCAAATCGGATTTCGCAACCGTGGTCATCGCTGCTATATCTTGGCCATCTTGGTGGGGCTGGTGACTCTGGCGCTGAACATATTTCCCCTCGCCTGCGACGGCGTCGAAGAGTTCCTTTGTCGGACGTCGCATTTTGTCCCGCAGGTTGGGCTCTGCATAGCTGACCGAGGCGCGTGATCGTCTATTAGGCCGAGACGTCTCGCCATGGGAGGAAATGTCAGCCGGCGGCGGGGTGTCGCGGCCTTCAACGTGGGTAGGCACGAGGCGCTGAGAGGTGAGAATTGTTGCCGTTGCAGGGGGTGGTGTACAAGGACACGGGGCTTCTGGTTCAAGTTCGGGCAATGGCTCGCTGTCGACATCGACGTGTCCTGGTGCTTGGTCATTAGAGGGCAAAGGTGTAGTAGGCTTGCGGGTGTTGTCGCTCTTGTCATCATTGACCTTGACGTCAACAGCAGCCGGTGATGTTGTGTCCGGGATATCCACGACCAAGGGCGACTTCATGCGGTTCCGCATACGGCCTCCAAGTTGTACCGCTTTGTGGGTGTTTCCGTTGCCTCCCTTGTGCTTTCCGGATGCGTCGTTCAGAGCCTGCTTCCGAGGCGACGAGATGTCTTCATTTGCGTTCTTTGCAGCCAGGGGCTTTCTTCCTCCCACGGTAGTCTTGACGTCGCCGTGAGTCTCATTCGACTCCTTACGACTGTTGACGAGGCTTCTTATGCTCCTCGGATTTTTCAGCTCCCGTGTTGGCACACTGCGATCAATCGGTGCCGACGCCTTGCCAAGCGCCTCCCCGGCCTTCATCCCACGAGCAACAGCGTTCTCATCATTGACAGCGAACTTCCTCTTTCCAGCGGGTTTTGAAGACGGGGTCGAAGCCGCTGCAGCTGGTGCAGCGGGGGCGGCAGAGGTTGGGGCAGCAGAAGTTTCGAGCGCCGATGATGGTTCTACCGTTTTTGCGTTTGTGCTTACGGTGCGAATGGTAGCGGCCGTCGTCTCGGGCTCGGATTTCGACTTTGCGATACTGGGAGGTGGTGCTGGTTGCGAGACCTTGGCTACAGGTACTTCCTCCGCATTGCTGCCATTGGAAGGCTCTTTCACTGTAGCAGTTGTCTTGAGCTTCGGTGCGGGCTCAGCTTTCTGGACGGTGTTCTCCGTTGTTTTCTTCGTCGGGTCCACTGAAATCGTCCGGTCAACGTGGAGGAGGCGAGAGACTGGCGGAGGGCCAAGCACGGGGGAACCAGCCGTTTCACTCTCGTCGGACGGGATGGCGAGGATTTCGTCTCGGCTAGGAGTATCCGTCAGCACTACGAGCAAGTGAGGACAATTCATAAGACACAAAACCCAGGACGTACCTGAGAGTCTTCCGCGGGAAGCTCTTAGTTTCGTAGATTGGCGGCAGGCGGCCTTCTTGGATTGCAAGACTCTCTGCCTCGCTCGGCGAAAGAGCAGGCGGTTTTCTCTGCAGCGGCGACACGGCCTCCCTCGAAAGGCTCAGTCTTGCGGGCTTATCGGCGCGTCGTAGAGCCACGGGCGACTGTCTCTTGGCCGGTGGTTCGAGGCCAAAGGTGGCAAGGAGAGAGCCCAATTCGAAGAGCTGGGCCTCCATCTTTTGCTTTATTTGCAGGGCATGGTCGGCCACGCGCTGGGACTTGTTGTCGTCGATCTCCTTTTCAAGGCGCAAGACCTGACCACGCAGCTCCAGGTTTTCGGACAGGAGTCGTGCGCATTCGTTTTCGAGGCCGCGGATGCGAAGCGACTGGTTCGAGTTGACACGGGCGATGTCTCTGTTCTGGCGCAGGAACTTGCGCCGCACTGCTTATGTTAACAAAGGAGACAAGTCCAAGGAGGCAAAGATGTCTTCCAAAGAGAAAAAAAAAACAATGGCTTCACGCACAGTTGTCGTAGCTATCGACCAGCGCAGGGGGTTCGTTCAGTCGCGCCATCTCTCATTACGGTGAGGAGACCGACGTAGAGAAAAGAGGACGACAGCAATATCGTGGAGTGTGTCGAGCAATGGCGAAGCGGTGCCGGAGGGGAAGAGTGCGAGAGGAAGTGGTGTCGTCGTTGTCCAAGGGCGGAATTTGGTCGCGCGACAAAAGCTCGCGATTCGAAGCTGCTTTGTTAGTACTTCCGATGCCTGCAAACAACAGGCCGTTTTTTTCTGTCCCGGGCCGTTTTGTCTACCGCCGGTTGTATGGTGCCTGGTGCCATTGGCACCTTCTCGATTAATTTTACGGGGTGTTGTTTACGCCAATCTTATTTGGGCAGGAGGGTTGGCCGGGCAGCCCCAATCTGGCTGGGCCGGTAATGTGGCGAGTGTGGCTCACCACGCACAAGCCACATTCCAATCAACAATGCCCCGCCATACAGTTGCGACTTCCAAAGTCGCGTAATAGTGGCTGTTCGATATCCAATGGACCAGCTTGCTTGCTCCCGTTTGCTGTCAACAGCTTTTGGCAACATCCGACGCGCCACAACGTACAGCTAGTATAAAGTGCATACAGATGCGGCGACAATGGCCTTTTCTTCACGATCGATACCGTCTGGGCACCTGCGGCAGACATCTGTGTCTGGCGCATCGACAGGCATGTCGCTCCAGGCGCGCGTCAACGAAAAGCGCGAGGAGCTCGAGAACCTGAAGCAGCTGCGCGACCTCAGTGCTGCGGTGGCCTCGCAAATGGAGGCGCTCGAAGAGAAGCTGTCGACACTGTCTGACGGAACCGAAGGTATGCAAATTGAGCGGCGACAGCGCCGGATGCTCTTGACCGGTTCGAGACTGATGGCTAACAGTAGCATCGCAGCGATTGCAACCGTAATGGCCAACTGGCATAATGTGCTGCGGGCAATCAATATGGCATCAAGTAGGTTGTCTGCATGTGGGCATATTTACACGTTTTTGTTGGCATTCTGGATCTCTAACACAATGAAGCAAAACTGCCCCGGGCGCCGACAGAGAACGAGGACAGCTCCGTTTCCCTTCCGCAGATGCTCGTGCGCATTCCCACGGAACACGCTCCGAGCCTGCAAGCACAAGCAGACGAGGCCGCTGCCGCCGCTGCCGCTTTGGAAGAAGAGGGCGAGGCATCATGAGGCTCATGGCGGGTCCCAGACTTGGCCCCCTACTTTTGAAAAGAGCTGCCCAGCACAAGGGAAGCCACGCCCACGCCAGTTATTTGTTGCTCCAGACCGTCAGCTACGGACGCTACCAACCACGTCAGAAGGCCCATGGTCGCTGTCCGTCGCGCCTCTGTTACCAAGCGGCCAAAATGGTCGCCGTTGCCAAACTGGCTCTGAAAGTTGGTGGTGCGTACCCCACTTTCGTCAACGGCTCAAACCAGCAACGCGTTGTCGGCAAGTCGCGTCAAAAACGCGTTTATTAGTCATATTTGGCTGTTTACAGGTTCGAAACAAAACCTTTCCAACAGGTGTTTCTGGTAGATTCGCAGAAAGGTTGAGGGAACGTTATATGACAAGACGATAATTGTATGAATAATGAACATATTGAACAACAAAGCAGTCCGCGTCGTATGACTCTGTACAACATATGTGTCCCCTCGACTGCACTCGCCGTCTCAGCTGCGAAGGCAATAAATAATAGCCGACTTATTGAGTGTCAAGAGCACTCGCACTGCGTACGATCATTATGGAAGGAGTTTGATGGACTTGCAGAAGCGTGTGCTCCGTCATCATCTCTGTTGCACTTGCCGTCCCACCTGCACCTTCCCGCACTCGCAACGCGACTATTTGTTGTCAACACGGAAGGTGCGCGAAAAAGCTGCAGGAGGGCAAGAAAACGGAAGGAGCGAACAGCTTTCGGTTGCCCAAAAATAAACAAAATCTACGATCGGGGAGCAACACAAAAACGCAACATCTCCACTTCAACTAACGCTTCCCTCTGCTTCAAAACTCTTCTACAAACCTATCTCTACAACCTCCAATCGCCGTGACACATTTGCATTTTAGCCTCATGTTTCTGGCAATCAATCACACCAAACCCGAAGGCATAAGAGCGCCGAATATCAGCAGCGAGCCGTTTCACGACTCGCGACCACCCCTGGCCCCGAGTTGGCGCTTTTCCCAATTCCCTCTCCCACGAAATTGCTGCCCCCTTGTGCCCTTTCCACAACCCCCTGCTCATACCGAAAACCCGTTTCCTTTCTTTTGGCCAAAGGGGCCCAGCTCCCAGGACCAACCCGTTAGCGTTGGTTTCATTGGAATTTGATCTCGTCTTCCACGCGGTTGACGCTGATTGAGGCGCACTGTTTCAAAGATTCCACCCCCCTCGCTGGTCTGACCCCTCTGAAGAATAAATCCGGGACCCCTTTTCTTCATTGAGTCGCAGAAAAGGGCGACGTCCCTGCCTCGAAGGCCCTCGACCACATGGCCCCCCAACTACAGCCCACAAATCATGCTGGTTTCGTGACGGGTTCTGAGAACGTCAGTCCTTCCAGACTTGTTGGAGCACCTTCGACGCCTACGATCTCGGATGACAAGGAGCCCAATACGCCCGTTCGTTCATCTTATCTGGAGGAACTGAGCATTGGAGCGTTGCAGAATGTACAGAACCTAGCACAGGTTATTACTTCACGCAACCGGCATCCCAAGGCCAAGGCCGACGTCCACGTTCCAGCAAGCATCGCCACCCCAGACTCGCTGGCCGACGTTCTGAGTAACTTTCACATTTACAGCCCTCCCGAGAAGGAAGCGGTCACTTCGGAACTCTGCAAGGTCACTGTACGGCAGACGCAAGAGACCGTTTCTGCGTCGCCACATAGCCCCAAGCTGCAGCTGCAGAAATCGGCCCGCAACGCAAAGCACGCCCACTTCGCTCTTCCGGAACAACCTTGCGACAGTGTCGAAGGAGGTTCAAGTCTGACAGGTACGTGTAACCACCCAGTAGTATTTAGCAGCCCGATGCCATGATTGACATGCGATGCGTCCAGGTTCAGTCAGGCGCGAGTCATTTTCTGCGCTTTTATCGGAGTCTGATGTACAGTCCACCATTCAACAGCACGACGCAAAGAACTTTAACTGGATTCTCTCTCTCCCTCGCGACGCTGGCAATTTCGTTGGAGATAAGCACTTGCGCCGCATTTGCTCGGCTGCCGATCTGGCAGACAGCGCCAGTCAAGACCGAAAAGTGTACTTTGGCTGTAACATCTTGCGCCAGAGATCGCTGTCCCGAAGCTCTGTCACAGGCAGAGACCGAGCTGTCAATACATATACTCTCATTGCAACACCCTTGAGCAACCGTGCAGAGGTAAACGACATCCACGCTCCAGCAGAAACCATGATCGATACGCTCCTACCTCCAAATTCCACAGGCATGGTACCGGCGGACTTCAGCGGCCTCTCGCCCAAACCAGTTGGGGCACCACTTGACCTCGGCTCCTATGAACGGGCACAGTCCGTACCGCGTTCACCTGGAAGCTCTGTTGCGCGTATCGAGGATACCCTGGAGGAGCTGGACAGACTAGAGGACCAGTTCGAAGCGGTACATCGTATGGTTCGTGTCAAGCGCGTGGCGTCGCCAGACAAAGAGGCCTTTGACCGCCGAAGCCCGGGCCATGGCGCCGCTGACACCCAAAATTCGACTACCAAAACGGGCACTGTTCGCTCAAGACCCTCTGGCGTAGCCCGAACATCATCAGTGCGTAAGTCAGCCGGCGCCCCTGACCCGGCGACGAAGTCAACGGAGGAGACACCGGCTGCCACGACCAGCGCTGCTACGAAGAGGCTGAGTGTTGCTCGCCCGCTGAGTCTACTTCCGCCGAAACCGCCAGTAAAGTCGAGCAAGCCGCCTACAACATCGACATTTGAGCTTCCAGGTGAGGCTGTGGCACGCAGACTAAAGGAACAACGCGAGGCTCGCATGTCAGCAGCCGCTGCGGCGGCGGCTGTTGGGGCCAAACCAACCACGGCAAAGACAGGGCAGCTTCGCAAGGCTCGGTCGGTAAAGCCACCGACGATCCCAACCTTTGAGCTTCCCGGAGAAGCAATTTCTAGACGCAAGAGAGAAGAGCACGAAGCCAAGCTCAGGCGGCAAGAGGACGAAGAAAAGAAGCGGCGTGAATTCAAGGCGAGACCCGTTCGACTGAGCGTCACGCCGAGCACAGTCCCGCGTGAGACCATCTCAAGTCGTGCCCGAACGAAGCGGACCTCCATCATTGGCGAAGGCAGCATGGCAAGTGGTGGTCTAAGCGTGCCGGGGTCTGCGCCACCCGCAAACAGACGTTTGTCAGTCATCTCGTCCGATTCGGCGGGCCGTACCAACAGCTCGGGCCAAGTGACTCGTGGGCGCGGACCGGCGCTGGGATCGTCGCCCACAGCAGCCGGACAGATGAGCAGGGCTACGTCGACGTCCACTGGTAGCATCAGCGGAAAGCGGAGCACAATCTCGGTTGAAGATGTGCAGTACCAAAAGCTACGGGGCAGAGAGATTCTCCAGCGAGACAGCATCCTCTCTTCGGATCGCGACCGTGAGAAGCGGGAACGTGAAGCGATCGCCAGGCAGGCCCGTCAGGAGGCAGCTGAGAGATCTAGGGCGCTCAGCCGAGAGTGGGCCGAAAAACAGAAGCTGAAGGCCAAGAAGACCACGACGGCATGAAAACAGCTGCTGACGGTAGAGACGGCCACGGGGGCCACTATGATTAACGACAAACATTCGTTCATTTCTTTTCTTTCTCTCTCTGTTTCTCCATGCCCATTTACCCCTTTGTTTCTGTGTTCAAGCACCTGTGTTTGTGCCAGTCATTGAGGCTTTCTTTTCTTGTATTATCGTCGTCCCCACCGCATACCCATTTGGGATCGATGTCATCCATTACTGGTAGCCACGCAAACGCGAGCGTGCACGTTTCCTTTGTTGGGTCTGTCTTTTGTGAGGGCGTTTTGGACAGGCTGTAGGGCACAGTGGATCGAGGGCAAAGTGAGCGGTCGAAGATCTAACTGTGGGACGAAACCAAGCGCTTTTGTTCTTGGTAGTGTTTTGAGTCTTGTTTACTTTTGAGTATGTTTGGTCTCATTGGAACAGTATTTTGCAATCAACGAATTACTCTTACCGTATCAAAGGCGACGTGAGACTTGGAAGAAAATGAGTGACTTGGGAGAACTACCTTTTCCAATTACTATACTTTCTTAAACAAGTATTGACTGTCGGTAGTTTTCATGTATTCGCAATAGCTTTTAGTAACTTTCCAGCTTTTCAAAGGCGTCATACACGCATCAAAAACCGGCAACACGCTTTTTAATAAATCCTTTCAAGGTTAAGAACGGGATGTTGTTTTAAAACAGGCTGTCGTATAGAGACGTCGTTTTCTACCACTAAAAGAGCGCGTTCAACGTCATCTTCGGTATAATCACGTGTTTTCTTATAAAAGCACACTGTGAAAAAGTTGTCATCAAATTACCCGTTATCACGGGCTCACAGCATTTGAAGTTGCTGCTTTTCGTGTTTGGTGACGGCAATTGCGAGAAATGGGGCGGTGTCCGGTGTCAGTGACCACATATTCCGAACAATGTTGCATCCTGCAGGACGGAGCACAACGACCTCGTATATGGTACAGTCCAGCAAAGCATCCTGAGCGGTCCGGCTTATTAGTGCCGATATTTTCATCATTGGAGCGGGCTAAACATGCGTCCCACACAAATGGGCCAGCATTTTGGCGTTAATACAACCTAAGCTTTGCTTTTTTGGCACAACGGAGATGCGGAGAAGCCACTACAACAAGCAGCTCACCATCCCGTAACCGGCGCGGCTGCATAGTGCCAGACAAGAAGCAATAAGCAATAAGCAAGCAACAACCGACGCGATGGGCTCGCCTTCCATCCACCTCGAGCACGCTTCCTGGCTCTCGTGGGCTTTCCTGTCGGTGGCTTTCACAGGTGCAATCGCGGCCCGATGCCTCCAGCGCCATCGGCAAACACGGATTCGACAAAGCAGCGGCGCCATGGCACCTCACACCGCCAGCGGAAAACCAGCAGCTGCCGACCTGGCCGGTCGCGCACCGCCCTGCGTGCGCCTGCCCCAGGGCACCTACGAAGGGCGCGTGGTGGCCGTTGGCCAGAACGTTGTTGAGTCGGCCGGCCTCGGCTTGGGCGTCGGCGCTGGACCAGGAGCCTCACCCTCATCTTCATCCTCCTCCTCTGGGGAGCCTCTCCCGATCCCGCAGCAGGCGGCCCTGCCGAAAGCACTCGACGTCTTCCTCGGCATCCCGTATGCAAAGTCGACGGCGGGCGGCAACCGCTTCCGGGCGCCCGAGCCCGTGGTCGTGGACGCGCGCGGCACGGGCGACCGGCACAGCCGCGTGATTCCGGCCACGCAATTGGGCCAGCGGTGCCCCGGCGTGGCGCCCAACCCGTTTGTCCCCGAGGGCGAGGACTGCCTCAACGCGAATGTGTACCGGCCCTCGTTGGCGGGACAGACGGCGGGACAGACGACGGGACAGACGACGGGCCAGGGGACGCGCATTCCTGCCGGGCCCTTGCCCGTCGTCGTCTACGTGCACGGCGGTGCCTTTAACAATGGCATGGGCGTCGAGCGCGACATGGCGAGCTTCGTGGCGTATGCAGAGCGCGACGTCGTGGGCGTCAGCTTCAACTACCGCGTCGGTGCCCTGGGCTTCCTTGGCTGGCAGACGGCTGCCGAGGACGGCAAGGACGGCAAGGACGGCGACAGCGCGGACGACAGCAGTGCACCATTGAACCTGGGCCTCCGGGATCAGCAGTTGCTCTTTTCGTGGGTGCAGAACAACATCCGCTGCTTTGGCGGCGACCCCAACAACGTCACCATCATGGGGCTGAGCGCCGGTGCGCATTCGGTGAGTCGTTCGACGTCCCTTGCACTTGCGTGTTCCGTGTTTGCTGACCCGACCACTTTTTTCTCCGTTTCTTGTATAGATTGGCCATCACATCCTTCACTACCCCCCTGGCAAGGCGCCTTTCCACAAGGCCATCCTCGAGTCCGGCGCGCCCACGGCCCGCTCCCTGTGGAGCCCGGACCACCCGCGGCCTCGGGCGCAGCTGCGTGCGTTCCTCGTGGCCGCCGGCGCACAGGAGCATCGCGACATCCTCGCGTACCTGCGCGGCCTGCCGCTGTCGACCATCGTCGCCGCCAGCCGCACGGTCTGGAACGACTACGCCGCCAGCGTCTGCTGGCCGTTCCAGCCCGTCGTGGACGGCCATGTGATTCGCCAGACGCCTCTGCGCGCCTGGCAAGCCGGCTTTGCACCCCGTATTCCCGTCATGACCGGCTTCAACACCAACGAGGGGACCCTGTTTGTGCCGGGCGACGCCGGCCGCGCCGACACCGATGCCGACTTCCGCACGTTCTTTGCCGACCTCGTCCCCGGCCTGACGAGCGACGACCTCGACGAGCTGGCGCGCGTGTACCCGGACCCCGTCACACACCCCGAGACCTCGCCGTACGTCATGCCGGAACCCTACCCGCCGGGCGTCACCGGCCGCCAGTGGGCCCGCCTCGAGGCCGCGTACGCCCACTATGCCTACATCTGCCCCGTCCTGCAGACGGCGCACTACCTGTCGACGAACCCCGCCAACAGCAACGTGTACCTGTACGAGTATGCGGCGCGCGCCTTGCACTGGAACACGGCCAACCACGGCGACAACCAGTCGTGCGTGGCGCACAGCATGGCCGTGCTGCGGGGCCACCCGGGCCTGCTGGCCGTGGCCGACGCCATGCACGGCGCGTGGGTGCGGTTTGCCGCCAGCCCCGTCGGCAACCCCAATGGGGACGGCGAACAGGGCGCCGCTGGCGCCGCGGCTGTGCCGTGGGCGCCCTTCGTGTCCCCTTTTTCACGGGCAAGCGGTGACGGCAAAGGTTTGCTCATGGTGTTTGGGCAGGGCAACGACGAGCGGGTGCCGCCCGAACAACGCACGGGTGGGCCCGAGGCGAAGCCGGGCACGGCAGCGGCCCTCCGGAGCCTCTCCGACTATGAACTGGCACAGTGCCGCTTCTGGTGGGACCGGACGGCGCTGAGCGAAGGCGACGGCCAGCGGGACCGTTTGGATACCAAACGCGGCGCGGTTCAGAGCCACCTGTAGGGCGGTATATTACTTTCGACACATATCCAAAGTACATAATGATAGCACGTAGTCACAGACGTTTTTGAAAGTATGCTGTATACCAATTAGAAAAGTGTGGATGATATGCTGCTCTCTCACGTATTCAAAAAGGAATAGAAAAAGAAGAGCATGTTGTCTCCCTCAGCTATCCCCCAAGTGAACAAAAGCAGTCAAACGACGCTGCATACACCAAAAACTAAATTAAATAAATAGATGAAAACGCAGGGAAAGACATATGTGCAGAGAAACAAACAAAAAAGAGCAAAGCCCCCGGAATGTGCTGTGCTGCACACATCCAAGAGTCCAATGCGACGCTTTTGCCATTTCGTGGGGAAGAGAATATGTATGGATATTGAAGGAAAAGAAAAAAGAGACAAGCGATGAAAGGGAAAGAAACAATATTAGCGATGGAGAGATAGATATGCGGTCGGATGGTATGTGTGCTATAAAGTAGACAGGGTGAAAGGGGAAAAAAAAAGTGAGAGACGACGGTAAAGGGGCAGAGACACAAAAGACCGTTAAAACGCTAAAGAGAGGACGAAATACAATGCAAACAGAGGACGTCGTTGAGAAAGTAATGAAATCAGCTCAACAAAACCACTAAAAGTTCTGTGAGACGTTGGCACTCTGCTGAGGGTAGTGCGCTGGGCTCTCGATGCGCGTGTTGCGCCGCGCCGGGTTGTCGCGAATAACAGGCGCGCCGGCCAGCTCAGAGGGCCGAGGCGGGCTGACGTAGGGGTTCTCGGCGTACGGGTTGTTGCCGCCATACTGGTTGTAGTAGGTCGCATCCGCAGCATTGGCATAGCCGGCCACGCCACCATCGCCCGAACCGTCCGAGTGAGCACCTGCGCTGTAGGAAGACGAGGCGTTCGAAGGGCCTCGGCGGACATCCGCAGCGCGGTTGTTGCCGGCGGACGGGCCCATAGCACCCAGAATCTCGCCCTCGGGGGACTGCGTGCCGTCCGTATACGCAACATCGCCCGAACGGCCGTCCGACGGCCCGCCGCGCGTAGGCGAAGTAGCATCCGAGAAGGCGGGACCGCCGGCAGCGCCACCCGACATAGTCGTCGAAGCTTTCCGGCCCGTCGAGCCAGCAAGAGTCGTCGTGCCCCAGCCGCGGTAGCCGGAGGAGTTGGCATCTTCCTTCATCATCTCATAGCCGTTGGCGCCGGAAGCGCCCCCCGCGGCAAGGGCAGCCAGGTCGCGGTCGCCATTGGGGTTGAATGTGTAGTCCTCGACCTCCTTGCGACGCTCCTCTTCAGCATCCTTGCGCTGCTTGCGTTTCCGCCAGAAGTAGATGCCGGCAAGGAGCAGCAGAGCGACAGCAGCAATGGGGACAACAACGGCGACGGCAATCTTGCCGGCGCTGGAAAGACCACTGCCCGAGCTGCCCGTCGGGCCAACAGCCGCACCGCCAGACGTTGTGCTGGCAGAGCTTGTCGTGTGCGACGGGGTGGTATGCGTCGGCGCTTGCGTGACCTGCGTGATTGTGAAAGTGCTGGTACTGGTACCCTGGTCCGTAGGCGTCACAAATGTCGTGCTGTCAGGTGGTGTCGAGGAGGTTGTCGGCGGCGGGGGAGGAGTTGAGGAGGTAGCAGGCTGTTCTGACGATGTGGTAGGGGGTGCACGTGTCGAAGAAGACGACGACGTTGGCGGGGTCGAAGTTGGCGTTGCGGTGGTGGGAGTGGTCGGCGTCGTGGGATTTGAAGGCTCAGATGTTGTAGAATGGGTGGTAGGTTCGCTGACCGTCGTCGGCGTAGAAGCTGAAGGAGTGTTAGAAGGTGTGGTTACATCACCACCACCATGAGAGCTCAACGGCGCCGAGGGCGTGGTGACCGCCCCCGGATCACTCGTACTGTTGTTGGTAGACATGGTGATGCTACTCAATCTCAACCTCAAACGAGCCCTATACGCGAGTGACTTGTTAGCAGGTATGCTTCCCGACGACATGATAGCAGCAGAGCGTTGAGATAAATGGTACGGAGGAAGCGATGGAGGTTTGCCACGCGAAAGGGTAGGTCAACGTCAGTGTACGAGGAACCAATAAAGAACCGAGCATACAAGGCCACTTAGTTGGAGACCGTATGTGACAGAACAAGTCAGTGCAGAGATGGGAAGATTGAGGAACGGAAGCGCGCGACGTTGCGAGCACGGTGGATGATGGCACAACAGCCTGTGGTGGTACGCCAGTGCACACGAGGCCGTGAATGGAATCTCTCTGCGTGCTGCCCGTTTGGTCACTGGCCGCCGTGTTCCGTGCTTCTTCGCGATCACAGCAGTGCGAAGCGCCGGGAAGACGACCAGAACGGTCAAGGTAGAGCGGAAGGAAAGCCGAGGCTGAGGATGATAAACTTACTCTGCAAACTAGATTGATTGTGTAGAAACGACGGTCGATCAATCAAGTAACGGCAAGAGGACCACGCGCAATCGAAGAGCTCTTATCGAAATGGCAACGAAATCCCGAGAAAAGGGTTCGCTGCTTCGGTACGAGTCCGATCGAGCTTTGAACGAGGGAGCAAGGAGGGACGAAAACAAGCGGGCCTGCCTCAGCTGCTGTTTGGCGTCTGACAGCGTCGGAGACAAAGCGACGCGGAGCTCGAGGGACGAGGGAGTGGCGGCGTGCGACTGGTTTTCTCTTGCGAACACAAAACAGGGGCTGGCAGCGATTTGTGTGGTGTCTGTGTTGTGTGGCGGACGACCCAAACGAGTGGCCAGGAGCCAACTACAACGGGACTCGCAGGGGCCAAGAGATAAAAATAGGGCAATTGGTCGAATGAAGGAAATATTCAACTCGAAAAAGTCGAGCAAGTCCAAAAAAAAAAGAATGGTCCCGAAATGAATATCCAAAAACAATCCGGTGCCACAAGCAACCAAAAACAAAACCCACTCTCCAAATCGTCTATGGAGAGGGGGGCGGAGAGAGAAAAGGTCAGGCCGCTTGTGAAGAAAACGGGCGGGCGCGACCAAAGTTAAATGAGACAAGAAAACCCGTCGACCGTCGTCGGATGATTGATTGTCTCTTCCAACTGCAACGTCGTCTGCGGTTGCGAGTGGTGCGTGTGAAGTTGTGGCGCGCTTCCAAAGCCGGGGTTTGGGAGCACCAGATGGACAATAGGCTCAAGTCAAAAGAGGCTGGAGAGTTGGGGATCGTGTCCAGTTTGTTGGTCGAGCTGCTATATTGCGGATGAATGCCCAATGGCAGGATGAGGTGGAGAGAGGCAAAAAAGAGACGCCTGGTAAGAGGTGTTCGTGACGCAATAGAACGAGGCGAGACCAAGAAAGCCAAGACAGCAATAGTTGGGCCCGCGTTGGCTGACCGAAATTCTGGTTTGAAGACGACGAAGACTCAACCGATGCAACAGGTCGCGCAGCACAGCAGAAAAGACGAGATCGTTCTGCAAGATGGGCTGTTTGTTTTTGAGCTCAAAGACGGCGCACGGCCTCCTCGTGATTCCGTTTGTGACAGCAAGGACGCGGCGAAGAAGGAAAATACACTCGTTCGGAAGAGCGAATTGGGTGCTGTCGTCGTTTGTTGAACCGCCGGTCGCAGCAACAGAAAACGACTGTGCGTGTCGTTCCGTTTGTTGTGGGTTGCAACGGGCTGGCTGCGTAAGCAGCCTCGTAGAGGAGCAAGAACAACAAATTGGAAACCGGTTGTCGATCTCGGTTTCCAGCTGTTGGGCACGGGAGAGGGAGAGCGACCGAAAGGTGGATGGTCGTCTCGTCTGGAGGGTGTGTTTCCGCAGGAATGGGACGAGAGGGGGAGGAATCGGTTGTGGAAGGGAGATCCTGGGTCAGGCGGAAAGGGAAATAATAATAATAATAATAAAAATAGGCGTTGTCGCACGGGAGTATCCCCACAACCAAGGAACTCGGCGTAAACTGAGGGAGCGGAACAAATGAAGTGATAACAGTGGCCGAAGAAGTATCGTCAACAAAAATGAGTGTGAAGAGGATGAAGCCAAAATGGAAGCCTCAATTTCGCGGGTGAGAGGCGAGACTGTCAACGTCGGCAAGAAGGGGAAACAGGGCCGGGCATACGAGGGTGGGTGAAAGATCTTTTCGTGGAAGGAGCGAACGTCGCACTCGCTGCAAACCTCGACTGGCAGGTGCAAATTACTCTGTACGAAATACAATAACTCCTTTTTCGCTGGCTCCGGCGCGCAATACGAGAAAAGGAAAAGCGACGAGGGAGCGGCCCAAGGCAAAGATCGGGCTGAGAGCTAAGCCGCGCGAAAAGGAGCGAATGGCGCGACGCGGTGGCGGCCCCCAGCACAAGATACAGTCCGCCCGGTTTTGGCGCTGGATATGGCTTTTTTCTCGTTGATGTGGGTTCCCACAGTGGGCTGGGGCATTGTTTGGCACTAATGCTCAAAAGACGACGTACCCTTGCAGATAAATGCAGCGCATCAATACTTCGTACATGCAATTTTATCTTACGTCGTCTTTACTTCGGGGTTACTCTGCTCGTTTTCATCCGTTCCTTCCATCCCCAATTGTACTTTGCTCGCGAGCGTTCTTTCCGTGCGATGCTGTGACGGGAGCCCCGGCGCACCTTCCTCATTTTGCACATACGACAGCGATGGACGCCTGTGCCTCCTTCCTGGACCGAAACTGTTGCGATGCCGTCGGCCCCTTGTTCCACCTTCCTCAAGCGCATCTTCTCCGTCTCAGTGACAGAGTCGTGCTCGATGATTGACCTTCTCCGTCACCAAAGCTGCGTTCGTGCGTCAAGATTGCCGTACAGATGCCACCTGCAGCACGTCGCGACTCAATGGGTGGACCGCTGTGTCGTACTCGTTCCCAGACCCGTCCGAAGAAGCCAGGGTCTGTCAGCCCCAAAATAGAACTCCCATCTCTGATCTGGTCGCGGTTTTCCCTTCCCCTTCTCTCTTTGTCCATCTTTGTTGATCTCGGGTCGCAGCGAAGGATTTTCGCAGGGACGCGTTTGTACTAAGTCGCATCTCCAGATCTGGGAAAGAGAGGCAGGGGCAGCCGGACATGCAGAGCAGAGCGCAGGACAGCAGAGAGGGGAAGGGGATGGAAAGGAAAACAAACAAAAAGGAGCATTGCAGTGGAGCATGGTCTACAAGTGAGTTAATACGTGAAGCGAGATGTGAGACATGTTTAATGGGAGACAGAGAAAGAAGAGGAAGTGATTGGCAAAATATGGAAGACCAAAAAAAATGAAATGAAAATAAACAATCAGCATAAGACTATGCCGATTCCGTGACAACAGCGGGCACGGGGACTTGACAGGGCAAACCGAAATCGAATCTCGCGATGCACGGGCAAATAGAGTTACGATGAACACATAATCCTCAAGACCATTAGGAATCGGAATACGAGGCCGACGACAAGAAGGCTCACCATGGTGTCAGATTGAAGTAGTCAAAGTAGAACAGCACCAAATACAGACGCCATATGTGGTGGTAGATACTTGGCAGTACCGACCAAAAAAAAAAAAAAAAAAAAAAACAGGATCCAAGGTAGCTGGTCGAGTTTGGTCAACCTTGGGGGGCGATATCCAGTCAAATCGGGGCTGCAGGTCTGGCTGACTGGGTTAGGGCTCCGCGCCTCCTTTAGCGCAGCCCAGTTTGCTTCAACACGACCTTCTGGCTGTCTATGCATTTCCCTAGTTTCCTTCGCCTGGGAGGCCGTCGAGAGAGCCATGTTGGCATATGCGTGTCTGTGGATTGTAGAAAATTCACGGAATGCAACATGGTTTGCAGATGCTATTTCTACGGAAACGGCCTGTGGCAGGAGCCACATGCCGAAGCACGCAAAGAACGGACCGGCCAAGCAGCTTATTCCTCTCCAGTTAATGGTAGACAGTACGAAGTACTTGTGGCACGTCAGACCGAGAGGACATCCCCGAGGAGACAACAGTCCCTTATTTGTCCCTTATTTGTCCCTTATTTGTCCCTTATTTGTCCCTTCTTTTCTTCTCAAAATCGAAAAAACCCTCACCTACTACGATCGATGGCGGGCAACTAGTTGGTAATGGTCGTCAAGAGCAAGCTTCGGTAAATCAAGGCCAAGAAACCCAAAAAGCCTCCCAAACGCAGCGTCGAACCGGCTCACGGGGCATACAGGGAGCCTGCGTCCTCCGGACACCCCGGACGCTTCGATGGGGTCCCGCTTTACGTGGGTAAGATGCAAAGAACGATGCATGCTTGCTTGCAAGCTCTCACGATTCAAGTCCCGGTGGCGATCTCGAGATGACGAAGCGTTTCGATTCGCATGGGATATGGAGAGAAACTAGGTTGCAAGAAAAGGCCCTCGCAAGGGCAACGGTCGGTAACCTCACATTCAGTGGGCTGTGGCAGAATGCCTGACAGGTTGCACAAGCGGCTGCCGCAGTCAACTTGGCGCGTCTTGTTCATAGGTGGGTTGGTAGACAGGGGGCCATGCTTTTGGACAAATGAAATTCATGCAGTGACAACAATGTCAGAGCAAGCTGGAGACGAAAAAGACAGCATAACGGTGCCTCCAAACAAGTTCTACGGCGGCTGTGCCTTGTTTGCAACGTTTCGCACGGCTACATGTCCGTACGCTTTTGCTCCATCCAGTTTACAGCCTTTTGCCTCTATGTTCTCAGCGTCGTCAGTGGCTATGCAGTTATCAAAAGGTCCCATCATCCGTATGCAGAGACAGTTTTCGTCTCTGTCGGGAGATTCCATCACGGTGGATAACAACATTTACGAGGCAGGCCGTGAGATCTGTGGCACCACTACGGCACTGCTTTGTCATTGGGGAGACATCCGGCAAGTTGAATGATGAGTCCTCGTCTCTTGGAACACGCAGTTTGCTGGACTTTAAACTGGGAGAGGGCCTTGATGTACACACGATGTAACTTTTGTAAGATAAATAATGGGCAAAACTCAACGAGGCTAGATTATAGATTAAAAGACACCAGTTAAAATAAGGAACAAAACAAATAAAGGATCCTAGCTTTCCCGTCTATATGCAACATCCGTCATGCGTGGGCAGGGAATAAAGGGGAGCTCCGTCTTGCTGGTGAAACTATGAAACCAAGTACTGTGGACAGGCTACTGTAGTTGAACCAGTGGACATGAGCTCAACCCGCCTTCCACTACCGTTATATTGAAGAAGAAAGAATGCAAAAAGGTTGTCATCTTTGTATTTTCACATGTACAAACAAAGATGTGCACGCTATGCAGCGCAGGAAAAAGTGTTGTAAAATGGAGAAAAGAAATGTGGTAGAGAAACAAAGGTTTGAGACAAACCATAGATCCCGCCTCCCCTCCATCCTCGTGAGAGAAAGAAAAAAAATAAAAAATAAAAATAAAAACAAGATGTAAGTGCTGTATCAAGTTCATGCCTTCTTTTCAATGAGAAGGATTAAAATTAGAAGAGTCCTCCCAACGCCGGAACGGATGCAAAGAAAATGACAAGATAGTAGCCAGTCGACATGACTGTCGCGCAATATGGCATGGCGAGCCATCCTGGCTGAGGCCGTAAACCGAAAACATCCAAAGATGCTCTTGTTCAGATGACAGCGTCGGTCGAGGGTGGCCAGGTCGAGATGTGTTGTGTGTGGGCTTCGAGCGGGCAGAGTATACTCTATACTCTATGGACGGAAACCCCAAGTGGGCTTGAGCTGGTCGGCCAGTGCAGCCTGTGTAAACACGTTGTCACCTGGCAGGCGGCTCACGCGGCCCGCACCACTGCGGATAGCAGCCTGGTTCATGGCGGAGATACCACTTCGGTTACTGCGGATACTACCCGCGTCACTCATCGTATCGTTGTCCTTGAACTTGCGGGGCGGCGCAAAGTCGAGGCCCGTAAATGTGCTAGATTTACGGAGCAAGTGACTGAAAAAGCAAAAGATGTTAGTTATCACGTAGAGGTTGACAAGAGCATACAGATAAACAATGGAACTGTACTTACGGACTGGGCAGGGCCGCCATCTCGTCGAACGAAGACACCAATGGTGAAGCAGAGGGCACGTTCATCTGGTAAGGTTTGCGCTCGCCGAGAGGACTCTGGGACCGCCCACTGGTTTGGTCCCTGAAGGTAGGCGGGGGCGCAAAGTCAATAGCACCCATAAGCGCAAAGGAGTCATCCCTGAGCTTGCTCGGCGTAGGCAGCGTGATGAGGTCTTCTGGGGGCGGCATCGGCTTGCGCGGGCCACCGCCGAAGCGGCCGGACAAGTTGGACGCAGAGCGGCTACCGGGCATCTGGCGGCTCGAAAGAGACGAGCCAGGGCGGGGACCCCATTGGCTGGACATGGACGACCCAGGGCGCGACATACCCATACCCATACCAGGACCGCCAGGGCCCATGCCACCACCACCCATGGAGCCATGGAACGGGCGAGGACCGCCACGAGGCCGGCCACCAGGGAAGCGCGATCCTGACGGAGGCGGCGTCATAGCCCGTCTCGAAACAGGCTGCGCGTACGGCATAACAAAGGAGTTTGACTGCGGATCGAAATACGCGCCGTCGCCCATGTTGTTGTACGACTGGTCGTAGTCCTCGTAGTACTGAGCACCGCCAGCAGGGTGGTCGTAGTGTGGGCCACCACCGGCAGCCTCACGCCATTCGGCCGGGACACCGTGTGGCGGGTAGTGCTGGTTGTACTCGGCCATGTCGGGCTTCGACTCGTCAAAGTACTCCTTGTAGAAGGAACGAATACGGTTGGCCCGTGTCTCAGGGTCTTCGGACTCAATCAGCTCATCGGGAGGCAGGGGACGGAAGCCAACGGACAAGCGCCGGGTGTCCATCTGCGGCAGACCGAGAGCCGATTGGCGGACGGTGCCGTCTTGCGGGTACTCGGACGATTGCCGTTTGTGCAATGAGCGGCCGCGACCATCATCCTCTTGCCCAGGCTCCTCGGGGAAGAGCTCGCCATATTGGTGTGGTTCAACAATAGGCAGTTGCGAATGCTCAGCATCAGGGGTCACAATATGCGGCAGTGTGGGTTCGTTACCAGTTGTCGTGGCCTGCCCGGGCAGGAAGGTCTCGTCGTCAAATGGCCCACCAAGTGCCAGCTTCGGCAAAGATGAAGAGAGCGGCTGGCCGTGCGAGTCTCTGTCGTTGTGCGCGTCCAGTTTCAGGTCAAAGTCGGCATACGTTGATGAGTCGTGGCGAAGACCGCGGTTCGGAGAATCATAGATGAAAGGCTCGTCCACAGTGCCCGTCGTAGAGCGGTGGTTGGCTGGTGGTGCTTCAGGATCCTGTGGCCGTGGAGACACCGGCAGGCCCTTGCGGGAGATCTTGGTCGCCGCCGGCTCAGGGGCCTGAAGCTCAGCAACAGGCGGCACGTTGCTGCCATCGGCCTCGACAGGACCTGTCTCGGCAGCCATCTCGGCAGCAGGAAACGCAGGCTCAAACACGAAGCCGGCCGCACCGCCGACAGGCGGCGGCGGGGACGGCATCTGCGATGATACCGAGGAGAAGTCGCTGTTCTCGCCAAAAGGAGCAGGTTTGGGTGATCCGCCACGAGGGGATTGGGGCCCAGCAGACATGCGGTGGGGTCGTGGGGGAGCCATCCGGGAGCCAGCGGCACTTCCGGACCGGGAATTGCCGTTCCTGTCATCCAAAGCACTTGTCGCACCGGTGCGAATGGAAGCACCATCACGGACGTCCTTCTGGAATGAACGCATCGAGGCAACGTCGCTGCCGGCGTAGTGGGTAACTGGACGGTAAGGGTCTTCATTCTGGTGCAGCGTACGGGCAAGCGAGTGCAGCGACTCACGCGATTGCTGCACCTCGGGGGGGAGAAGGTAAGGGCTTGACAGGTTCATGTCCATGGAGAGCTGACGCGACTTGGGGTGGAACATATCCTTTTCGCCGCCGAAGAAAGAGCTCTTCCGCTTCGACTTGGCTGTCTGCTTTGTCGCGTCCATGGCCAAACCGAAATCCAGTGACTTGTGGGGGTCCAGATTGTCCTCCTTGCGCAAACGCTTCACATTTCTCCGATGAAGATAAAACAAAACGCAGGCAATGACCACGAGGGGAATCCTGTGTCTCGCGTGTTAGAAGAAACTGCCATCTTGCTGCAGAACAACGCATTGGAGCGTCCTGGACTCTGGAGACCACTTACACAACACCAAGAACGATAGGAAGCGTCATGGAGTTGCCTCCTTCGGGTTTTTCGCAAAGGTTACCGCCATCCTTCACACATGTTGTCGACGCGCTCGCACGAGCGATGATTTTGCTGGGGATGCCAAGTCCGACGACTCGTGTTGCACGCTCTGCGACGCTTTTCAGAACCATGGGGACCCGGGGCCCGAGGCGGTAGCCTTGCACGAGAGCGCCCTGAGCGGCCGCCATCTCTCGGATGCTTGGAGACGTCGGAGGGTGTATCGGGGCTGCGTATGTTTGGTGGATATGTCAGGAACGGCGCGATGCTGTTTGGGACGTTTCGATGTCGTTCAAGGTGATATCGTCAGGGGCGATATAACAAAGGACAACGCAGGGCACAAAACGCCGAGTTACTTGCTGCAGGCACGAGACAGAAGCCGACGTCGCGAACTGTGGAAAGGGAGTCGTTGTGTCGTGAACCAGATTGGGAAAAGGCGAGAAGCAAGGCAAGGGATGGCGCGTTGAAATGGCGTGCAAGAAAGAGTCCAGCCTCTTCCAGTCGATTCAGGATGTAGCACAACAGAAACTAGGCGTGTCGTAGAATTAAACGGGGGGGACGCTTTTGCAAACCTCGAGGCTTCGATTTCTCGTTCGTGTCCGGGCGACTTGGAAAACAAAATGAAAATGAATGGAACAAGCCTGCTGGCAGGCTTTTGGGTAGAGATGGGAGAGAAAATGAATGAAAAATCAAAGAAAAAAAGAATGGACAACCACCGTTTGTAGAAGAACAAACGAGTATGCTGGTCTATGGTAAGGAGCGTGAGGCAAGCCGAGAACAAAGAACACAAAACGAACGGGGAGGTGACAAAAGGAGAGGCTGAGGAAGGGAAAAGAGTGAATCAGTCATTCCTGCATCGTGAAAAGAGAACAGAAGAAGAAAGGGGAGGAAAAAGGGAACACGGGCGAAGAGGGAGAGAGCTAAAAGCGGAGACCAGGCGCAGCCAGAACACAGAAAGAGCGACCAAAGGGGAAGAGGAGATACCAGGCAGGCGCGCCATAGCACGCTCTCTGTTCAGCATCAGTAGCCGGGCACAGGCCCTCCGTAGCAGAGCCTTGGGCTGGCCATTCCTTCGTCCAGACCCTCTCGCTCTTTCCCAAATCGGACTAGAATCGGTTCGCCAGGAACGACCAGAGGGACACAAAGTGGGTCCAGTTGTTTTGCAAAACACAGCAGCACAGGGGCACTTCATATGTGGTGCCATCGAAGGAGAGAAGCCCAGAGAACAGGGCGGCCGACAATGCACAATCATACTTTGTAAGATGTGGACCGCACGCGTGGACGCGATCCCACGACGAGGTGAAGTCGTGAGAAAGTGAGTCCAGAGGGCGCGCTGTAGCACCAATGCACGTCTGCTTGCAAAGAGCCACGGAGAGCCTCAAAGGAACTCGGGCAAACGCATTTGAGCATCATTGTCTTCCCTTGTGTCTTGCGATCCTCGGCAGCGTATCTTTTTCCCCGCTACGAATGTACATGCCAGCAGAATGCATGCCAGCAAACCGTCAAAACCAAGGCAAAAGTACGGGGGATGCTGTACTGTGTTTACGGCACGGAAATAGGCGAAGACAGCCGAGCCGGTCCTGTCAGATAGGGAAACTGCGAACGCGACACCTCCTGCCCTCAGGCTCCCTCACGAGAGCACATACAAGAAGGAAACTCGAAGAAAAACTTGGCTGTTGCCAAGCATTGCCCGGATAAGGCTTACCAGCAATAAGAGAGAGCCAAGTGCAAACAGTATGAGTCCTGGTGCAAGAATAGCGGGAAGGTGCGGGCGGGCAATCGCTGTTTCCCAAAAGCAGAAGCGACGGGCGCTGATTGGCTGTGTACCTGACTACCACCACAGGGATCCACATGATTTTCCCCAAGACGGATTGGCCGCCACAGCCAAAGGCCCCCGCTTCCCTTGGGCGGCGCTAATCTCCTGGCGGGGCCCAGCCAAATCAACCGAAATGAGCAGAACGGGGCCAGGAGACAAGCCCAAAGGACCTTTGGACCCAGTAAATCAGGAACGGGTGAAAAGGCTCGTTGGCCCACTGTCAACCCATGCAGCCACGATTTGGGCTTCCCCATACCCTGTCTCGTTGGAACACCCCTTTTTGGTTTTTCACTCGTCGGTCACGTCTGTCACGTCGTCGCCTTGGAACGGTCCAATTAGACAAGGCCTTGTTCTCGTCGCGCGATCACAGCACATCTACAAGTACTCCGTACTTCATACACATACGCTGGTCCAGTCCCATTTCGTTGCTGGCTTACCACCGTCTGTGAAACGGACGTGTATTCCAAGAACCTTTGCCAGCAAGGAAGATGTAATTGAGTGCCAAAGAGTCGACCTCTGCGTTCGATAGGTTATTTACAAAGTAATTCCTGCAGGGCAAGCAGACGATGAACCAGATGAGGGCGAGAGCGATCGCAGCGTGGCCGATACAGGTCTAGGCCCAGGTCCCGACGATACTGAGAAAGGCTCTCCCTCCCCACATGAAAGGAGTGTGTCTTGAACGCGTGCAGCCTGAAAGTGCCATTTATCTAAAAATGGCCCTCGTGGCTCGAGACGGGAACACAGAAACGGGGAATACGGCGTACGTTGCTCTCACAGTTCTCCGTTGTGAAGACTGTCAGAAACTTCCTTTAGAATCTATTTAGCTCTCCCACTTTTCAAGCAGCGGACATGCCCCCTGGTATTCTGGAGCACATATGGCTAATTTGCTTCAGCAGGTTTGACCTCTGTGTGGTCTGTTCCGGTGGGCCTAGCCAGCTGCGCCTCGTTCTCACCAGGGGTTGTGGCAGCTTCGCAGCTTCGAGAGTGTACGAAGTAGTCGTTTTCGTGCAGTCGTGACGATTTATTAATTACTTCTTTATAATACACGGACCACGGAGGTCGAGTGTCGCGCAATGTGCCTGTCCTGTGTGAGGTATTTACAGGGCTCAAAAGGCACTCGGTGCTTCTTCCGGCCGATGGCAATTCCCTTGGCAAGACGATGCCCTCTCCTGCTTTGCTTTAAATATCTCATGGGCCAGAGTTTCCCAAGCACGTTTTAGCCTACTTTCATATCTGACACTCACAATAAATGCGTCGTACAAGTACACTGAACATGCCCATGTACAACAGAAAGGCAGGCAAAAGAAATACGGGATGGAGTGCCCGAAACCAAACATGTGCGAGGCTCCGGTCGAATCCAGCTGCATGGAGCAAAGGGGTTATGAGCACGTAACAATGTGTCTTCCAAGCCAATAGCCCGCCCCTCTATTGCTTTGGGTTGAGTTGCACATATTCGTGGGCTAGTTTGGTTTTTTCTGAGCCTGGTTTCTTTTTCGTTCTTGTTACCGTGACCTTGCAAAGGCTTGGAAAGAAAGAAAAAAGAAAAAGAAAAGAAATAGAAAAAAAGAAGGAAAGAAAGAACCAGGAGAAAGGCAAGACAAAGGCAAAAGGTACGCATATCTGTGCACCATTTGGGCTCATGAGCATTGCCTTTTAGCAAAAGAATAAGACAAATGGCTTTCCCTTCCTTTTCTCCGTCCGATGTTTTGAAATCAAGCAAGATCGGAGGCGGGAGATACGCCAAGGGACGGGAAGTAATAGTCATATCGTAGACGAAAAAGTGGACGGTTTGATTTGCAAAACAAGATGAGCGACAACAAAGTTTAAAAGGCGGAAACGGCCGATGAACCATGCAGTGACAAATGCACATCCTTTGGTTGAGACGGACCGTACACGCGTCCGGAGAAGAAAAAAGAAGAAGAAAAAAAAAAAAGAAAAAAAAAAAGAGGCGAAGCCCTGTCGAGCAACAGGGACAAGGGACAACCTACTAGACAATCTAGAAACGCCTTGATTCCATGTAATTTACGGAAGCTCAACTCGGGCACCGAATTTTGACCGTTGAGATACCTCGTTTTATGTTTTAACGGATACATTAAACATGGGTTGTGTACGACGTTACGCCTTTCTTCATCTTGCAATACAACGTAATATTGTCGTGCTTTGTACATCGCCATGTACCCCGTGTTTCGTGCCCTGTCTCCCATCTCTTCTTTCTTATCGACCAGCTCGTTGTCGGCGACTTTTCAACAAAACACCGCATCTTACGCCATGTTTTACCCCATGGTTGTCCAGCTTCCTTCATCTCTGCTCTGTTGTCTGGTAGAAGTCGGGGGCGTATTCGAGCAGCCAATTCTTTTCAATCTTGGTGATGTCTCTGATGTATGTCTTGTCCCCAGTCTCCATCACCTCGTGAAAGAGGACCCAGTCCGCTTTGCGATTGAAGAGAAGTGAGCTCGGGTGTGCGTGCAGCACTGTGCCGCCGGCTACATTTCGGAATGTGCCGTCCGCCTGCATCCTAGCTGCATGTGCAAAGTAGCCCGTCGTAAGGCATCGCCGAATCTGCTCCGCCTTGTTGGCTGCACTCGGATGCGGTTGTTGCGACTGTGGTTGCCGGACGTCCGGGATCTCGAATCCAAATCGCTCCATAAACCGTCTCAGCTGTGCTCGCACACTGACGGCTCTCTTCAGCATCTGGAAATTCAGCCGGTTCTCCTTGCAAAACTTCGCCTCGCCGTTGCCCTTGGTCACAAACGCCTGGAATACGTTGAGAAGCGTCACGTGGTCACCCTCATCGGCCGCAAACCGGCGCCGGACCAGCTCGACCAGCTGCCTCTCTTCCTTGCTCCGGCCGCCGTCCTGGCTGTCGATCCACACGCTGCTGTTGCCTTCGCGGCTTGTCATCGCAGCAATCGTCAGCATCTCGCCAAGACAACCAAACTGCGGCGCGGCCAGCAACGTTTTGGCCATCATCGGCTCGACGGCCAGCTCCGCCATGCGCAGGCCGAGAGGCTTGGTCAGCTTGGCATAGTCATCCAGCGCGCCCAATGAGTACAACAACTCCAGTGCCTTGGTCATCAGTTCGGTCGGTGGCGGCGTAAAGTAGGGAAACCGCAGGACATTGTCGATGCCCAGCGCCTTGAGCTGCAGCACAACCGGGGCCAAATTCGACCGCTGGATTTCAGGCACGTTGGCGTCCGGCAGGGCCAGATACGAGTCTTCTGTGTACAGGCGGAAGCATTTGCCGGGTTTTGTGCGGCCGCCACGCCCCGCACGTTGTGCCGCTGCGGCCTTGGAGACGGGTGTCGTCGTGAGCGTTTCGATGCCAGTGATGGGGTCGTAGGCGCGCTGCTTGACAAACCCGCTGTCCACCACATAGACAACACCGCTGATTGTCACCGACGCTTCGGCAATGTTTGTGGCAAAGATGACCTTGCGCGTGTCCTCGGGTGCTTCGTCAAACACGTACATTTGCTCATCCGCCGTAAGCCCCGCATACATGGGCAATGGTAGCAATGCACGTTTCGCCGACAGTGCGTCTTGTGTCGAAACTGCCTCTGCGACAGCTTGTACGGCCCGCTCAATCTCCTCACGGCCGGTCAGAAAGACGAGGATGTCGCCGTCAGGCTCTTCCTCGTGTATCTGTAGCACAGCGCCAATAGCCTTCTCCACGTAGTCCTCGACTGGCTTATCGACATACAGAATATCGATGGGGTACGTGCGACCTTCGAGGCTAATAATGGCACCAGTTGTCTCATGGCGCTTGTTGTCGTCTTCGTTTTCGTCTTCCTCGTCCTCTTCACCTGCTCGGGTAGGCGCATCTATGGTGGTTGCATTGCCGCTCTTTGGTTTGGCAGGCTTGTCGCCGCCGTCGGTCTCCTCGTGGGCGGAGAAATACGCCAGGAAATCCTCCGCTTGCAGTGTAGCGCTGCTGACGATGATGCGTAGCTCTGGGCGCCGCCGGCGAATCTTTCTTAGCAACCCCAGCAAGATGTCCGTACTGATGGAGCGCTCGTGGGCCTCATCCACCATGATCACAGAGTATCTAGAGAGCAGAGGGTCCACAAGGGCTTCGCGAATCAACAGTCCATCGGTCATGAACTTGATGCGTGTCATGGAAGACGTGACATCCTCGAAGCGGATGGAGTAGCCCACCTCTTTGCCTATATCACAGCCATATTCTTCTGCAACCCGCACAGCAACGGTGGTTGCTGCTATCCGGCGTGGCTATCCAGGGTCAGCATGAGCAATCTCGGCGAATCAGACCTGAGGCAGAAGAAGACTTGTAACCGACCTGGGTTATAGCAATAACTTTGCCATCCGCACACCACCCAGCCTGTTCCAAGAACTGCGGTATTTGCGTCGTCTTTCCAGAGCCTGTCTGGCCAACAACGATGACCACCGGATACGTCTCAACGAGATACAAAAGGCTTTCTCTGTGCTTCGCGATGGGGAGCAACGCAGCCGGTTTGTGGAGGGACGGGATAAAGGCCGCCGCCAAATTAAGCTCGGCCATGGTTTCCTTTAAGTCCAGTGTGAGCTTTGACAGCCCGACCCCGCGGTTTGATGTTTCGTCTCGGGGGCACCCATGCAATTCTGAGTTGAGTTGGCAGCCACTTCAAGGCATATTTGCTCCGAGCAAAAAACGTTGCTGTAACAAGGGTTGACAGGTGAACAAATAGGCTCGAGGTAACACAGGATCTCCCAGTTCCTGTGTTCACACCACTGTACCGTCAGCCGCAGCGCGACGCATAATAAATGTCATTGGCGGCTGTACTCGTCGTTGTTGTTGTTGTTGATACCCCGTGTTGTATTACTCACGTGAAAGCCACAGCAAACCATTAGCTGTGACAACTGCACGTCGTCACAAAAATGAGGCACGTGATCTAACCTCAATTTCTTAGCGCCCAAACCTCTGCCTAATTTAGCAGCCTATTGGTCACTTTCACTCCCACACATCACAACGTGAATATGTCACTAGCCATTCGGGCAACTTTCTCTCGTCCTCATCGTGGGTTGCCCAACAGCTAATCACCGGTGGTCAGGGTTGAACTGAACGAACCAAATCTCTCGCACTCTGGATATTTGCTGTTTTTCGCATTGTTTGCAAGTACGGTTTCGTCTCTGTTGTTGTTCGCTCTTGCCATTCTCGGCATTTTTGGCCGTCTTCATTTTGGAGGACGACTGCCCTTCTGTTGGGCGTTCCTTCCCATATTCAGTTTCGACCGCTTCAGGGATCAAAAGCGTGGTTCTTCCTGCCCGATCTGCCATCTTCCACCCGGCTCTTCCACTCGGCCACGTCTCGCTCCTGCCTTTCGCTCCGTATGCCGTCTTCTATCTCTTGTCAATAGGGAAGGAAGGACGCCCTAGCCTGTGCCCAGACAGACCGACCGTGGAGAAGGTGCATATCACGGGCATCCCTGCTGCCCCCTTGATGGCCAGTGCCACCGCCGCTTTTGGGCAGCCTCATTTTCCTGCACATATCTTGTGCAGCATCTTGCTTCGCTTTGCTTCTTCGACCATCTTGTTCTCGCCATTCCCCTACCTTACCTTTCAACCACGCTCTGGTTGACGACTGGCGGTAGGCCGAATTTTTTGTCACCCGCGTCGTCCGTGTCCTGTGTGCATACGTCCTCTGGAACTACCACCACCTTGTTTTTCGCGTTGCATCCCATTATCCTTACCCTACACCCCGTTTTAAAAAGAGCTTTTGGTCTTCAAAGTCCACCATGGTAAGAATATAGTTGCAAAAGTGGTGCAAAGAGACTCGACAAAAGCATGGGCCGCGAAAAGAAACACAATGGCCCTGGCGCGGCACCAGGCGCCCATGCCAAAGAGCGGCATAAGAAGAGGCTTCGAGCTCAAACCATAAGCAATCCGGTGGTTTTGAATGCGAGGCCAGAAGTTCACAACTTGAAATCTAAACACCACTCGTACTACGAGATCGTCGAGAACAAAGACAAGAAGAAGAAGCTGGAGTTCGAGGTGCGCCATCCTCTCCCTCAACCACTTGTGTCTTTCGACAGCCCCTCTGAGCATGCTTAGATGGCCATCGCCGCCGTCGAATGCTGACTGCGGTTGGATATACAGATCACCAGCAGGAGAACGCCGCCGCCAGGGTTCGAATTCGTTCCCATCGGCAACCCCGAGTTGACAAAAACTTGCAAGGAACTGTCACGCGAGCATGACGCCATGATTTTCATCGTATCCGTGCGTCTGTCTTGTCTCCCAGTCCCAGGTTTGCTCCCAAACACAGAAAGTCGCTGACCTATCTACTTTACTGCATAGAATGGCACGGGCGGCGGCCTGTCCCAGCAAATGAACCGTGTCGGCCACCACATACGACAGGGCATCGTTGAGGAAGCGCGCAGAGAAGTTAGCGACAACGGCAACTCCTCAGACGATCATGCACAGTCTGGTCTACCAGAACCGATCCCCGAGTCTCAAGAAGAGATCAACGCGCAGGCGGATCTAGCGATAAGAGATCTATTTCCCCGAATTCCAAACACTGACCGACAAACAATCATCGAGCACTCTTTTAAAAAGGTATATCGGAGACGAAACGCAAAGTTGCGTTTGTATTTTGCTTGGCTAATGCAAGGTTTGCTGTAGGGAGCGACAAAAAAGGGTGAACCTCTTGTCGGCTTGGCCCGAGACATTCCCCTCTCCCGCCGCGTGCAGCTGGCCGTTTTAGCCCACATCAGGCACACACACACTCGCTATGACAGCCTCTTACGGGAGACATCCTATTTGAATGCCAGAAAGGCCGTTGAAGGGCTCTGTCTGGATGTGCTCGTCAAGTGGCGAGGCGATGAGGAGACTGGCCGTGACCAGCTAGACGAAATTCTCCGGGAAGTGATTGTTATATCTGACTCTGAAGGTGAAGAGGATGGTGACGAGGACGGCGACGAGGACGACGAGGCCGATAGTAGCGGCGTTGAGTCTGGAGATCTTGCCGCGGAGCCCAGCTATCTCCCATATCCCGCGGTGCCACAGCCCCGAACGCGCAAGGACCCTGAGACAGCCTTGGAGCTGCGTCACACGCGGCGTCCGTTGGTCTACGGCGAGCGTGCGACGTGGCGGGATGAGCCCGATTACAGTTATGCCCGCCCAACCCGCCCGTATATGCAGGATCTCACTGCTGCCCATCGTGCCAGGCGGGGTTTCAAGCGGTACAAGGCTGCGCTATCTGCGCGTTGGGGCGAAGCTGTTCATCGGGCTCGTCACCAACAAGACCATCCACAGGAAGCGCCTCCTCGCATAGTCGAGTATCGGAGCCATTCCCAGCAAGGCATACTTCGCCCCGAACAAGCTCCTGCGTCGAATCATGTTTACTATGCCAGCACAGTACAGGACTCTCCGCAACTTAGGGGCGGCGACGGCCGCACCTTGCAGCCATTAGAATATCCAACAAGGGGCCCGATCCAGACCCTGGTGGCCTCGGATACCACACTCCAGGGAAGCCCTTCGGGCGGTTTATCAAGGGGCGCCAGCCCACTTACTGATCCACGACAGACACAGCAACCGCAGAGGGCTGTAGTACGATCAAGTGAGGCTCGTGACTTTTTGGTGCCGTCAGTCGAACCTCTGTCTCCGTGCATTGAACAGTTACCAACCGCCCCAGTTTTTGTTCGAACTGTATCCCCTCGGCAGGTATCACGTCCTCCGAAAGGCCGTGTAGATGATAGGCGGACCCAGTACGACTCGCGCAACTCACCGGGCTGGGGCGGAGAACCAGGGACCTTGAAGCGCAGGCGCGTGGTGGACGATGAGCCGTATTCTCCCCATGGAGCGCCTCTTCATGCAGCCGTCCCTATGCGCCGTCTGGCAAGTGATGGATGGAAGCGGGCACCCGCCTATTATGCTGTGTCGCGACCCCATGAAGCACCGCCTCACATACCCACCGACCAAGACTCTCGCGCGCACGTCGCTCTGCGACAGACGCACCGCGTTGCTAGGATCCCTGTGTCTGCACCTGAAGGACGGCCCTATTATGAAAGTCCCGGGCTGGAGTTGCCTTTGGGATCCGAACGTGCGCCGATTGTTTTAGATGACTCGGATATGGACCGTCCTCTGGCCGCGGCGACATACCCAGTTCGGGACTACCGTGGGAACATTATCTCGGAGCACCGGGAGCAGCCTTATCGAGATGTTGAGGTTCAGCACGCACCGTTCGTTGAATATCGTCGGCCTCCATTGGCAGACTACGCTGGCCGTCCAAATCCTGAAGGTCCTCCCATATATATTGAGAGCACGCCACGGCCGCAGGATCCACTTCCTATCCATTTGGGACCAAGCGCCATCGATCGGCCAGGCGTTTACGAGCGGCAGCCACCGCCACACAACGCACAGGAGCCGCGTCCTGTAGTATACAATCCTCCTGTCCCTCCTGTATACGACTCTGCCCTTTCTCACCTACATCACCAGGACGTTCACGAGCCTGCTCCAATGTTTATTAGACCTGTGGTGCGGCATAGCCCACGGCCATTGGCAGAGGTCCAAGGGCAGCCCCAATGGCACCACAACTCTGGTGCAACCCATGACTATCAGGCACATCCTCCAGCCGCAGGTTCTTGGGCGCAGTACGTCGGGTTGGCTGTGTTCTCCTTTTCTCCCATTCTCTCACTGTCCATTGCCATCAAAAGCTAACGTCACGTCTTTTAGACCGCCTCAAGCCAGTGCGTACGATGCGCCGCCAACGTACCCACCCTACCCTCCACATCCAGCACAGCACCCATTGAGCAGCTATGACTATGGAAGCCATGCAGAGCACCACAACCAGCATTACAATCAGCCAGGTCAATAGGAGAGTCCTGGGCATGAATCTCGTCGATCTTCTGCGGCGAGTTGCTGGTTTTGATATGGGTAGTGGGATCATGCTTTCGAGCAGCGACTTGTCGGTGTTGTTGTTGTTGTTGTTGTTGTTGTTGTTTTGGCCTTTGGTGGACTTTCATGGCCTGTGACTTCGGAACAGCGGGTGGAGGAAACGTTTAAATCGTGCATTTGTTTTTCTTGTCCGAGCATGCACGGCTGCTTGGGTCCAGGCCGGCGGTTTGTACTTTCATGATACCCATTCATAGCGTTTATCTTCTCAGGGAAGACGTAGGGCGGGGGTAGCATTGACGTAGGGCTAGAAATGTGACATAAGCGGTACAAATGCTTTACTTGAACTGTTTGTCCGGACAAAAATCCTATGGGTAGTCATACGTTGGATTTATTTGCATGCGTAGTTTCGTAGTTTATACGAACTATCGTCAAATGGCCTTCGCTTGTTGTTGTACCCCATTTTCAACTTATTTTTCATTTATTACTTTTTTTTTTTAAAAAAAATGCAACATAAAATAAAATAAAACAGAAACAACCAAGCGACATAATATACACACATATATTCAAATTAAATACTGCCAAACACAGCGCATATTTAAATAAATTGACATCGCACAACTTAAAGCAACTTCAACGGAAATGTAAAGGTATCAAGTTGGAATTGGGTGCCCGTCAAAATGTCACGGTATGAATCAAGAGTTAAAAGAACAACAAAAAAAAAAAAAAAAAAAAAAAAGAGGAATCCAGATCCAGGGACAAGTTGCAAAGACAAGATAAAGAGTGCCGCCAAAGAACCCCCGTAGACATAAGTGGTAAAAGCAAAAATCCCTACAAATGAACATACTTCCACACCGGCTGCCCCCAATGTCTTCATTGCCTACTTCGTCTTATCCTCCACCAGGCTGTCTGCCATTGCCTCGGCGGCAGCCTTGCGCAGTCGCTCAGCGTCCTCGGGCGATGTAGAGGATGTCGACGATTTGGCGCCGCCAGCGCTCTCGGTCGCGGCATCTCCCTTGCTGGCCGTGGCGGCGCTCTTGGTGGCAGCCGACGACGTGTTGTTGTCCTTTTCATCCTCGCTGTCACCCAGGCTGAACGGGTCGTTGTCGGCCATGGGCGTGGGGTCGACGGACGACATGGGTTGCCACTTGCTGGCCTTGGCGCCACCAGCACCAGCACCAGCACCAGCACCAGCAGCGGCTGCCGGTGACGCCGCGCGGTTGGCAGGGCCGTCCTTGGGCGGCAGCTTGGGCGATGCGCTGTACATGTCAATGGTCTCATCCTGGTCACGGAAGGCGACCTTGCGCTCAGAGCCGGGGCGGGGCGAGGTCGACGACGGAGGTGGACGGAAAACGTTGGGGTTGTGTCTCACGGGGGCTAAATTTTTGTTAGGCCACAACGATATTTATACGATAGTATGCTCGATGCAACAATAGCAAAGCTTATTTGGGGAAGGACGTACTGCCATCGCCGTGCAGCTGGATACCAGCAAAGTCGTCGCTCAGCACTTCCGGATCGGCATCGTAATCGCCGCTGCGGCGCTGGGGCTGACGTGAGCCGTAGCGCGCATAGCTTGTCGAGCTCTGGCCTCGGGAGGGGCCGCCGGCGCCGCCCTGGTGGTATTCGCCGTCGTCGTTCTCGCCGCTGTTCCATTCTTCGTTGATCTTCTTCTTGATGCCCGTGAACCAGGAGTTGAACTTTGTCTGTGTCTCCGCAAAGCCCTTGCGCAGGTTCTCCTGGATCACAGGAAGGTCGTCGTCGATGAAGCTGTGCTCCTTGTCGCCCCACAGCTCATTGGGTTTGAGGTTCTGGCCCCTCTGGTAGGCGCCGCGCGACGGGCCATAGCCAGAACCATGGCTCGTGCGTGCCTCGTAGTCGCCGTCCTCGGCCTCGTAGTGCTGCGCAAGCCGCCGCGCGTACTCCTCGTCGGCCACCATCTGGCTGTAGGGAGACAGGCGACCGCCACCAGGACCAGGATGGACGGGGGTTTGCTGGACGGGACGGGGGGGCTGTGGTGGTGGTGCGGGCTCGTGCTGGGCGGCATCGGGGTCGGTCATCTCCAGGAGGGCATGGAAGGCGGCCTCAATGTTGCCCCGGCTGGCGGTGAGGACGGCCTTGATGACGGCCGCATCCACGGCCGGAAAAGCTTCCTTGAGGGTCTGCTCGTTCTTCTGCTGCTCAGTCAATGGCCGCGGCGGCTTCGGGGGCGCAGCCTCGTCAGCGGCCGGAACAGAAGCCGGCTCGGAGCCTGCCTCGGTCTTGGAAGCATCTGCGGAAGTTGCAGCAGCAGCAGCAGCAGCAGCAGCAGTATCCGCAGTAGCAGAACTGGTGCCAGTGGCCGCGGCACCGTCGCCGGAGGTGGTCGAGTTGGCAGTCGGGGTTGCTGTCTTGGAGACGGGGGTCTCCTCCGGGTTGATGCTGGCCTCCTGAACGTCGTCGTCATCCATCTCGAGAGGTCGGGCCGTTGTCGGCGATTCTGGGGTCGGGGACTTCTGGGGCGGCGGCGGTTAGTACGGACTCGGCACGAAGCTTGCCAGAAGACAGAAGACAGATGGAAGGAGGGAAAGGAAGATGCAGAGGGTGAGTGAGAGTGAGAGCGATCGAGAGCTTTTCTAGCTCGTGCCGCGTAAACCATCAAGGCAGCTCATAAAAACAAGGGGCGAAGCCGCAAAAAGTGGGTACGGAAAACATACAGGATCAGCCGCCATTCTGTGTTGGTTCTGCTTGCTTGCGGGAGCTCGCACAAGTGGGAGAGTAGGTGGAGGATGTGGTCGATGAAGGGGTTCTTATGCCGCGTCAATCGGGGGTGTCGAGGAGGGCGGTGGAGTGCTTGCGTGGAAGAGAGAAGTAGGTGACCTTTTGTGAGGTCGGAAAAGGAAGCCTAGTTTTAAGGCATAGGCCCGTAGAAACGTAGGTGATACGTCGTCGCCCTTACTACGGGCATGCTAAGATTAGAGCTGGAGCTGACTAGAGGCAGTACGTTTTAAGGGAGTTACAGGCGTGGTGGGGGAGACTGTGCCCGTATGTCCCTGCTGGCGGCGCCACGATGGTGCTAAACCGGGAAATGGTGGGGTCGGACTCGTGGCACGTCGTCTTCCTCGGTCCTGTGTCTTGTTTCCTGAGCTGTGTCCAACAGGATTCCAGATTAGTTGATGACGGACGTGCGTTGCCCCTCCGCAAGGCAAGGAATAGGCCGCCCAGTAAAGGTGTTTAAGCCACACGTCATGCGCGAGGGGGACCTTCAAATATGTGTAAGATATCTTACGACGCACGGCGCTGTGCTTCCTCCACTCCACTGTGCAAGTGCCCTGTGGGCCTGTCACCGTACCAAAATTAGCCCCGCCTTTTAGGTACTCCGCGTCTATTTCGTCACTCCGGAGAGCGGAAGGCTGTCTCGAGTCGCAGCCGACATTTTCCAGCACTTCAGCCAAAGCACGAGCATTCGCATGACAGACAACGATTGGACGAACCGTTCGGCTAGCTGCGATCACCTTTGACGACATCAACAACAGACGACGGTTGACACAGCAGCTCGCTTTGCTGTGGACCGCTCGCTTTGTTCTCTTGCGCACGACAACGCCTCTTTGTGGCACTGCCACACGATCGATCTGACAGCGACAGCCTTGCTTCTGCCGGCCAAGCCCTGCGATTGGACGATCTCGACGACGTCAGAGACCATTTCCCGCGACAGGGGATTGTGCAGACGGCGACTCACACGGCTGCTGCCGCATGGCGCTTGCGCACGCATTTTGAAGACGAGCAGAAGACGAGCAGAAGACGAGCAGAAGACGAGCAAAAGACAGGGATCGGATACTGTAGCCAAACCCGGCACACCCTCCCCGCGATGGGAAACAATGGAAGCCGGGTGACGGCCCAAGATAAGTGCGTTGTGCGATGTCGTGGCACGACACAAGGCAATTGGGGGGGGGGGGGGGACCGACAGAAGGCTAACCGAGACTCGCCCGCAGGGCCATCCTGGACCTCAAGATCCAGCGCGACAAGCTGCACCAATACCAACGGCGCATCACCGTGCTGACGAGCCGCGAGACGGATGCCGCCCGCGCGATGCTGGCACGCGGTGACAAGCAGCGCGCGCTGCTGGCCCTGCGGCGAAAGAAGTACCAGGAGTCGCTGCTGGCCAAGACGGACGCGCAGCTCGAACAGCTCGAGAAGCTGACGTCCAATGTCGAGTTTGCGCTCATCCAAAAGGACGTGGTCTTTGGCCTGCAGCAGGGCACCAAGGTGCTGCAGGAGATTCACAAGGAGATGGGCGGTCTTGCGCACGTGGAGAAGCTCATGGGCGACACGGCCGACGCGATTGCCTACCAGAATGCAAGTGGAGGGCTGCCCATGTTTCGCATTGCCATCGTCAATCGTCAATCGTGTATGCTAACAAACGTCTCCCCCCCTACAGGAAGTCAGCGAGATGCTGGGCGGCAGCATGTCCAATGCCGACGAAGACGAGGTGGAAGACGAGCTGGCGGCGCTGGAGGCCGAGATGGCGCCCACACGGCCGGCAGCCCAGGTCGTGCTTCCCAACGCACCAGACACACAGCCGGTGGTGGCACAGGACCCGATCGTGGCTGACGAGAACGCCGGCCCAGAAGAGCCGCAGACGGAGCGGCGACAGCTGGTGCCAGCGTGAGTGCGGAGGGCAAGGGGAGGCGCTTGTGATTTGTACATATGCCAGAAATGACTCGGTTGGAGTTTTGCTATACGAGCGTGCATGTCGTCTGCGGTTTGTTTTTTATTGTTTATCGTTTCCCTAGCCTCGGTGTTTGTCATGTGCCCTTTTTATCTCGGATTTTCAAATTTCAATCGACTTCCGTCTCGACGCTCCGGCTCAGATTGTTTCCTACCACTCGGCACACTGCTCTGCCACACCGTAAGACGTCTCTGGTATCCCGGGCAGTACCCGTGGTTCTTTTCAACCACAGGGCCTGCAGGACCGGACTCGGCTCGAGCATATGCAAGTGATAGTCAGGCACCACCAACGTCCATGAACTCACTGCCGGCAGCCGAACCGCCTTTGTGGTTTGGGCCGTCTTTGTATTCATATTACAGCTGTCTGCGGTTAGCTCATCCGCGAACCGCATCGGATAGCGTCATTTTGTGTACATTTTTGGGCAATTTGTTTTTCCTCTTTTTCTTTTTACCTTGATCAGTTAATCTCGTGGCATTTTACGGCCCTCAGCCTCGTGGCCGGAAGCAATTGGCGTGATTTGCGGCCCAGCCAATGGACCGCTCTCGGGCCAGACGACACATGTGTCGTATCTGTCCGCTGATTGGACCGGTTGGAGCATCCTTTGCTCACAGAGCCGAGCAGACCAAGGACCTACTTACACAGTACTTGCACATCGCACGACGGGCAACCGAGTGCCCCTCCAGGCCTGTGAACAAGAATGGCAAAGAGGACGAGTACACCGAGCACGCTGTGGATACGGGGGCCGTACTACGTGGGATAAAGACAAAGAGGAAAAACGAAAATCATTTGCGAGAGAGGCGGCCTCTGCCTAACCAAAAGCGTTTCCGTCGCTGAGCCAGCTGCCATTGGGCATGCGGCGCCTGGTCTGTGACAGCCGCCGCTGCCGTCGAGCCTTCCGGCCGCGTGCAGGTGCATCTCATGAACCAGAGGCCCAAACGGGTGACAGGGTCCCAAAGGCGACGATGCTCTGGACAGTGCAAAGACAGTAAATCGACAGAAAATCACCAGAAATGTGGAGCTGTACGGAGAGTCACAAGTCTCAGTCGCGGCTTCCTACCTAGGATGTGGCTTCTACGAAACTCGAACCCCACCAACCTATTTTCGGGGCAAGAGCTCGTTACCCACGCGCGAGGTCGCTTACCACCCCTCTAGTCCCCGTCTCTTTCTCTCTCTTTCCTCAATTCTTTGATTTTTCTCCTTGTCGACACTTTTGTCTCACTTCCGTCTTTTTGCAGCTTCTTTCTTCCTTTCGTGCGACAATGGCTGTCTGTGCCGCTGTGTGAATCGCAGATCGCCATCGCCGTTCTGTGAAAACCGCCGTTCTGATACGATTACAAGTGCACGCTTCCAGGGTATCGAGCCGGCCACACTGTGTCGCAAACTGTGCACCACCAAAACACTGCGCGCCGGAGACACTCGACGAGGCAGCTGCGACTCCAAAGGTATGACGGCACACCTTCCTTTCTCTTTCCCTCCAGCAAGCACCGAGCGCGTGCCTTCCACAGTCGTTTGCTCCCGACATGCCCTCCCTTCGTCCCTTCCTGACCGTGGCCTTTTCCTAGGGCTATTTGCGGACACACCTTTCTGTTGCGCGCCTGCCCTCCATTCCCCTAAGCACTCGACGCAAACACGAAGAGGAGAACTGACTGCGTCGACAGCAAAAGCCCTGGCCCCCGACGATTACCATTGCTGGCTGTCACCCATTACGGCAGAGAACGAACGACGTCGGCAGCTCTGTGACTGGTCTGCACCTGCACCTGCACCTGCATTGAGCTTGCATCCTCCTCCATACTCGGTAAGCAAGAACGTCACCCTCCGCAAAACCCCCGCGGGCGCTTTGCCACCTTGGATCACCGAGTCCAATGGCGGCCCCCTGTTGCTTCTTGACCATTCAGTGTGTCGGTCCGGAGACCTCTGTCTGTCTCTGCGTGTCTGTCCCTCTTTTTCTCCCCTGCCCATGGTCTGTCTCGTCGTCCGGAGTCCTCTGAACCGCCACCTCCACGGCTGTCACCCACTGTGTCGATCGCATCCTGTCTAGCCAGGGCCCTCGTGACCTTCTGCCGACCTCGCCCTGCGCTCTCTCTCCTCTGGGTGCCGCTGATCGAGGCGTCATCGCCCTCTGGCCATTGCTCGTCGTGAACGTCCGGGCAAGTCTGCACGTCTGCGAGTGCTGCATTCGGATTCAGGAAAACAAGAAACCAAACGGTCGAAAGGGGGTAGACCGTGTACCAGACTGGCCGATGTCAAAGGTGGCCGCAGGAAGCTTCCCTCAACCCCTCACTGTCGGCGAGCCCAATGGGGAGATCGACCCCGATGAACACGGTGAACTCGGTTGTCGATTGTCGACCCCGCCTCCCAGCTCCAGCGTCCTTTTGTCCCTCACCGTCTGCCCTCTTTGGTTTGGTGGCAGTTTGCTTCTGGGCAGAGATGTTACCAATTTTGGTTGTGGATTCATACGATTCTCTCCGCATACCTGCATACCCGCTCGAGGGTGGATAACCTGATCATGCGAGGTCCTAAACAGATCCTGTTGCTGAAGAGACGGGCACATGCGCACCTGCATACACCCACATACTGCGCACACGCGCAAACATACCATTGGACGATACAGAGAGAGCGTGTTGCCAGATAGCTGGAAACAACAGCCCTCAAACCCAGAGTCTTGCACCAACTAGTCGCTACCTGACACTTCTGTTGGACGAGGAAACGCCTGCCTCTACTGGTCACATTCGGCTCATCACAAAGACACTTGCCGGCCACCCTTTATATGCCCTCCAGCGCCCACACCCTCCAGCGTCAGCGTTGTCTCGCCCTTGCCCTACCACACACCCACGTGGCGAACACGGCCGTCTTATTGTTCGACCAACCGCCAAGGCAAGGCTTGCAGCTGGGACCTTGCTTTCGTTTTCCCCAGCGCACACGACCGGCGCGGTTTTCACATAACATACAGCAGACTGCAGCACGGGAGAGACAAGACAAAGAGGGCACAGAAACAGGATTAACCAATGGCACGAGAAGCCCGTACATGCGCGGAACCACGTTAACAAGGGTCGATTCTGACAGTATCATTAGGAATACTACTCCGCAGAAAGAGACTCACCGTATTGACACATCCCAAACGGACGGCTTTTCACTCTTGTCATTTTCCCGGGGCGAGTCCCCACGGCCTTTTGGCTCGACAGATCTAGCTCATCAACATGTAAGCCCACCCCCCACCCATGGGCTATTTTGACCCTTGGATTGCAGGCAACTGACAGCTCTGTCTCTTCATAGGAAGTTCGGCAAGCAGATCCAGAAGCGGCAGCTTGAAGTGCCAGAGTACGCAGCTAGCTTTGTTAACTACAAAGCATTGAAAAAGGTAAGGTGATATCAGGGAAGTGGATATGACGGTGGGAGAGGACGGCGGATCGGACCGGTCCTTGATGTAGACCACGGATCTGCCGGTATGGTCTCTTCTCCTGCCCGGGCTTGGCACGTTTGCTAACGAGTGGCTCTGTCCGTCTTCCTAATTAGCTCATCAAACGCCTCTCGGCGACTCCTGTCCTCGGTGCGCAGGATGACCTTCACCGCCCGAACACCCCATTAGATTCCCAAGCTGCGCTGCAGGCCAACAAAGCCACTTTCTTTTTCCAACTTGTACGTCGGACACCTCCACTCCAACCTTTGCCCTCTGTCTTTTTCCGAGTATGCGGCTAATCACAGTGGAACAGGAACGTGAGCTTGAGAAGGTAAACGCCTTCTACTTACAAAAGGAGGCCGAGCTCAAGGTTCGCTTAAAAACACTTCTCGATAAGAAGAAGGTGCTCCGCGCACGGGGCAATTCCATCTCCCGGCGCTCCGCCAAGTTCACCACCCTCCAAGAAGGCTTCCAGCAGTTCGCCAACGACCTCAACAAGCTGCAGCAGTTTGTCGAGATCAACGGCACGGCCTTTTCCAAAATTCTGAAGAAGTGGGACAAGACATCGAAATCCAAGACCAAGGAGTTGTACCTCTCGCGCGCCGTCGAGGTACAGCCGTTCTTCAACGCCACCGTCATCAGTGAGCTGTCCGACCAAGCCACTACAAGCCTGCAAGAGCTTGGTGCCTGGGCCGAGGGCGACCACGAGATCCGTTTCGATGGCCGAGCGCAGCCGCCGGACCACATCGTCAGCAGCCAGCATCTCCTCGGCACCGACGAGGGCGACGCTGACACCCTTCTGCTGGACACGGTCCTCGCGGGCCACCTCGACTCTCTGCGCGATCTCCTGGGCCGCATGCAGGCTGCCGTCACAGACTCCAGCGGCCACGGCGATGGGAGCAGCAGCAGCAGTCGAGACATTGCTCTGAAGGAGCGTGTCACGCGCACGTTCTTGGCATCCATCAACGAGGGCTCCCGGGACGCCCTGCAGGTGCTTATTGACACTGGTCTTGTCGACGTTCAGAGTGAGGACGACATCAACGAACGGAATTGCTTGCACCAGGCCACCATCTACGGCAACAATTTTGTGCTCGATTTTGGTCTCTCCAAGAACGTCTCTGTTATTCGGACAGACGTCTACGGTCGTGTCCCGCTGCATTACGCCAGCATGCATGGCCGCCTTGACATGCTTGATGCTCTTCTGGAAGGTATGTAACGACGAGCTTGTTTTACACTCTCTTTGTGTATGGATGCTGGCAGCTACTAACAATGTTGTGTACATGAAGTTGGCCCGGACGCAATCGACCTGATCGACCATGACAACTTCACACCCTTGATCCATGCCATCATCCACGGCCACCTTGACTGCGTGAGTCGTCTGCTCGAGAAGGCGGCCCGTGTCGACCCCATCTCCGATGCGGACCATGTGCCCCTGAACTTGGCCTGCGAACACGGCACCGACGCCATTGTCGAGCTTCTCCTCAAGCACGGCGCAAACATCCTCCCTGATGCCGAAGGCCTGTACCCGCAGCATCTCGTGGCCCGTGCGGGCCGTGCCCCCACCCTGCTCCTTCTCCTTCAACAGTATGGGGCCGACTTGAACCAGATCGACAAGCTGTACGGCTGGACGCCGATTGTCCACGCCGCCAGCGAGGGCAACGTCCCCTGTTTGCAAGCGCTTCTCGAAGCCGGTGTCGACCCAAATATTCTCGACGAGAAGGACCTCCCGGCCATGTACTACGCCGCCTGGGAGGGCCACCTGGAATGCATGAAACTCTTGACGCCTTACAGTCGTACGAAGAGCAGCAGAGTCAAGCGTGATAGCCCGTTCGGTCTCAAGCCCACGCCGGACATTGGAACACTCGACGGGTTTGGATCGCATGGCGCCGGAAGCAGCACGGCACCCGGCCCCATGGCTCTGGATCCCGACGCCATTCCCATCCTCGAGCTGCCGCCGCCGATCATCCCGCTTCGCCGCTACGGCCACAACTTCCTGGACACCAAGACCGTGGTGCAGATCAACTTTGAAGACCAAAACGGCGAGCCACCACTGGTCTTCTTCCACGACGGCAAGTATCCTGCTGCTCGGCTGACTGTCTCGTCCAAGGTCGCCGATCTGATTCCCAAGAACATCATGCTGCCTTTCCAGGAGGACACCCGCCTGGTCTTCTTCCAGGTGGATAACCTGGACGCGTTCGTGCTGGACTTTGACGTGTTCCCGACGTACGGCGCCAAGATCATTGCCAAAACAGTCGCCCTGCCGAGCACGTTCCGCAACCTGTTGGGCAGTTCGGGGAGCAGCTGCTGCCTTCCCCTGTTTGACCCCCGTCTTCGCGCCATCGGCCAGATCAGCTTCCACATCCAGGTCATCAAGCCGTTCCCGGGCAAGCCGTTGGAGATTGCCGATTTCGAGACGTACTGGAAGGCGACCAGCCAGCTGGAGGGCCACCCCAGCAGCTTTGTTGCCGGCTCCAGCTTGTCCGGCGACTATGTGCGCCTCTACGTGCAGCACACCAGCGACGGCGTCCCCGTTCTGTGGCCTACGTGGACCGTGCGCTGCGGCGGCGGCGGTCGCACGGCGGTGGTCGAAGGCACCGATGCCATGGACGACGCCGCGGGCGACAGCAGCGTCATTGACGTCCCTGTGGCCCGTATGAACTACGCCCAATTCCGTGCTGCCACCTCAGCGGCGCCGGGCCGGCAGCACCTAGAGACGCTGCCGTCGTCTCCGCTCGACGCCGTGTCCCACGTCCATCGCGTTCTGGCCACGTCCGGCGTGACCTTGCGCGACGCGCTCGCTCTGGTGCCGACAGGCATGCATGTCAACCTGCAGATCCTCTACCCCAGTGCCGACGAGGAGCGTGCGCTGGGCCTCGGCGGCGTGGGCAGCGTGGACATTAACACGGCCGTGGATGCCATCCTGGGGGTCGTTTTTGACCATGCGCGTGCGCAGCGCGTGCACACGCCGGATGTGGTGCGATCTGTCGTCTTCAGCTCCTACAACCCCAGCTTGTGCACGGCCATCAACTGGAAGCAGCCCAATTTCCCCGTGTTCTTGTGCAACGACCTGGGCCGGGAAGACGATGCCACGGTGGCGGCGGCGGTACCGGATGGTGTCTGGAGCACGGGCCGGAGAACGGCCTCCGTCAAGGAGGTGGTGCGCACCGCGCAGAGCAACAACTTCATCGGCCTGATCTGCAGCTCGCGTCTTCTTGTGGGTTTCCATTGCCCCCCCTCTCATTTTCTGTCCCTAGCATAACGTGATCTAAATCTAACCCTCATGTATAGGATATGGTTCCGGCTCTGATCGAAGCAATCAAGTCTCAGGGCCTGGCGCTGGTTATTGATCGATCAGCAGAGACGACTCCGGACCCAACCCCCCTGGCTGATCCCTTCCCTCGGCTGCCCGAGGGCATTGACGGCGTGCTGAAGAGCAATGGCGTTTTGCGATTCAACGAGTCGATAGACATGTGAATTTGATTTTTCTTTTTGTCTGACGGGGACAACGAGATGGCGAGATGTGCTGCGGCCATAGCGGAGGGTATACCAAATGGAACAACAATGAGAAGAAAAAAAGGGAAGAAGTTGGGATGAAAATTCAAAGTCGGAGGGTTGCAAAGGGCCACGAAGATGAGGGTTTCACGATAGGAGGACGTTTTGTATTCTTTTCCTGTGTTATTGAATGGAGCTTTAGATCAACGGCGTTGCAATCGTACATATAGGCCAAAAATACAAGCATATATCCGGGACGAACAAAACTTTGTTTACTTTTCTGCGCCCTCTTCCATGTAAAATCTCTATACCAGCTGCGGGACTTTATAATGAAATCCTTCAAGTTGCCTTGGTAGGGGGGTTGCAATTACGCCACTAAGATGTGAGAATAGCTGAATTGATTTCATAGTGGACGATTCCAAGGTACAACGAGTTGGGACATAGCCAGGTTATGACAAAATGTTGAACTTGGAGTGAAACGCGAAACTCTAGCAAAATGACACACCCACGAGCAACTCTGCTCGAGAGTCGTGATGAACAGTGGCTCAAAGGCGGACTCGAGCAGGCGAAGAACTCTAGACCGTGAAGTTCATCTGGCGGCTGGCCTGCTCTAATTCAACGCCTTGGCTTGTCTATTTGGCGTCATGTCGCTGTTCTTGTCGGGTGCTTGGGTTGAGCTCGTGGTCTTGTTGGTTTTGCTGGAGTCGAGGTTCCTTGTTGACGGTCAACTCTTCCTCTAGAACGTTTTGTTGTCATCTTCTTTGTTGTTCCACTCAAGTCTTGGCCTCTGAAGAACGGCCATCGTTGAGGCACTGCCCCGGCAACGTCGACACCAAAAATCACGCACCTTGCCCACAAAACAGGCAAGGAACAGAGACAACACAAGATGTATGGGCAAATAAAAGAGGGGGAAATAAATCCCCTAATATTTCACCGCGAAGCTGTCCGTCCCATGAAAACGTAAAACAAAAAATGCCATGGAAGGTCGCTTGGACTCGTCTCTGCCGTTCTTCTGGCGTCCACTCATTTTCTTTCGTCTCTCAAATGGACCTTGTGTCTTCCGAGTAAATTTTCGCTTCCTCGTTCACCAACCATCGATTCTAAACCGAGAAAACAAACAACACAAAATGGCACATAGCTATGGCATCGATCCAGGATTTTAAACCCAGAAGCTGACACACAACGAGGAGCACAACTGAGGAGCACCCACAATCCACGACATCCAAACGCCCACTTTTTTCGAACCACAAAGCCGGTGTGAAAAATTAGAAACAAAACGCGGGGGATAATCAAGAAGAGACGTCACAAGATGTTATCCATGAAGTAGAAACCCGGAAACGAAGCGAGCTGTGCAAAAGTAAAAGAAACGTAAAGAAAAAGGAGTCATGAGAAGAAAAAAAAAGAAAAAGAAATCAAAAGCTAGCCTAAGTAGCAAATGACAAGAAAAACACCCAAACCTCTTGGAGCGCAAAGATTGGGAGTTTCGTTTGTCGCGCCTGAATATGCGTGTTCGTCACACAGGTTGTCGAGGAAAGTAAAGCCGTCGTTTCTAATGCTCTACCAAACGGTACTAGCTGACGCCATGCTCAGAGACGAGGAGGAGTGGTTGAAAGTGGAATGATACGACATGGTGAATGCCGGAAACGAATAAGTAAGAAAACGGACGCCGCAGCTTGGCAGCGGTCTAAAAGGTCGCTCTTTGCAAACAAACGCCAATCACACGCCGAAGAATTCGTTCATCTTGTCTTCGACAATCGTCATGTTGGCCTTTGCTGCCGTAATCGCCTCTGTTATCCGGGCCAGGCATACGCTCTTGTCCGGCTCGGGGGTGCCGTCAAGCGTCATCTTCTTTCCGTACTGCTGGATGACCTGGCAGTGGTCCTTCACCTTGTCGAAACCGAGTGCTGCTGATGAGCCCTTCAGGAAGTGGCCCAAATCCGACAGTTTTGCGAGGTCTTCGCTGGCCCTTGTGAGTCTTAGTATGAGCACCGTACGGAACGCCAAGTAAGTTGTATCAGGCTGCAACGCTGACTTACACGGCTGCGTCCATCCCTTGGAACGTCTCCTTGGCTTGGTCGAAGTAGTCGTAAACAAGCGTTTTGCTAAAATCGCGATTTGACGGGCTGTCGTCCATCTCAAGAATTTGCTCGAACGCCGCCTCGCTAACACTGTCACCGAAGTTGAAAGACATGTTGGGCACTGTCTCCGGTCTGTTGACGAAACGAAACGGTGTTGATAGGGTGTGATGTGCTGCTCAACGTACGGCGCCTCGCTCAATCTAAGTCTGTTAGTGAAACGAGCTTCAGGTGCAAATCGCAAACAGAATATGGCGCAGCATATCGTGGCAGTGGCAGTGGCAGCATAACGGGCACAAACTTTCCAAATTCAGGCTGAAGGAGAAGCAACAAGATGAGGGAGTAACGTGAGTGGCGGTGTGTGGTAGGTGGAAAGGTATCGAAGACGCTGTCTGCCCCGCGATGTTTGAAGCGATGCACGGAAAAGCTATTTTGTTGGAAACGCAGCGTGGTAGCTAAGAACAATGACAAGGTAAAGGTAATGTTGAGGGAAGAAAAAAAAGAAACACGGAGAAACAATATAAACAACGGCAGGCTGTGAAGAGTTTCGAAAGCCCTGGGCCCGCCGGGAGAGTCCGAACATATACGTATGCGCTTGCCATCAACCCTGGCTAGTGGACCCATGCCAGACGGGTGGAAGGGTAGGGGTAGACAGACGGACGGAAGAGAGGGGTGGAAGGGAAAGGGTAAGAAGGCCAAAAACCCCGCGTTATTTAGGCCACTGGACGCAGATATTGCGGCAAGAAAACAGCCAAAGGTCCCCAGTAAGATGGGGGGCGTGTTCCGGTGCGTATCATAGGACGAAAAGCACAGGCCAAGGCACGCAGGATGACAGATGGCCAGGGCTGTTTCTGTGCCTGCACCTCGTGCATACTGTGCATGCCGGGGCTCCTTTCCTCTCCCTTTGGAAAAGCGCGAGAGAGAGAAGAAAGGGAGGGGAGGGGGGGGGGGGTGAATCCCAGGTAAAAAGTGAGCTACAGCAACTATAAGCAGTTGGATGCCCGAATCGGTAATCAGTGGAAGCCACTTGGCAGGAATCGAGGCGGTGGGATGGGTATAAACAGCACAAAAATACAACCAGCCCGAACTGACGTTGGGTTCAGTTTGCAATCGAGGGGAGCAAGTTTTGTGCCGGAAAGCAACCGCAAGAAGGTGTGCCGAACACGTGCCCAGCTGGCGTCATAATACTCACATTGGTCGAAGCAAGCTGTTTGTCGTCGCCGTGCAGGAGGGAAGCCGTCCTCGATATGGTTGACGAAGAGACAGAGTTACAATCTCCGTCTGAGAACGATTCCGGGATTGTTGATGGGGATATGATGCAAGAAGTGCCTGTTGTGCGTGCAAAGATCGAGACGCTGAAGAGATATAGTTGTCTGCCGTCGTATCCAAGTCGGGTGATGGTCGTGCCTTGATGTATAAGCGCGGTTTCTTCGGCACGAGTGGTGAGTAACTGTTCCTGGGAACTTGGGTGTGGCCACCGGCCTGGCGCCTCTTTACAGGTCAGGTAAACGAACCGGTGTCGGGTCTTTGTGACACAATAGCACCTGACCGGACGCTTGAAGCTGCAAGGGAGGAGGAGGAAGAGGAGGACGGCGAGGATGGAGGACGCGAAGAGATGCGGCCAGGCGGAAGGATGTGCGGTGGCAGACTTGTAGGGTATTTGGTTTGGAAGCTGAAGAAGGTAGAAGAAAGGAAAGAAAGGAAGAATAGGAAGATTAGGAGAATAGGACGAGGAAGAAACGAGAAAGAGTGGAACGGCACGCGGGCAGCTAATGGCGAAAGGAAACGGTAACTGGAATTAAGACTTGAGACTTTGGGGTGCACACAACCATAGACGCTCCTGGCGGTTAAGGCCGAATAGGGTTTGGCGGCGCGGTGATGGGTGGATATCGTCGACAAGGGGACGGCGAGCGAGCGTCTCGTTGTTCTCACGGACAACTGCTGGTATGATTTTGTGGTCTTGTGGTTGTTGACGAGGACAGGCGAAGAGAGCAACGTTTCTTTGATGGGAGGATGTTTTGGTGTAATTGGACACTTCTATGGGAAAGGCCAACGGCGCGGCCAGACGAGTTGGCGGATTGGGGTGGTGTGCATACTTTTGAGGAAGGCTCCCCCTTTCTCCCCTCTCCTCCCCCCCCCCACCCGCATGAAATGCGCGCTTCCTTTGGGCCAACGTCAAAACTACTGCTAGTGAGGGCACTACGGGCCAAAATGGTATGAGGAAGGCACGGTCGGCCATAAAAAAGGGGACTGCTCCACCAGCGCCAATGCACTGTTGTCCACAATTTACCACACAGTGTGACGACAATTCTTATCGAAAGTGAGATATGTTGGGTCTTTTTCTTTTCTATTTTTCTTTTCCTTTTCCCGCTGTTTTCTTCTTGGCGAGCAACATGTTGACCATCGGCCGCTCTTTTGAGGCTTTGTAGTATGTTCAAATGGCTGTCTACGAGTCTGTGTCACTGGTCGTTGTTTCCAGTCGTAGTTTCCAGTCGTAGTTTCCAAGTAGTTCTGCAAACGCATTGCGTAAAGACTAGGGCAGGCCGGTTGTCCTTGCTTCTTCGGGGTCCTTTCGTCTTGGAACGGCAGGTGCCAGCTGGGAGCCTCACGCACTGGTTTCTGTCTGGGATTAAGTCGCTGAACTGGGAAGGAGTGATGCTCTCTTCTGTAGAGCCGCATGCGTGCCACTACAACCACCCTCTCGGTTCTTCTTTTTATTTTTTACTATCAACTGGACTCCTAGAGATGCACACGTTGACGAGAGCCAGCAGGGCTGAAAGCCACAGTGTGTCACTGGTGACGGATAGCCTGCTACGTAGGCCAGCGTCTCGAGATGAATATGTGGTCTTTTATCTTGTAAATGAGAGCTTCGACCCCCAGTGGTGCTCCCTTCTCTCGTCGGCCGTTTTACGCCCAGCCTTCGTACTGTCGTTCGCACCTGCTGCAGCGACGATCATTTCCCAGAATGGGGCGACAAACGAAGAATTTTAAAGACAAGAGAAGCGGCAGGCAGGGGGCAAGACTAGCACTTCAATAGTGGCGGCCTGTAATTGCTTCATATGAGATATGCAAACCAGTTCGCTGCTTTGTATTCGTCAGAGCCTCCTCTGCTGTTGTTATTACGGTCCTCTCTGACCCATGTACATATTTGGCCGCTCACGGCTGATTTCAAGCGATTTCAAGCGATTTTATATTTTAGTTTTTATTTTATTTTCTCTCCCTCTTCCTACCTTCCGGTTCTTTTGCTTTCCTATTTCCAAAATGGTGCTGAAAGTCCATTGCTCCTGCCTGATTCTTTTTGTTTTTTGTCTACTTCCTTCCGTCTGATGTGAATGTCGGTGCCCAAGTAAAATGACTTGGACGGAACAGGATAGGCTGGGTCGATTAAGCCCCCCCGCCTAAAAGGACTATGACGCAATGGTGTTCCACAACTTCAATGCCACGCGGAAGGAACTTCCTACAGTGGGGTTGTAATAATACCAGTGCTACGCCATTGGCGCCTTCCCTTTTGGTGGGACGAGCAGCGCTCAAAATTTGAACCCCTCCTCCCTCCTGCCCTTTCTACACACGGCTAGCACAATGTAGACCTAGACCGTCGTTGTTGCACTTTTAGCAATGCGCCTTCCATCATCGCATGGCAGGCAGTTTGTCGAAGAAGGAGCGATACGCACCGAGTAGGGGGCTTCCTAAGAAGTTTAGAAAAGGAGAGAAGCTCATCATTTATGAGTTTGAGAAACAAAGTTTTTCAATTCCCTCGCCCATCTTCCTATGCGCCACATCCACAGAACAAGCGCCGCCCATTCTCCATCATACTCCCCGTACCCATTCCATCGGCTGGGCCTGGACTTGCCCACCGGGCCCCTCTCCTGTACGTTAAATCCCTTCCCCGTGCCTTTGGCAGTTCGGTAAATGTTTTAGCCCGAGATTATTCTCATTAGATTATTCTCATTTCGTTCTCAACCGCCGGTGTAAACCGGTCTCCTTCATGGACAGGTTTGGTTCTGGCGATGTTCACCATTGTCCGCGAACGTCCACTCTTCCACTCCTCTACTCAGCACCGCCCCATCTCTGCGTCAATGCAGACAAGATGGCCATGAAAACGCCTTTGCCTCACGCTAGGCGAGAGTCAGATAGGCTTGTGTGCGACGATGAAAAGCGGTGAGTACTCTCCAGCTCACCTTCTCCATCAATTCCACCGGGCTTCCTGTCTCCAGGGTGGGGGCAAAGCGGTCCTTTTCCTACCCTCTTGGCCTGGCAAGGCAACTATCGAGGAAGCACTCAGCCGAATTTGAGAGATTCGAGATGCAGGGTCCAGCCCGGGTGCCGTCGGTAGCGCAATCCCGAACAATCGGGGACAAATGGGCCATCTCGTGACCTACGGCCGACGCTCTCCTTGAGATCATTGTGGGACATGCTCCCACTTAACAATATCTTCGGGTGAAGCAGAAACACCAACCGACTCCTTGTGGCTCGGCGGGCTCTTCTCTCCACATACTCTCTTCCTGGGCCGGGGACATGGCTTCAGCGCTGCCTGTCGTTCCGGCTCGTCTGTTTTGCGTTTTCATAGTCCCTTTCCTCTTATCCTTTCTTTTCGACGGTGCGTTGTCGTTTCCTCGGGGATTCCTCCTTCGTGCCCTTGTCTAAACACATTTACTAACCGACATTATTGTTTTATAGTGTTTTTTGCTTGTGCGATACAAGCTATCAGCTGCCGACGCAGTGGAAAAAGAAAAAAAAAAAGAAAAGAAAAGTCTACCAACTTAGCGGCACAGCCCGCAATAAAATACTCTTGTGGTGGTTGCTGTCTTCCTTGTTTTCGCCCCATATTAATTACGTCGTGAGCTGCAGGAGGAACTGCAACGTAAAAGGGCGCCCCTCTTTACGCACAGAGCATCCGTCCGACGTCATAATAGCCTAGTGCTCGGCCGCCCAAGCGTGACCAGCCGTTCCACTACAGGTGCAGGGTCAGGGGATCACTTCCCCACCACACTTGCTGTTACGCCAATTAGAAGCAGTCGGGATCTGTCACTTTTCTTCCAACGCCATTGCGGATTTGGTTTTGTCCCTCAGCGCCATTTCCAGCAATCTCACGAGGCACAATTACCACACCGAGTTGGTTTGGGTATGGTACGGCGGCCTGTTGTCCAGTTTTTCTCCATATGAAGCCAAAACACACAGACTAGGCCGGAGCGACTGGCTGCTCCGGTGGGAAAATAAAAGAGTTTCCTTATCCCCCGAAAGAAGAAAGGCGCCCAGCGCCCAGATGACTTCAAGCCCCAACGATACTGGTCCAACTCGAAAAGGGGCTTCAAAGTAGTCGATGTCCTCCCTAGACTACGACGCTAAATAACGGCGCCTTTTCGCAATTGGGAATACGACTGTTAAGGTCAATGAGCTGAATTTTCCACATGTAAGTTCCCATCCGGCTTTTTTTTTCGTCTTGTGAGTCTAGTTTAGGGCTTTACTTCAATACCCGGAATGTGATCACGTCTTGCCCGTCTACGAGGTCTACCGACCGTTAAATTTCCAATTGTTCCACGACACCCAAAGTTTATCTGGATTCCTTTTTTCGGAGTTGGAGAAAGGCGTGCAAAATCATTACTTCGTACTTCCAATACAGTGCTAGTCGCACATTGGTCTCGGAAATCGGCACCGCTGGCTTCCCAGAACAGCTTTTGCCAAGACCCTACATATGCCTTTTGGAGCTTTTCTTCCACGGTGTCTCGAAAGGTCGTTCACCTGGGGGTCCCTGTCTAAGAGGAGATATCTTACAGATAATAACGTAAACGGAACCAAACAAGTTTTTGGAGGGCCTTGAGCCTGTGAGACTTTTGACAAGATCGTGAGGTTTGGTCAAAGTATGCATTGTGGTCCTTATATTTGTACTTCATATAATTATAAAGGGCCTGCCGAAGCGGAGCCGGACCCTTGTGCCGTTTACGAAGTAAGTTGGAGCTCCTCAAAAAAAATGGAGCGCTGCATCCACAGAGCCTAGTAAATAGACGAAATATTTTCTGAGTTTTGCACGGCTACTTATGCCCACTCCTCATCTGTTAACCATTGTTTGTTAACCATTATTGCCGTTCGATATTTAAACGTCACTGACGATAAGAGTTATGGTAGCCGGATTCCTTTCCCAAAATCTGAGCATTTTTGGAGCACGCACATTTGAATTCATGTCATTGCGGTCTGTCATCAGATATACGGCTATCAGAGACACAGAACCATCATATCATCACGCCTTTAATCCTGGAAGAGTGTATTTCTCACGTCATGTGGTAGGACGCGCACTTTATTTGCTGCTCTGTCCTCGCCAAGTGTAGACAGCGGAAACAGCACTTTTGCCAGATCTGACGAGTACTCCGCGGAACACATGTGTGTATAAACCGGAGCATATTGACGAGGAGAGAACCTCCACAGCGGCACCTCAACCTCCAGCCTCACCTGCTATGTTCAGTCTACTTCCGCATAATGATGAGCCAGGAGACAAGCACATATTTTCGAGGGACGTGCTTGTTAGTCGCCGTCGGTTTTCTTACTTCTTCTCCTCCTCCTTCTTTGTCTTCATGGTTTTGTGGTTCAATACGAAAGCACACGACCGCATGGCGTTAGACTCTGCTGGACCATGTAAAGAACACCCTCTTTCTGTCACCTTATCTTCCTGGTAGGGTAAGCAGGGTAAGGTAGGGAAGCCTTGCCCCAAAAACCTGTTTTTCGTACATATGGTCGTGCATCCACGTCGGACGGGAACCGTCTTGCCCTCTCACATTTGGTCTCTTCAAGACCCATAGGCCTGGCCAGACCCTTCGGGGTCGTCTCGCGGCGGCCAAAGGAAGGGTGAGAAACAGAAGGGATTTGAAAAAAGAGAATTTTTTTTTAACAATGTGGTGGACCAGAAGGTTGGGGGTCCTCTTGGCATTGAGCACTGAACATTCGCTTGTCAAGGGACAAGGCAGCGGCTTGCTGGGGAGATTTTGAACGAAAAGAGACCTGGGCGGTGCAACTTAGCGAGCCAATCGCATCCGGCCCTCTCTCCAAGTCCTCGATTCGTGCACTCGGTGTCACTGCTCAAAACTTATCAGGCAATGTGAGGCAATGTTGAGAGTCAATAATAATGCAAAGTATGATGCAGTTTGGTAGACGTTCGGATCGAGGAGCAACATTACGGAGGAGATGTCTCACTGTGAATGTTTGGCAGCGTGATAGTTTTTAAGAGAAACGAATGACGAGACATCAATATGAAATGGCACAGGAGGGAAAGGGTTGCAGTAAGATGAGGTATTATTAGTAAGTCGTCTAACAAAAATGAACGCAGGCATTATCTAAGGGTCGGTCGTGTTTCTACGGAGTAGTTCCTGCTCCTGCTCCCTGCTCCCTGCTCCTCCCCGTCTACAGAATTACCTTGGATGCCACACTGAGCAGCCAGGCAGCGTCCTGCCATGTGCCTTCGTTGGAACCGGGCGGTGGCGGCACAGGATCCTCGGTGGCATGGCTTTCATCGCCCTCGAACCGGCGTCGGTTGGCAGCCACGGTCGGTCCCTGCCGGTTCCAGCCACGACGCTTCCGAGACCGCCGCCGCCGGCCGTTGGCCACTGCTTTGCCATCCTGCCCGACAGAGCCTTGCTCAAGTATGTCGTCGCTGCTTCTCTCGGTGCCGCCAGCCTCCGTATCGTCATCCTCCTCCTCTTCGTCCTCGTCTCCATCCTCCTCATCTTCGTCGTCGTCGTCGTCGTCGTCATCGTCCACCTCGCCTTCTGTCTCTTGGACAGAGAAAAGCGACCAGCCAAACACGTTGCCCAGCCACGAACCCATGACGCCGCCAGCCTTCTCGCGCTTGACGAGTCGCCGGATGTGGTCCTCGTCCTCGAGACTCATGTCCCGCTGGTGGAGCTCAATGGCTTCCAGCGCCTCGTCGAGGTTGACAAAGTCCGGCCCTGCGGGCGTCGCTAGATGATTATGATTCACGCCGTCGTCTTCGGCAACCTCCGCATAGTCAAAGTACCCGGCCTCGCCCGTGGCCGGCATGCCGCTGTGGTCCAGCGAATGACGGCGGGTGTCCAAGGGCGTGAGCAGCTGCACGCGGCTCCCAGCGCGGCTGTGCGTGCGGCTCGCAGGGCGACTGCCCAGGTGGCTACCCGCGCGGCTTCCGAACCGGCTGCCCGACCGGCTCGCGGGACCATGAGCCGAGGCAATCGGGGACGTGACGTCGCGGTCAAGGCTGCCGCGACGGCTTCCACGGCGGCTGCTGCCCGCAATGCGGTCGAGATACTCGCGCTCGCGCGCCAGCTCGCGCTCAAACGCGGCAACGTCTTCGGCCTCTTCGGCGCTGCGCAAGCCCGACAGGCTCGTGGAGCTAGCACGTGCTGTTAGCCAGCTCTGGCCCTTGGACTCGCGGGCCTCGCTCGCAACGAGAACGGCGGCGCGGAACAGCCAGTCGTCGCCGCCGCCCTCGTGGTGGCCGTGGTCCGTCTTGCGGCGGCGGTGCTGCCGTGCGCCACCACCGGTGCCATTCGAGCGGAGATGCTGGTGATTCCCGTCAATGTGCAGCTGTGTTGTCGACAGGCTCTTTGCCAGCGCACCGGCATGGGCCTTGCTGCTGTGTCCCGTGCCGCCCGGGGTGCGGGAGCCACCGCCCGCCACGTGCGCGCGATGGCGGCCCTCGTGGGAGTGCGAGCGAGACGCGGTCGGCGACTTGGAGAGCAGCCGCGGCGTGGCCGGGGCCGAGCGACCCTGGATGTAAGAAGGTATCCGCGCAAGGGCAGCGCTGTTGCTGCCGGTGTGGGCATTTGAGAAGTAGGAATGGCTGTCGATGATGTCGGTGCCGTCGTAGTCGTCACGGAGTGGAAGACGCGACGTGAGCGGTGCGAGCGAGAGGTGTTGCAGGTTCGCGGCCGACCGGTTCTTGCGGCGTGCTTGCTGCTGCTGGGAGTACGCGAGGTCCATCTCGTTTCGTGGACGGTGTCTCGCGAGCGTTGAGTGCCTGCAGCGCTATTCCCGGATAGCTGTTTATCGTGACTCGTCCCTCGTCGAGTTTTTTTGTCGAGTTTCTATTGTCGGGTCTATCCGAGAGGATTCGCCAATCGGCGCGGTAGGCTGGCTAAATTCGACAGAGAAGCTCCAACGCGTGTAGTAACGAGCTTTGGAAGATGGCAACGAGATGAGAGGAGATGGATGCAATAGTCACAATGGTGCGGTGAAAAGGTTGTGTTCGTTTCTGTTGGGGAAGGTCCAGAACCAACAGCGAGAAATGGAACGTTCTCTCAAGAGTTTGTTTTGGGAAAGAGCTAGGGGAGCTGAGAAAAGGGAGGGCTAGCAGGTCACAAGTGCGGAGGTGGTGGATATGGGGGACTGAAAGGGGCCGAGAAAAGGAATGCTGGGGCTGTTGATTGGGCGAGTGGAGCAGCAGAAGAAAGACGAGCAAAGCAAGGAAGGTGCGAACAAACCACCGTCACCACCCGCTACAAGAAGGACGCACCAATTGCACGCGAAGCAAAAAGACAGAAAAGGAAAGAGGCAAAGGTGCATGCAAGGAAGGCGAGACGGCCGAAATACGAGAGACAACAGTTGAGAATCAACATCACCTAAAAGGTACGATTGGCGGCGCATTTCTGAGTCTTATAGTGTGGTGCTGTCAGCGGTTCTTTTGAAAACTTGCCTTTCAGATGCTTCCTCGGCCAGGGACAGGGAGATAATACTAGGCAGCGCCACGCGCAGACGAACAAAAGTCGGAAAGGCTGGGCGACGTCGAGACAAAACGACCGGGCATTTACCTACCACCGGCTCTATTTCTGTGGTTATCCGAGTTGTTTCCTTGTTATTCGAAAATTCTTCATTCTTTCAACCCCCCTCTCTACTTCGCACCGGAGACAGGTATCTCACCTCATCATTCTGACACTGTCTCAGTTGACCAGTACGACGTATTCGTGGCTCCGTCTCCGTCCATCGTAGTTTCCCTCACGCCGCCTACGAACCTGCCATGTCTCACAACATAGCGGCCCAAGCCAAATGACTACGAAGTAGGCAGGAGCTTGAAAACCGTCGTCTTTGGCTTTGGCAGAGCTGTCAGCTACGAGATCAGCCTCAGAAGTAGCCGGCCAGTTGGCTCAATCGAGCTGAGAAGAGAGGCTAAGAAGTGCTCACTTCGCGTTGCATCGTTTCACAACTTTCTCTGTTGTCTGAACTTGGAGACATATCAGCTCGCCTGACGCTTTTGTTGCTGTCCGTAAATCTGGCGTGCTCGCACTGTCTTTGGCTCTACTTTTGGCCTGAGCAGAGGCTCATTGGTGCAGCCCCGCACAGTGCCAGAAATCCAAGAGGCACGTCACCAATAGGCAAACTTTTTTTTCACTTCGATCGTGCCTTCCCTCTGAAGGATCAGACGAAGCGAGCGACTGCAGCCCCATCCTTGGCAAGGCCACTGCCAGTCCTCAACTGTCGTCGTATCTCGCCCTTTTCATTCCTAACCAAACGCATCTGGTCTCTCCACGGCCCTTTGCAAACCCCGCCTAAGCTCAACCACACTCGTCCTCCGGCACGCAGCGCCCGGACCGATTTTGAACGATCCGTAGCGGCTGCCCGCCATGCGGAACCTCCGCAACATCCGCTATGATGTGTGCCACGATGCTACCGGTGCCACAGCAGCCTGCTGGGATGCCGGGCAAGACGAGGTGATTGCGGCCTTTGGCCCATCAGAGGACGAGCCGAAGGTGCGGCTGACCCGCGTCGTCGACCGCTCTGAGCTGTACGTGCTGCGTCTTATATACTTGTCCGAATGTGTTCTGGCTGTCAATCACTTGGTATTCTAACGTGTCCTCTCAGAACTTGTCATGACTTTGCTTCATGGGATGCTCTCAGTCCTAACCCAGACATGGTCGTGGACCGGATTGTGAGCCTGCACTATTTTGGCGACCTGGCCACGGTCTGTGTCATCATGGCCGGTGGCGACATTGTCATGGCCCGTGAGGAGACGTCTGGGTCATATGAACCTGTGCACATTGAAATTGTCGGCTCTGTCGACCCAGGCATTGCAGCCGCCCGTTGGTCGCCCGACGAGGAGGTGCTTGCGCTTGTCACCACTGGCGGCAACTTGATATTGATGAGCCGGGCCTTCGAGACGATCGGGGAGACGCCCCTGACCCCTGCCGACCTGGCAGCCTCAAAGCACGTCTCTGTAGGCTGGGGAAAGAAGGAAACCCAGTTCAAGGGCCGTGGTGCTGCGAAAGCCATGCGCGACCCTACAATACCCGAGATGGTCGACGACGGCACGCTGAGTCCGGCAGATGATGCGTCTGCCGTGACCATCAGCTGGCGTGGGGATGGCGAGTATGTGGCTGTGAATGCAGTGGAAGCAATCGTCGAAGGCGGGGACGACGCAGCAAATTCGCCAGAGACGAAGACGAAGCGCCGGCGGGTCGTTCGTGTCTACAACCGCGAGGGTGTACTTGACAGTGCCAGCGAGCCTGTTGACGGCTTAGAGAGCTACCTAAGCTGGCGGCCGTCCGGAAATCTGTTGGCAACCGTTCAACGCAAACCTGGGGGGAGCCACCCTGACCAGTTTAACATCATCTTCTTCGAACGCAATGGCCTCCGGCACGGCCAGTTTGAGCTCCGTTTGCCGTCAACGGGAGCTGGTACAGGGCCCGTGGGTCTCGACTGGAACACCGATTCCACGGTGCTTGCCATCACATACGGAAGCGAAGTCCAGTTCTGGACCATGGGCAACTACCACTGGTATCTCAAGCAGGAGATTGTCACGAGGTCACAGCGACCACTGACGGTGTGGCACCCCGAAAAGCCACTACGCCTTGTTACCTCCACTTTCGACGGCCTCGCCAGTGCCGAATATGTCTTTTGTACGGCCCGGGGAACCCTCACGCCACCGAATGACCACGGCTCTGTCGCCGTCATAGACGGCAAGTCTATAAAGCTGACACCGCTGCGTGCCACAAACATGCCCCCGCCAATGAGCCTCTTCGAGCTTCCTACCAGCCTACCGGCAATTGACGTTGCCTTTTCCCCCAAAGACGATGCCCTCGCCGTATTGACCTCGAGTGGGCTTGAGGTGTTCTCGTGGACGTGGCCTGCCACTGCGAAACGGTCGCCGCAGCCAACACTCGCGGCCTCGCTCTCTTTTGCACATGATGCCAACTTTGTTGGGTTTGTCCCGCTGGAAGTGTGCTTCATCCAGGGCTCAAAGTACGCCGTGTACGTTCTTGGTTGGGATGCGTTGTCTCGGACGCAGATACGTTCTTTTGTACTTGACCGCGAAGGTGGCCAGTTGGCGCCAACGGACCCAGTGTCAGTTGCACGCGGCTCGATCCTGGCAACGGCCCACCAGGGCCGCGATCTATATACTCAAGATCCTTCAGGCGCTCTGACTCAACTGAACGCGGAAGCCCCCTCTGCTTTCCCATTCCGTGCGAAGCTACCTAGTCTCCTTCCTTGGGTCGAGGTCGTCGAGTCTGGCGAATCTGGACCTCAGTTTGCCATTGGCTTGTCGAGAAACGGACACCTCTACGCCAATGAGCGTCAATTGACCAAGAACTGCACTTCCTTCGTTGTGACGGATGACCACCTTGTCTTCACAACAAGCAATCACCTCCTCAAATTCGTTCACCTGACAGACGTCCACGATCTCGAAATCCCACTCGACGATCCTGAAGCTGATGAGAGATGCAGAAGTATCGAGCAGGGTGCGCGTCTTGTCACGTCGATCCCATCCAACCTGTGCGTCGTCCTTCAAATGCCTCGAGGAAACCTAGAGACCATCTTTCCTCGAGCTATGGTTGTGGCCGGCATCCGGAAGCTGATCGACGCGCTCGACTATGGTAAAGCCTTTGCCTTTTGCCGATCCCAGCGTGTCGACATGAACATTCTCTACGACCATACACCGCAGCAGTTCCTTGCCAATGTCGACCTGTTCCTTGACCAGCTCAACGACGTCGCGTCCATTGACCTGTTCCTGTCCTCCCTAAAGGAAGAGGATGTGTCTCAAACCATGTACAAGGACACGAAGAAAACAAGTACAGCCACACCATTTAGACTACCTCAGCTGGTGCCACCGACCCCGGCGCCCGCATCAGCGTCATCCACCAAGGTCAACACGGTGTGCGATGCAGTTTTAGCCCGTCTGGCAACGCGGAAGAAAACCAACCTCCAGAACATCATCACAGCGCACGTGTCCAAACTGCCGCCGGCAATTGATGACGGTTTGACTGTTGTTGCCCAGCTCCTTCACGCCAACGATACGGCTGCAGCCAGAACCGTGTCGGCAAAGGCCGTGGAGCACATTTGCTTCCTTGTCGACGTCAACCAGCTCTACGACCACGCCCTAGGCCTGTACGATCTGGACTTGACAATAGCCATTGCACAACAGTCCCAACGAGACCCCAAGGAGTATGTCCCATTTATTCGGACCCTGCACGAAATGTCACCAACCTGGCGCAAATTTTCCATCGACGACCATCTCGAGCGACATGAGAAGGCGCTTAGCCACCTCGCCGACTTTGACGACTTCAACGAGTTCCTACAGTACACCAACAAGCACCGTCTGTACAAGAAGGCTCTTGGGATCTACCGCTACAATACCGAGCGCCACTCCGCCATCACCAATGCATATGCCGAGTATCTTGTCACCCAGTCCAAGTTCCGCGAGGCTGGCCTGGCGTACGAGTCGCTGCAGAACTTTTCGAAAGCGGCGAGCTGCTACCAGTCTGCGGGCGTATCCTGTTGGCGAGAATGCCTCTTTGCCGCACAGAGTCAGACGCCACCTTTATCCAGCGATGTTTTCAGCGAGCTTACCTCCAATCTTGTCGATGCCCTCCTCGAGGCGCGCGACTACACTGCTGCAGCCAAGATTCAGCTGGAGTACCTCGCGTCTGTCGAGGGCGTGCGCACCCTGTGCAAGGCATACGAGTTTGCCGAGGCGATGCGCGTGACGGCGCGCCTGGGCCGTGCGGATCTACTACAGACACATGTCGACCCGGGCTTGGGCGATGCCCTCTCTTCGTCGACGGAGCTCTTGGCCGACTGTCGGTCTCAGCTGAAGGCACAGGTGCCTCGCATACTCGAGCTCCGGCAGAAGGCCATTGAGGATCCACTCGGCTTCTACGAGGGCGAACGGCTGGGCGGCGAAGACGTCCCCGACGACGTGTCCATTGCGGCCAGTTCACGCATCAGCACGAGTGCCAGCCTGTTCACGCGCTACAGCACAGGCACCGCCGCCACGGGCAAGACGGGCGAGACGGGCGGCACCGGGACCACGCAGCAGCACCGGAACCGCAAGAAGCGCGAAGAGAAGAAGCGCGCCCGCGGCCGGAAGGGCACGGTGTACGAGCAAGAGTACCTGATCAACAGCGTGCGGCGTCTCGTTGAGCGTGTGGAGCGGGCGCGGCCGGAGGTCGAGCGCCTTGTCGTAGGCCTGACGCGGCGTGATATGGCCGAGCGGGCGCGTGCCATAGAGGCTCTGATGGCCGAGCTGATTGAGGCATGCCAAGCGGCCATCCGCGAAGTGTGGCAGCAACCAGCCTTTGTCGGCGGCCAGACAGCGCCTGCGATGGCCACTCTCAGCGTGGAGAACGCCAACGGCCAGAGCCAAGACAACGGCGGCGATGCGGCACCGGCCAACAACAACACGACGCCATGGATTGCTGGCTTTGAGCGTCTGTCGCTCCTCGGCTAACCGGGGCATCTGGCACGCAGTGCAAACCGTATTCCATCGTTTGATGCTGCCCACTAGACCGGCCGCACTTTGTCACCGTACCACACTGCCGCGGGACGTACCAAAACGGCAAGAACGACCCAGCCCGGCTCCACTCTCGCACCTGCCCTCCGGAGGACATCCGGCCACGCCCTCGCAACCCAAAAACAAAGAAAAAAAAGCCAAATGAGGGCTGGTCTATGGTTTATATCTTTGCAGAGTGGTCTGCCCCTCAATGCAACTGGACCATTCGATTAACTTGGCCCTAATCGTTTGGCCCAGTTGGATTAACGAGGGCCTCCACCGGGAGGTTCCTGGTTCGACCAGCCGGCGAAGTGTTCCACCGGGGATATTTCGTGCAAAAATCGCCCAGCGCGGTTTTCGTAACCCTCAATTCCATCTACAGAGACTGCTATGGACGCATAGTTAGCACGTGTAGGTGTGTGTTGAGGGTGAGCTTTTTGTCTGTCTTGGCTTTTTTATTCTCGTTTTTCTTTGTATGTGCCTGTGGCCAAATAAGGCACGTAGACAGCGATATATGACATACCGTCAAGATAGATTTTTTTCACTATCGTAAAGTGCATGTAACTTGGTAGAATAGACACTCTATTTGCAAAAGCGCCAAAGCGGCTGATATCATGTACCATAAAAATCAAAATAGAAGCAAAGAGAATCTCAAATGGAATGCACTGCTGGCTGCAATATGACCTGGTTGTTCCTCGTATACGAAAACAGCGACGTTCACTTCCTCTTCGTGGGCTTGTTGCCAGCTGCCACGGGCGTCGTCGACCGTGACACGACAACCTGTGGCTGCGGCTGCACGGGAGTCGTTTGGCTGCTGCCGTGGCTGCTACTTCGACCCGCCGACGACGACGGTGCCGACGACGGTATCACATTTTGCGCATACTGCTCCGCATCCCGCGCGATGCGTTGGATGTCGATGCGGTTCTGCAGCGCGTCGTTGACGCCCTCAATCACGTCGCGCTCCTCCATCGCCTCCGCCACCAGCATCACCTCTCGCGCCCAGTACGCCTGCGTGCGCGCCCGCAGGTCTGTGTCGCGCAGCGCCGTGTTCTTGACAATCGCGCCGGCGCTCAGTTTGCTCTTGACGCCCGCCAGGCCGCGCGTGACAGCCGTGACGCGGTGGGCCGGCGAGGGCGGCGGCAGCGCGCCGAACAGCACGACCCCGAGCAGGCCCAAGCGCGGCGAGCTGTGCCGGCCCGAGGCGGCCAGGTACAGAACGGCGGCGAGGGCGGCGAGGAGGCCGCCGCAGGCGACGGCGCGATACGTGCGCATGGACCAGTAAAAGAAGTCGAGCTCAGCCAGGCGCGTGGCGCGCGCGTTGCGCTGCCCGTTGTACGAGGCCACGAGATACAGGTCGAGCGCGGCAAAGCACAGGGCGACGAGGGACGCCGGGGTGCGCCAGCGCCGAATGTGCGTGGCGGCGACGTCATAGGCGTGGTCGGCGGCGGACTCGCCGTGGGCGTCAAAGTCGGCATAGACGGATGCGGCCCCGGCCCCGGCGCCGGCGGACGCGCCGTGGCCGGACGACTTGCCACGACGGCCCAGGAGGAGAAGCGGCGACGTGACGAGAGCAATCAGGACGAGGTTGGCAAGGTGGGCGGCCACGAGGTCCGCCATGGCATAGTACAGGTAGTGCATGGCACTGAACCGGCTGGCGGCATCGACGCCGGTGCCGCCACAAAAGGGGCAGTTGACGAGCGCATCGGGGCCGTATTGGAGGTACAGCAGGCGCGACTCGAGGCTGACGAGCCGCAGACGCAGAGCCTCGTCCGCGGCCGTCAGCGTGTGGTTGGGGCGGTTGGACGCCAGGCGCGTGAATAGGACGTCGGTGGGTGCCTGCAGGCGGGACTCGGTCGCGGCAAAGACATTCTCCGGCATGCGCAGCGCCGACGGCAGACGCAGGGCGTGGCTGGCCGAGGCGGGCAGGACAAGGCCACCCGACAGCAGCCAGGCCAGGGCGGCCGCGGCCAGGAGGCTGAGAACGAGAACCGAGCGGAACGCCAGCGGCCGGACGACTGCTGCTGCCGCGCCGCCCTGCTGGCTCTGCTGCGCACGCACGCCTGCCTCGGCCTTGAGCTTGCGGTACATGCCGAGGACGCGCGGCAGCAGCATCGGCCCAAAGAAGAGGAGCAGGGACTTGAGTCTGCATCGAGCAGTGCAAGGTGAGCGCGTATTCAGGAGGAAACCTCGGACGAAAACGCAAAAGACATGCCGACTTACGTTCCCCATGGAATCGCCATGGCTGCGGATGGCAGAGCACAGCGGCTCGCAATCGTCGTTTGTGGTGCGAATGTAGCCTTTCTTGTGTCGAAAACGACCGCTCTGGCCAACAGCGGAGAGGCTTTACAAAGGGCACGGAAACCAGCAGAAACAAAAGACACGCAACAGGCCCGAGCTGTGTCAAGGCACGACGTCGTGGCAGCGTGTCTTTGAGACGTGAATAGGGTGCTATATTAGGACAAAGCTGTCCTTCTGCCTATGGCGACGAAAGCTACATAAGGGACAAGGGACCGGTGGTGAGAAGTGGGTCGCGCCTCCCTGTTCCTGAATGTATTCTGTACGATTAGCAGCCAATGAGGCCGTGCCTTGTCCAGGCATGTGCCTTTGTCCCAGCCAACCATGATTATGACTGTGTTAAACAAGCACTCGTCCTCTTTACAATAGTTTGTCTTTTTGTATCGTATATTGAAACTGCTTCTCATCTAGCTTTCGACATTCTGTGATATGGCTTTGTACCTGCCCTTGGACGAGTTCTCGTGCCGAGCTGAATTCGAGATGCCAGCTGGCAACACGTGATCGCCGAGAAAATGTGGGTCTGTTGAATGGGCCCATAAATTGGCAGCGCAAAGAAACAGCTTCGAGAAAATCTCAATCTCTCTCTCTTCCTTCATAAGACATCCACGATCTCCAAACACTGTGAACGGACAGACTCCGCGACAAGCCACGGGCATGTGTGCGACGCACTTCTTAAACGACAGCGACATTTTCCATGCAGCACAATATGGGATATAGGCCACGGCGGGGACACGTTGATGCCTCTCTATCCGTGGCGCCTATATTAAGGTTTGTTTCGTGCGTCATCTGTCTACACTGTGATCGCCTTCCGTGATGTCGTCGTGATGTCTCCGTAACAACGGGCACTTTCGAAGCTTTGGTGGCCCTTACTCTTCCATGGCCGCCACAGTCAATCTGTTGCCCAGAGCGAACCCAAGTTTACTCTGCCAAGAGTCATCTCATATCGTGTTGCAGGCCCTCCCTTTTTTGCCTCTATGGAGACCAACTGCGTCAAATTCATGAGAGACATGTGTATTGTCTTTGGTATATTATAGTAAACAAAGTAAGCCGGCCGTAGACATGCTTGCAACCGAAACGCCGACCGTGATGATCTGTCCTGTCATATATGTTTTTCCTTTTGCCCCCGTCGTTTTTGCTTCTACAATGTCCTCCTGGCATCCGTTTCGTGTTGCTTATGGGGCCTACCCACGCAAGACAGAATCGTGCTGAATCCTACAGTTCGTCTTTTCCTGCCCGTGCAGCCTTCGTCTCGCTGGACGTCTCTTTGCTCGACGCCCCCTCCGCAGCAACCGCTGCCTCCTTTTGCTTTGTGGACGTCGTCTCCTTTTCCTGCGACGGCGTCGTCGTGTCCCTGGCCTCCTGCACCAGCGCCACGAGCGCCACAAGGGTGTCCTTGACCAAGACCAGCACGCCCGTACAGGCCAGCTGCCACGAGGTGATGCTCACGCTGCCGCGGGGCGCGCGCGGGAAAGCGACGAGCCACTCGGCGTAGCCAGGGAACCAGCCATGGGGCAGCCAGAACATGGGCTCGCGGGCGTACCAAAAGGGCAGCAAAAACTGCAGGCCGCGCGTGAGCGCCAAGCGGAGGACGGTGACGGCCGTGTCAAACGAGCGCCGGCCCGTGTCGAGGGATTTTTCTAGACATGTCAGAGATCCAAACTCCAAATTCAACAGGGAAAAAAAAAAAAAAAAAAAAAAAAAGGACCGTGCAGACGACGTAGACGACGTACTCTTCGCCTCCAACTCTTCCAGTTTCTTGTCGTGCTGGCGGCGCAAACGGGCCCATTTGGCAAACTCGTCCTGGCTGCTGGTGGCATGGAGCTCCCGGCGGAGGGCGAGGTACTCCGTCTGGGCCTTGCGCTGCGCGGCGACGGCGGCTGATTGCTTGGACGGCACAATGCTGCAGATGCGCCAGAGGAAGTCGGCTATCGTGGCAGCGCCCAGCGAGTTGACGACCTGGACGGCCAGCTCGACGAGGAAGACGACGAGCAGGAGGGACGGCATCGTGGGTGGGCGGCGTGGTGTCTCGAGATCGCTCGCGTGTTCGGTGTGATGAAGGAGGAAAGGAAGGCTTTGTCGTAGCGGTGGGAATGTTTAGCTGTGCATCTCGGACAATACTCCGTACAGCGCATCTCACTGGAGGAAATGCACCGCCACAGGTGTGGTACATCTGCCACAGTACAGTCAGCAGCACTGAAACCCAGCGACTGAGCCCACTATAGTATAGAGGAACGAGGGGCTAGGCTCAAGCCGGGTATGGAGGTCCACCGAGGACAGCACTTGTACGTAAACACTTGCACACAACCTCGCTGGATTCATCTGTTTATCGAACCGGGCCATGTCGCGGGCTCTCGACAAGGCCACGGCGGCGGCCCTGCAGTCTGGCGACCCGGAGGCGGCATTCTGTGCCATCGCAGATGTCTTGACCGAGACAGCGGAGCAGCAAGAACGTCTTGAAATCGAGTTTCTCGGTCGCGAGCATCCTCCGCTGCCTGACGGCGGCTACGTCCTGCGGGAAGGCAATGCCGTGGCTGTACCCAAGCTGGCTCTCGTGCAAGCCTTTATCGTCGCCCGGGAGACGCTGCAAAAGCACAGAGCGGCGACGTTTCTGCTGCCCGCGACCGACGCCGTGCGCACACGCATCCTGCGCGCCACGGCGGTGCTGCTGCTGATGGACCCGGAGCACCTGACGGCCGCCAACACGCGCAAGCGGCTGATACTGGAGGACCTTCTGTCGGCCAGTGCCGACGCCGCGGCCGACGCCCCTGTTGCTTCGCGCGCGTCGCAACTCCTCGCAGACGAGCTCCACCTCATCGACAGCCTTCTCACCAGCCACCTGCACCGGCACACCAAGTCGCCGACGCTCTGGAGCCACCGGCGCTGGTTGCTTTTGCGCCTGGCGAACCCGGCGACCGACCGGACTCGTCTGCGTCGCGATGTGACGCACGTCGTCACGGTGGCGGCCGTGCGGCATCCACGCAACTACTACGCATGGGAGCATGCGCGGTGGCTTGTGCAGTGGCAGAGCCAGGGATCCAGAAAATCCAGAAATGGCACACCAGAGACGGACGAACACGACGACGAGAAGCTGCAGCTCGTCGTGCTCGTGCGCGACTGGTGCTATCGGCACCACACGGACACGTCCGGGTGGTCGTTTCTCTTCTTCCTTCTTGCCTCGCTGCCGTCTTCACCGCGCCGCACAGACGCTGCCCCGGCACAGCCATCGCCTCTGTACGAAGAGACGGTTGTGCAGGTCGAGGAGATGGCCACGTCGCTGCGTTGGACCGGTGAGGCCGTGTGGGTGTTTCTGCGCACGGCCGTGGCCTACCTCGAGCACTTCCGGCGCGAAACTGGCACCACCACCAGTGACGCCAGTGTGGCTACGGAGGAGCACAGTCGGTTGCAAGCAGCTGCTTCGACGCTGCTCGCCACCGTTGACCCAACGTCCCACGAGCACCAAATTCTGACGAGGGCACAGGCGTGGTGCGCAACAAGTACAGCCGGACAAACCGGCACCCAGAGCAACGCCACGTGAGAGGACCTCGTTGGTATGGCGTATACAAAACCCGGTGATATTAAACGATTGTTGCTACCAAGGTTTCCTATCTATCCCAATGTATATACCCAGATATGACCAATAAAACAAAGAAAAACAAGACAAACAAGACACAACGAGACGAGCAGAACAGCTTGTTTACAGCTTGTTTACAGCTTGCTCGACGTGCTCTCCTCGGCCACTGCTTCCCGCAGAGGCGTCATGCTGATCCAGAGGCCCTCGCACGTCGTACACACGGCGCCCGTGCCGTCGAGGATCTCCACGTCAAAGTATATTTTGCGGCCGTCGATACGGTTGAGTGTAGCCGTGGAAATGACCACGCCGGGCGTGGCCACGGGTTTGCGGAACTTGACGTCCATGCCCGCCGTCATGACCAGCCCGCACGTGCTCATGTCCACCACCTTGGGCGCGGGCTGCCACGCCGTGCCCGCGTCCTCGGCCTCGTCCTCCTTGGTCGCCTGCACCTCGTAGTTGGTGTAGATGAGCGCGCCCATGACCTCGTCGATGATGGTGCCCAAGAACCCGCCGTGCGTGTACCCGTTGAACCCCCGCACGTTGTCGCGCAAATCCAGCAGCAGCGACACCGACGGGATGAGGAACCGCAGGCCCTGGCCGGTGCCGAGGCTCGCATCGCCGGGCGGCGCGGGCGGCAGAGGCACACCCGGGGCGCCGTATTCCTGGTAGACGACGAGCATATGGGGCACGCCGTCGTCGTTGTTGAGCGCGCGGTGGAACAGGTTGTCCTGCGAGAGGAGGCGGCCGGTGGTGTCGTTTTCGCGGTCATAGCGGGAGCTGGGCATGGTGCAGCGGTTGCCGGGCCGGGCAAACAGCTCGGCGCACCATGGCTGCTGGCTGAAGTGCCTGACCGTGTCCTGGATGGACTGACTTTGTGGCATGGTGGGCGGGGAGGCTGGAACGGTGTCGAAAGGGGCTGGGACGGCGGCCGAATCAATGGAGAGAGAGCTCGTCCGTAGAACGCTGGCGAAATCGTATAATTGCACGTGAAAACGACGATGTCGATGATAAACAAGAACCAATCGAGACAAGTCGAGTTACGCGCCGCTCATGATAAAATTGCACAACAAATGAAAGAGCAAGAAGGCAAGGTGCCAAGGACGTTCAAAAGAAAGCATGCGAGTGAACACACGCACGAAAGAGAATGAGAACGATAGAAGAAGCTATATGGATGCCACGTCCGAGATGCGCCGAGTGTCACAAGCCTGCGGCAGGCTGGGTTCCAAGACTACGTAGATTGACTCCGTACTTACGTCGCCGGTACGCCTGGTCTCCAATCCTTCTGGGAAATGTGGTGCACAAGGTGCACAAAGTGCCGTGGTTCACACAAAGACAGGAACTTGCTCGTGGAGGGGAAAAGTGGGACACTGCCTCGGCAGAGCCGTTCCAGGGAACGTGAACGCTGTTTGATCCATCCCCAAGGCTGCTGCCGTCCCTGGGGCTGGCTCCAGGATCCCCAGGCGGCCGGCGGGGCTGCGAGATCACGTCAAAAGACCGGTCGGGGCGATGATATACAAAGTGGAATATAGGCTTTGGGAATACGATTCGGGAAGGCATGGCGATGTGTTTGCCGGTTACAAAATGCGATGCCGAGAAGACGGGATTGTTGTCCAGTTCCCATTGCGGAAACTGCGATGTCACACACATGTCGGGAAGGAACGAAGCACCGTGACAAAAGGGGGGGCAAAGGATACAATATAATACCTTTGACCATTTGCATCGTCTTTTTCGGTCGTCGGTTTAACCGTGCATCTTGCTTACGTACCCCCCATTGCCAGCGGTCAGCTTCAGCCTTGTGTCGACAGTGAGCACTAACACTCTACCAGACGGGTATCAAACGCCAATGCAATAGCCCGTAATTACGACGTTACGAAATGGTGCCTTTTCAATGATACTGCATCTTCTCGATTCAAACAGGGCGACGAAGAATCAGTGGCAATGCCGTATGTCTGAGAGAATAATGATGCCGCGTCTGTCGACGGACTCGGCGCAATGCTACGAGATTTCAGATTCTAGCTTCCCAGATTCTGCCTGCAGAGCCCCATGGCAATGGCCCAAGATGCTGGAGGAACTGCTCGCTACGATCTCTACGACGTCGCCTTTTAACAGCTGCCAGAGGTCGTTGCGTACTCCTTCCTATGCGGTGGTGTGGTTTTGCCCTGGAATTGCCGATGCTGCCAGTCTGGTTGGTCCCCTTTCATTGTGGGAGACACCGCGGAAATCCCCGACAGACCCTCAAGGACATTGTGTCTGGAGGAGCACGAAAGCTCAAATACGCAGTATTTTATTTCCAAAGTCACACCACCGTGGCTGGGACCAGCCGAGACCACAGCCTCGCCAACGGGCGCCTGTCGACACAAAGTCAGCGCGGGCCGCTCCACTTTGCATCTGCCCTAACACGCGACTGCCACTAAAAACCGTGTGACATATCGAACTACTCCTTCTCACCGCCGCGCCTTCGCGGCCTGCAGTCTCCCACCTGGGAGGGCACAGCAAAACATGCGATTTACGGTTGCAACTCACGATTTTGACGACGGCCTCGTGCCGTTGGATGCCGGCAGGCGACCCGAACAAGGCGTGGTCTGGTTATGCTGTGCCTGTTCTTAGGCGGACTGGCGAGTGACCACGAAAATGGTCGGAACCGATATTGGACGGTCCTGGGGGTGAGGGCGATGGACAATATAAAAGGGAGACAGTCATGATGCTTTATTTCTTGATGCTCCTATCACGGCATCTACACACTTCCATGCATTCATCAACCCGACATCATATTTCCACAGTACTTTACCATACATCTAGTCAATACAAACATCTCCACGCTCTGGACAACCCTTCTTGCACGATTCGACATACGGCACACTGCATCTAAGCAAGCCACCACTCACATTAATTTACAATATCATCATATACATCATCCTGTTCATCATGTCTACCTCTGTGGCCTCCAAGTCAGTCAAACCAACCAGCATCTAATTTACAACAACCGTCTATTCCGCCTCCCCCCCGCTAACCGCCTGCAGAGCCCTCGGCTCCGTCGTCTCTCTAGGCCTCGCCTCTGCCGTCGCCACGTACGTCTACGGCCAGCTGCACACCGAGTCCAAGACATTGGACCGCGTCTTTTCCGCCTACAACACCCCCGAGAGCGAGGCGTCCCGTCAGCGCGTCTTTGACGGCGCCATCGAGGACCCGCGGAACAACCTGCTCAACTTTTTGAGCTGGAAGAAATAGGCAACATGAGCACACGCAGCAACACAGGTGGTGCGACGTGTGAAGAAAATAAAAGGAGATTTTCAGGGGGGGGGGTTGACGTGTATTGGTTGCATTTATTGTCTTGAGCCTTTGTCTTTATTTATTTTAATTTAATCGTTTTTTTTTCTGTTTCTGTGTCTTCACTTCGTTTTCGTTTGCCCGTTCGGACTTGTATTGATATCAGCACCATGCCTGCGAGTGTTTTGTCTTATCGACATGCCCAAGAAACAGCATCTAGGCAATTTTATATGCATTGACGTCTACCGGCTAGAGAAAGTAAACAAAGCCATCTGATTTGCCCTATGAATATGACCTCGAGAATAGCCTTCTCCAGAGGATTGTGATATCGGCTTGACACTGCTCATTCCAGGCCCGGACTTATGTTGAATGCTTTCTTTTTGATGCTTTCTTTTTGATGCTTTCTTTTTGATGCTTTCCTTTCCTCGGCTTTTATTTTTCTCTTTCCAACTTTCTAGTTTCACCTGCGATGTTGTATCGGTTAAAATAAAAACCATCTTGCCCACGACGGGGACTATATTGTACGCAAATGTTTCTGGCAGGATCATCCGCGCATGCAAAACAAGCAAGATGGTCTGTCTGGCAAGGTCAAGGTCCAGGGAGGCTTACAAACAAACAAACCTCCTACAAATTCTCCGTACAGAGGCTCGGGAACCCGTGTCGCACCGTGCAACTTGCAGCGGATCCTGCGTCCCGTCCGTACGCATCCTACATCCTACTTTGTAACCTTCCCGTGTCCATGCGGATGGAAACATAAAAGTCAAAACTCAAAATAAGGTCATCCAGCCCGTCGTTGCACCGAACAGGGGGTCAAGGGAGTGCTTTCCTGGGACAGGAACCAGAGAAACAACGATACCAGACTTTGCAGCTTCGTACGCCGTACCTCATTTTATCCGCGACGATGTCTGCCAAGCTGCAGTTACGAAGAGGCGCAGGAGCAAGGAGAGGCGGGACAGTGAAATCGATGCACAAAGAAGAAACAGAACAAATCAGACAGCCACTTGTCGGGACAACGAGAGCAACTGAGCCCAAGGCGATAAAAGACGAGACGAGACAAGACGGACGCAGACAATGTGTCGGGCCCGACGCAGAGATCCGCTGGATTCGCCTGGCGAGAGGCGATGTCAGTTTTCGGCTGCTCGTCTTGGCCGTGACTTTTTTCTTTATTCTTGCATTCGCCTCTTTCCCACTATCCCCCTCTTTCTTTTCTTTCTCGTTTCGCTCCATTTGACGCATGCACGCACTCTGGGATGCATGCACTATGCAGGAGATGGACACAGGAAGCACCGGAAAGGGATGGGATTGGTCGCAGGTCTCTTTGGCGAGACTCTCGACGCCCACCACAGCCAACGAAACAAAGACAGTCCCGACAGAGCCTGGCCAGTTGGGCCCGTGCCTCACTTGATACGACGGTCCCGGTCGGCGCGGATTGGCGGTGGACCGAAACAAAACAAAACAAAAAGGACGATGCAGATTGTAGCGATGCCCGAGACAGATTTGGACAAACAAAACGCACTTGGCCAACGTGAATCAAATGTAAGCTTGTGCAAGCTTTCGAATGGAGATGAAACGAACACAAACGGAGATGAAGCTGGCCAGCGACCCAGAGTTGGCTAATCGGAATGATGATGGACAGACTCACCGTACGTAAAGAAAGGCGATGATCTCCAGTATGCATGCGCTAGGTTCGTGCTGAATGAACGAGACCCCTGGCTGAAGATACAATGGACCGGGTGAGACAAACTGATGCAATGGGGTCAATTGAAGGGACGAGAAGATTGTGAGCAGCCGTTTTTGTGCCAGCTCCTCCGCAACGTGCAAGAAGCGGAGGCGTTGTGAGGTATTTCGTATGTGCATGCCTGTTTGAAAAGTGGACAGCCAACAAGAGAGTGAGAGAATGAAGATTGGAGATGGGGCCCTGACGATCCTCACGATTGGCGCCAGGGGCCGTTTGAGAGGTCCTGCTGTCTGCTGTCGTTTGTCTATCTCTTGGCAAGCGCCGCGAGCGCCTTCCGCTTCTCGCAGCCTGCCATCGTTGTTTCCTGATGGTGGCCTCCTTCCTGAGGTAGCTGTTGCCTTCCGTATCGGTCTCTTTTCCTCCTAGCAAACAGCACAGGTCAGAAGGCCCGCTTTTGGCCAACTCCCCCTCTTTTAGCCCCTGACGTCGTGGCCAACACAGAAGTGAGGAAATGGAAAGAGCGCTCTTTCCTGTCTGTCCATTTTGTGGGCTTCCTCTACGCCGGTGTCGTACGACTGCGCAAACATAGGCCATTGTGCCATTGCGCCACTGCGCCATTGCAGGTGCCAAAAGTCCTCCAGACGGCGATAGGGGGCAGAATGGCTGAATTCTGAGCAGCAAAGATTGACACGAGGCTAACCTTCCCTCATTCTCCGAGTCAGTCGCCGTGTGCAGGGGGTGAAGGGGGAATCAGCGGAGAAGGTTGCAGCAGGAGAGGAGCTCCTGCCATTTTGTGAGCTTACTGTGGTATGGCAGCGAGCTGGGGGCCAGCATGTGCTGCTGGCGATTGACGCCAAGGGCCAGGGGGCAGAGCAGCTTCATTAAAGCAGCTGCCCTTTTGGGACTTGTCGGTCTTGTTTCCCTGGCCTCCTGGTCGCTCTTTCCTCGTGACGGCAGCAGGAAGGCACGACTCTCCGAAACCTGGTCGTGCTTACCCCAGCCCCAGTTGGCCCCCGTGCTCACAGATACTCAGTAGACTGGCGAGAAAGAAGGCTCAACAGTGGTGATCTTCCAGTCCGACACGGAAGGAGCTAGGCCTTCGTTTTGCAGGGGGATATTGTCTGCACTATCCTCTCCCGCACAGAGCTTTTGTTAGTGGGTGGCACTATCGTGAATGACGACAGTGGCCGCAAGAATGCCGCTGCTCTTTCCTCCAATCTGCAATGTCCGTCGTCAATTAAGATTGAGAGCGGCAAAAAGCACTTTAACCTCCCCCCACGATATTTCCTCTTTATCAGCAAACTCCTCGACATGCCCGTTTTGCCATACATGTTTGTCACGAGCTTCTACCCTCTGAGCCTCTTTCGCTCTTGTTTGCTGTCAGCTGGCTCTCTATTTCCTGTTTGAGCAACTCTCCATCTCGGACAATTGCACGTCGTGGTCTCCTTTCTTTTTGCTTCTCCAATCTATTTTCCATCCCCAGCCAGCGTCTGTTGAGCGTCATCTATGACTTCATCTGCGCCTGGCCTCCCTTTCCTGCTGCACTCTGCGAGGCGGGATCGTTTAAGATACATTACGACTGCTCGATTTTCAGCATCTTACAATACAGACCGCCACCTCCAGACCGACCGGTCTAGCCTCTTCGCTTCGGGAAAAGAGTATGAGGTCCTGCGTCGAGCACTATCCAGCTATCCCGTCGGCTGCTCAGGAGTTGCATATCGAATAGGGCCTATGGCTCTTGGGGTGGCATTGGCCCGCCCCTATTTTCGACTGCTTGATTCAGACGTTTCGGAGGTTTGCTGTGATCCAAGTTCCGTGGTCCGGCAGCCTCAGCCATTATCTCGTATTCCTCCAAGCCCATGCGTTAGCCTGTTGTCTCTCTACTTTTTATATCTCGTCAATCTCTCGCCTCTTTATACAACATGACAAGATCCTGCATGCCTGCTGATCCCTCTTTGTCAGTGTCCACAGCGGCCATAGTGTGGTAGGAGGTAGGGTAAGATATAAAAAAGACAGCAGAAACTTGGACAGCTGGGGGGGAAGGCGCCGAAGCGGTGAAACGAAGCTATTGCAAATGGACAAACAGAAGAGACGGGGCTGCCAACAAAATACCCAGACTCCAGAGAAACTGAAAACAGAAAAACAGACAGACGACCACCAACCGCCAGCCGACTCAGTCTCTTGGCAGAAGGTCCACAAGTAAATATGGGAACGACAAGGGTCAGAAGAGCACAAACCAGCGAGCCAGGCTCGAGACGAAAGAAAACAAAAAGCCACAGGACGAGTGAAGCACAAACAACCACTCAGCCGCCCAGCTCTCCCCGGACGATCCGCCATTGCTTGTTTCCCAGTGATACGACCTCGATCTGGCCACTCCTTCTCCCTCTGTGTTCTTTTACATCGTACGCCAGCTGTAATTTTTCCCCAAATTCTAAATATCGTAACCTTTATGAGTCCCCTCCTCCTTTCTAACTCACTTTTTTGTTCTTGGTCCCCGCCCTCTCCCTTACGTATCCATATTTCTCACTGCATCGTAAGATGCGTCGTATGCTGTGTGCCCTTGGCCCCATCGCCCAGGACCCCTTTGCTCGCGCCCTCCGCATTCCAGCCGGAGCGCCAGCGTCCATTCATTCGCTGCCACGGGCTGCTTTGCTGCTCCTCTTGTTTCTTTTTGTCTGTCTTGCCCTTTGCTGCAGGCTGCAGTTATTAACATAAGACCTCTTATTACCCACTAGACGCCTTGCAGTGCAGTGTCCTGTATCTTTCATTGGGTTTGCGCTCGTTTCTGTTCGGTACCGTTTCTTTTGGTATTTTTCATTCTTGGCCCCCTTGTCTTTGAAACAGCCGCTTTCTGTTTTTGTTGATGGTCATCTCCACCAGTTCGTGTTCGTCATGCTGTAAGCTCCTGTGTCCGTTGACATCTAGCCTCGGAGGCCAGACAACACGCCAAGGTTTTTTTTCTTCTTTCTTCTTTTTGTTTGTGTGTGTGTGTGTGTGTGTGTGTGTGTGTTCGCTCATTTCGTTTCGAGTTTCGACGTTCCTTTTTTCAGTCTAGAACCCACAACACAAAACCAAGTGGCCATGGCGGCGGTTTCAAACAGTAGCTCCAGTAGTCTAATTCCAGTCCGATACCATTTGACTGGACGACTCATGCTTTCTTGGGGCCTAGCTCCTGCACAAGAAGAAAGGGGGGGCACACCTTTGTTTGTGTGGCGTTCGGCTGGCTCGCGCTCTCTGTCTCTCTTGTTCGACTTTCAGGCTTGTCGTCCTCCCTTCGCCGCCCACCATATTCTACTGTGTATTTCGTAATACCTCTTAGGCTTCTTCCTCCCTGCTGGTGCTATTCTCAACTCTCTCTAGCTCCTAGATGCCAGGTTCGTCGTGCAGATCGTCGTTTCTTTTCTCTGCACTTGCTCTGTTTCGGGTGTCTTTTTAGTAGCTGTTTTATTTTTAATCCACAGACAGCAACCGCAAAGCAACACAGGTGCATACGGGCGGTACGTAGAATGTGAGATGCAGGAGAGTCGTCTCCTGCCGCAACGCCAGCGCTGCGGAGTGCAAGGCTCTAAGAGACTACCCATGCAACGAGAAGAGACCACACACACGCAACGACAACACAACTCCACCTCCCTACCACTCCACTCTCCCCCATTCCTCCTTTGTCTCCCACTCGTCGGGGCCTTTCCTCTTTCCAGTCTTAACCCTCTCCTCCGCCTGTTCTTCTGGCTCTCCGTTTTGATTTCTGCTACAAACACCTCGTTTGTGTTTCTTTCCTTTTCCTTTTCCTCTGTCCGCTTTCCGCTTTCCTCTCACTCCCCTCCTCAGTCCTCCTCCATAACCTCTGCAACCGTTTTCGACGGTGTCTTGTGGAACAAAACATCACTCACGCACGCTCGAGCCGGAAACACAACATCGGAGCAGTAATACCTCATTGGATGACGGCCAGTTCTGCTTTTTTTGTTTTGTCTGCTTTGCCTGTCTTTGTTTCGTTTCCCGGGTTCTCGTTTTTTAAGCATCCGCTTGCATTCATTACCGTCTTTCAAATTTCAATACCAATACCGAGCCTGAGCGTCTGGAACCCTCAGCAGCAATAATAACGACAAACGATCTTTCCTGGACCAGCGGATTTGTGCACGCAGCAAGTCTCCTTCAGTGGACGCACTTGCTCTCCACCCCATCGATCGAAAACGGCGCAACGACGGCTTTCCGACTTACAACAGGAGCGAGACGACGGGCGACAAGGGAAGACCGCCCCCCGTTAACTCACAAACCGCCCGCCCGCCCATCATGCTGGGCAGTGCAGCTCTGCTGCCATTGATCCTATGGATAACGACGGTTCATGCCTTCTTCCCTTGGTTCCCGCCATCCGTCTGTGCCGACGACAATGAGCTTTGCAAAGCCCAGCTGTCTTCGACTCTCGTCAAAGACGCCACCACAAACGATGCCCGCCGGTCTCTGCCGGCCAAGGCGGCCGACAGCCTGACCTTCAAGATTGGCCGGAGGGCTGCAGCACACCGCCGGGTATGTTCTGTTGCTCCGTTACTTCCTTTTGTGGAGCTGCCGAGTTTGAGCGCCTTCCTCCTTCCTTGTTTCTTGTTCTCGTGCCTTCTTTTTTGGCCGAGCATGGCCGTACCGGCACGCCTGCTAACGCTCCTTCCAGATCGAGAGACACGAGCCACTCAAGGCAAGAGTGGAGCGTGTGGCCCACCGCCTCGCCCGCAAGTACGCTCCTGCCGCGGAGCAGGCCCTCGAGGCACGCACACCAGCAACAGCAACAGCAACAGCAACAACAACGGCATCCGGCGACAATGCGGACTTTGCCGTGAAGCGAGCCAACAACTTTGATGTCGTCACCGCCACCGCCCCGTCCGCCTCCAACGCCGTGGGCATCGACCAAGACGGCACCGATTTCTCGTACTTTATCAAGGCCGAGTTCGGGTCCGCCCAGACGCCCCTGTGGATGCTGCTCGACACGGGCGCCGGCACCACTTGGGTCATGGGCTCCGACTGCAAGTCCCCGGCCTGCGCCTTGCACAACGAATTCGGCGCCGCCGACTCCAAGACGCTGCAGACGTCGAGCAAGACCTTTTCCATCGCCTACGGCTCGGGCACCGTGGCCGGCAACCTGGCCAGCGACACGGTCACCATCACGCCTGCTCTTAGTCTGACCATGTCCTTTGGCATCGCCAACACGACCTCGGGCGACTTTACGCACTTCCCGTTTGACGGCATCCTGGGCCTGAGTTTGAGCGAGGGCGCTACCGACAACTTTTGGAAGACGGCCCAGGCCGCCAAGGCGCTGACGGCCAACGTTTTCGGTGTCGCCCTGTGGCGGGAGGTCGACGGCGGCACCAACAATGGTGAGATTGTCTTTGGCGCCACCAACCCAGACAAGTACACCGGCAGCCTCTCCTATACGCCCGTGTCCTCGTCCGGCGGCGGTGACTGGGCCATTCCCATGGACGACATGGGCTACAACGGCGGCAAGGCCGGCATCACGGGCCGCCTCGCGTACATTGACACAGGCACCACCTACGTGTTCGGCCCCGCCGACGACGTGGCCGCCCTGCACAAGCAGATCCCGGGTGCCAGCAGCTCGGACGGCGGCGTCACCTACACGGTGCCGTGCACCGCCAACCAGCCCCTGACCGTCTACTTTTCCGGTGTGGCCTACAGCATCTCCAGCAAGGACTGGATGGCGGCTGCCTCCGACAACAGCGGCAGCTGCACGAGCAACATTTACGGTCATGCCGTCGTCGCCAATGCCTGGCTGCTGGGCGACCTCTTTATCAAGAACGTCTACGCCGTCTTCGACATCGACCAGAGCCGAATCGGCTTTGCCACGCAGGCCATCAATGCCCCCGCCTCCATGGTGGCCTCGTCGGGCAGCACCGCCTCCCAGACCGCGCCATCCCCCAGCGGCAGCGGCAGCGGCAGCGGCAGCAGCAGCAGCAGCGGCAGCAGCAGCAGCGGCAGCAGCAGCAGCAACACCTCGGGCGGCTCGTCGTCTGGTGGTGGCAGTGCGTCGGGCGTCGCCTCGAGCGCGCCGGCCACCACTACGTCGCCGTCCGGCGGCGACAGTGGGAACAGCGCATCGCTGCCGGGCCTGAGTGGCCACGAGACCGCCGGCACGGCGGTGGCCGAGTCGTCCGGTGCGCCTGCGCCCAAGTCGACAGCTGTGACGTCGCCCGCCGATCAGCTCGAGAGCGGCGGCGTCTACGTCTCGGTCGTCTGCATTGTGGCCGCCATTGCCATGGCTGTGTAATACAAACATACCGCCCTCAACATCTACACCTTTTACATACATCGCATCATTCCCGACATTCGTTTGTAAAGCGAAGATTCGATTCAGCATTTTGTTTCTTGTCAAAAAAAGCTCCTATACACAGCATATTTTCCTGCATTTTTGCATATCCGCTGTTTACACAATACACTGCCACATCATCCTCATTTCTTTTGGACATATTTCCTTACCTCTTTTCATTTTAGCAGCACTCTTTCTCTCTACGGCAGGCATTATTCGGGGCCGCCATGATTTTCCTTTTTAATACTTTCATTGTGTTGTTCCTCTGCTGGATTAGGAAGCCACCAGCAAACACTCGACTTATCTCCCTATCCGACGTCCTCGTCTCTGGAGAGTGACGAGGACGGGGATGGAGAGAAAGTCACCAACTACCAACTAATAGATACCCCGGGGCAATGGTGGAGGCTTGAGGGCGAGAAGATGAAATGCCGTCCTAGGGACGAGTTGCGGTCAGAGAGAGCAAGAAATGGTTCTTTCGACGCTCTGCCTCGCCATACTTTTCCTTTTGCGTCTTTTGTTTTGTGCCATCTCGAAAGAGTATGCAAAGGTCAAGCAAAACTGTAACACTACTTTTATTAGCATTGTACCAATATACAACGAAGACCGAGTCAGCGTTCCTTCTTTTTGGGAAAGCATATTGGATTCTTTCGCTTTCATTGAAACATACCCGTACGAAGAACTGTGAATGTGGCATGTGATATCTGGATTTAAAAATGTATCCTGAAGAATGCGGTAACCGGCAGCCATGAGGAGACTGGAATGTGCTGTCTCACAACGAAAGCCATCGTCACCACAGTGAACGTTGAATCGAGAGCATTCACAATGAAACATGCCATGTTTTCGTCTCGTTAACAAATCCGTCCCCCAATCAGCTTTCATATAAACAGGATATCGGCTCTAGGTACGTATAGCTGGGATAGGAAGCGGTTACGAAATACAATTCTTTTAGACTCACCGGCAGAATTATTTATGGCCACAGCAGGAAGACAGCGAACGTGCCGTGAACAAGGGCCAACCAAACAAAGAAGAAAATAGAAAAATAATTATGCCCGCAAGAAAATACAAACATAAAAATGAAAAAAAAAAAAAACTCCTGGCCCCATGCGTCTTTTTATCTTCTCACATCGGTGGCTTCCGTCTGTGAGGAAACAGTGTACATGCCCCAATGTCCAGCAAATAGAGGTTCGCCCTGACATCCATCTTTTAGGAAAGGGGGCGGAAAAACAAAAACACAAGCAAAAGTACACGCGCCATATAAACGAGCTTCCTTTTTATGGAGTTGAGAATCGAGGTCAACAAGCCGCGTCCTTTATTATGCGGCATCAGTCTTCTCGGGCGCCCCTGCACCAGGCGCCCCTGCACCAGGCGACCCTGCACCAGACGGTACCGCAGGAGACGGCCCAGCGTCAGACGCTTGTGTCCCCGACGAAATGCTGTTCGATGCCTTCGTGTCGGTCGATCGTGAGCCCGACGGCCGCGTGTTTAGCAGTGCCGTCAACAAAGGGTCGTCCGCCGAAACGGGCGGCGCAGACGTCTCGTTGACGCTCTCTTCCAAAAATGCCTTGAACATGGTGCTGAGGGACTTGTTGGTAGGGGGCGGTCCGGACAGCGACGAGGATTCCAAGAGGAACTCGGTGTTCAAGGACGGTGTGCTCGGTGTCCGTCCAAACGGAGAGGCCGGCAGCCGCAGCGAGCTGCTCGACGTACCCGGCCGCGCGAGACCGGCCCTTTCCTTTTCGTCGTCTGTCCAATGGAGCATGCCGGCAATGACCTGCAGCACCTGGAACTTCTTGGGGTCCGAGCGGTCAATCTGCAGGAATTGAAGCAAGAGGTTGGTCATCACTTGCCTAGACGTTTTGTTAGCAACAAAAGATTGGATCAATAAAGGGGCGTACGCGTACGGAAGCAGGGTGACATACTGCTCCACGGCTTCTTCTGGCTTCATTTTTTTGATGAAGCGGAGAGCCCTGATGAGGTGTTCGTTCAGACCCAGCGACTCGTGCCGCAGTTTCGCAAGAGCGGCCGTCTTTTCCTTCAGCTCGACCTCCATGGTAGAGGCATGCGCAAGCTTTGTCCGAAGCACCTCGGCCTCTTCATTGGCCTCTACGGCCTCTCTCTCGGCCTTTTGCGCGCGTGTTTCGGCCGCATCAAGCTTGGCCTCCGATTCCTGGACCATCTCGCGCAGCTCGTGCCGGCGTGCGTTCTGGAGATCCTCCAGGGAGCGCTGCAAGCTCTCGACAGTAGCGGCCTGTGCATCGCGGTCCTCGGCGGCTCGTTCGTACTGTTCACGCAGGACGCCGACCTGCTCTTCCAGATCAGACGCCTTGCTTTCCAGCAAGGTGGTTCGGTTGCGCTCTTCGAGCGCGATGACCTCCCAGTCGTTCATACCCTCTCTGGTATTGATCAGTTCCTTTTGCAGGTTTTCCAGTTGCTGCATCAGCTCCTTTTTCTCGCGCTGCCAGTTTTGCTGCGACAGATGGGTGCGGTTCCGGATCTCTTCCTGCTCGCGGTCATGCTCGTTATCAATGACGTCGAGTTCGCGTTGCAGTCGCGCCACCTCGTTGGCGGCAGCGGCTGTGGACGCCTCGGCGTTGGCTTTGGCTTGCAGCAGGCGCTCGTTTTCTGCCTCGAGCTCCTCGATGCGTTCTCTGTTCTCCTCCAGCTCCTCCTTGTCGCGCAGGAACCGGGAGCTAATGTTCTCTTTGAGCTTCTCAACCCGGGTCACGAGATCATCGTAACGGCTGTCTGCTGCGTCGCGCTGAGCCTCGCTCTCCTCAAGATCGGACCGCAGCTTTTTCGTTTCCTCCTCGTGGGACTCCTGCGCCTTTCGAAGCTCTGCAACCTGCTGTCGCAGCCGTTCTAGCTCAGCGGGGTCCGACTCGCCCTCGGGGCCGTCGTTCATCGTCGTGGCGGCGCGCGGGGTTGTGCTTGTGGCCTTGGACACAGTGGTGGTGGGTGAGGATGGTGCTGATGTTGCTGCTGAGTTGGAGGACTGGTCACCGTTGCGGCTGGCAGTGGACGTGTCCTTATCGCCGTCCTTGTCAATCGCGGTACTCTCGGCGTTGGTCTTGTCGGTCTTTGAGTGGAATGGTATCGCGTGGCCGTTGGCCGTCGAGCCGCTCCGAGTGTGGCCGTTGCCGTTGTCGTTGCCGCCGTCCACTTCCCCGTTAGTCGACGGTTTTGTCGGGCTAGGCGGCATCGTCATGTTTGCAGGTATTTCAGTGTCGATGTCGGGCTTCTGCTGCGTCCAATGGCGGTTAGCAAAGGGCGGTCCATGCATGGCCTCTCGGGTTGACTGGAGCAATCTCGAAGAGGCCAGTAACAGGGGTCACGAGAGAGGCAAGGAACCTACCACTGGTGCGTCGTCTTTTGAGGGTGCGTCTACAACCTCGCCAGCATCGTCGCGGCCGGGGCCGCCACCATTTTGTGTCTCGGGCTCTTCGGTAGAAGCTGCAGGGCCAGTTGGTTCTGTTGGGGATGCATCCGTAGCAGCGACCTGCGCAGCACTGGCCTTGGCCGCCGTGGACTTCTTCTTCTTATTCTTCTTCTTAGCACCTGACAGGGTGAACGGGCGAAGCGTTAGCTGGTTAGATCAAAGTGTCACAATTATCGCAGTATCGCGAGGCAGCGAGGCGCAGTATACTCCATGAGCAAAGGAGCGAGGGGGAGAAGGACAAACCTGTTGACGGGGCGCTGTCGTTTTGAGGTGCCAACAGTGGTAATGATGTTGCAAAGAACGTCATGGTGCTGGAGGGGAGAGCTCCTCTGGAGGGGGCTCAGAGGGCAAACGGGCGCGCAGAAAGACGAACGTGGGACGTGCACGAAAGGATCGAAAGGAAGTCGATATGTACGATGAGGGAAAGGCCAGGTGTATTCGCGTGCAGCAGCATGTATTACACAGAGTCCAAGGCAAGCTCCGCCCTCCGCAGCTGCATTGGCTTTGCTGGCGTTGGCTTCCCCCCTTCGTCTAGTGGCGGCGATTGGCTCGTTTTGGGGGTGCTTGTCGCGTCGTATTTTAATCTGTTGCAGTCGGCGGGGACGCAAAAGGTGGGCGGACTAGGTCGTTGGAGATGGGGCTCGAGGTCGGAGCCGGACAGTATGACGGGGTGCTTGATGATGACGTCTCTTGCGTGCAATGTTTGTGTGGTATTCGGAGAGTATTCAGAGATGTGGAAAGGACTGCAGGCTGGCGAGCGAAGTTGGTTTGAAAAAGGGATATGACAGGGTGGAAGAGGCAAGAGGAAAGAGGAGGGACGCCGAGTGGAATGGCAGGCGCGAATGGGCGTAAACGAGCGCTGGTGCAGCGTTGCGCAGTTTGGTCGCATGGCAGCAGGCGCGGCCTGTGTCGCGCTTTCCTGTTTTTCTCGCTTCTTCAGCGTCTTCGGGACACCCGTGGCACCACATTCTGGGGCACCGAGTCCGCCAATACGTAAGCCAAAACGATGCCCTAGCTGTGTCTTGTGGCCTCGCCCGATTAGCGGGCTGGGCCTCTGTCGTCTACAGCGATATTCGCTTCTTGGAAGTACTCTCGGCCCTGCATGTCTCGACATTTGTCGTCGCTGTTTCTGATGTTCGGTTGCAAATAACACAATATAATCTGGACGCAAAACAACAGACGGCCTGGGCACTCGGCATTTACCTTTTTGGCTGCCTCGTAAAGCTGGGCGGTAGTTTGGGTTCTTCTGCCGCCACGAACTTCGTATCTGCAGTATGTACTTAAGCCATGTACCGATGTAGCGTAGGCTTGGATCCACTATTCGACACCTAAACGACTTTCTTTGGCAAAGAACCTCACGAATCTTTTTAGGGGCTTTTTCTTCCTTCTCTCTTCAAAACTGAACACTTTGTCAACCCCGAGGCATGCACACCCTCTCGCGTGGTCGCAAAACTGCGCCGGGAGGATGCTTGCTTTCCCACTGGAGTGATGGCCCCGGACGCTGTTTGCTTTTGCCTTTGGCCATGGCTCACTGCAGGGCGGTATTTTGCTGGAAGCGATCTTTTCGGCGAGGACGAAGGAGAAGAGACCACCAGCGCCCTTTATAATCCTCGCACAGAGTCTCTTTACGTGGGCGTGCGAGGTTCGCTTTGGGCGTACATTCCTGTTCTGTGTTGTGTGTTCCGTCCGTCGTGATGGACACGTGCGGTGCAAAGCCGCCGATGTGGACGAAGACAGGCAATTTAACACTGGCGCGACGAGACGACGTTCAGTGCTGGAAAAGCAGAAGCATGTGCCATTAACAATTCAACAGGTGAAAAAGAAACTATGAAGACATGAACAATTCTAAACTCCCAAAAACCCAAAAAGGCATGCTGTTGTTCTGTAACTCTGCTCTCTCTCGCTTTCGTCGCATCGTCACGCGGCGACCTTCTTCGCCTTGCCCTTCTTGCCCTTTGCTGGTGCCTTGGAGATGGCGGCAACCGGGTCCTCGGCGGCCGCGGGTGCCTCCAGTGTCTTGGTCGCCGTCGTCTCCTCTGTCTCCTCTGTCTTCTCTGTCTTGTCCTCGGCCGCCTCGTCAGCCGCTGGCGCCTCGACCGTGTCCGTCGTCTTCAGCGTCGGGCCCGCATACGAGTAGCCGAGCTTGCTCTCGAGCAGCGCAGCGCGCTCGGCACGGCGCTTGGCCTCGCGGCCAATCTTGCCCGTCCATGCGTCCTCCGGCTTGGGCTGGGCCAGCTTGCGGCCGGCCATGCGGTTCCAGGGCACGGCCTTGAAGCGGCGGTTGGCGCCCTTGAAGAGATTGGCGGGGATGCGCTCGGCGGGGACGACGCTGCAGCGCAGCAGGTGGCCGAACAGCAGGTAGTTGTCCATGGTCTTGGCGACAATGTCGGCGACGTCGCGCTCCGCAAACTCGATAAAGGCGTAGTGCTTGCTGGCCCCCGTCTTGCGGTTGCGCGACAGGCGCAGCCGGCGGATGTCGCCAAACTGGCTAAAGTAGCTGCGCATCTCGTGCTCAAAGAAGCCGTGGGGGATGCGGCCGACGTAGACGACGCCGCCAAATTCGGCGCCGTTGGCGTCCGTCGAGGTGGCTGCGACTGTGCCGTTCTGTGTCTTGGTCCCCTTGTCCTCCTTGCCGTCCGTCTTCTTGGCCTTGCTGGCCTTGACCTGGGCAGCCTTCTTCACGGCCGCTGCCGGTGCCTTGCCGACATCCTGGCCGGGCTGGAACAGGCTGGTGCCGCCCTTGGCCGCGTCGTCGTCCTCGTCCTCGTCGTCGCCGTCAATCTCCTTTACTAGAGCTTTTGTCGTAGCATCGTCCTCCACGGCCACATTTGTCTGCTCGGTGTCGTTTTCCTTGTCCTCCTCGCCGTCTTCTGTCTCGACAGCGGCAGCGGCAGCGGCAGCGGCCTTCTTCTTGTTCGTCTTGGCGGGCGTCGTCGTCTTGGCCTTCTTCACGGGCTCCTCAACGGCCTTGCGCTTCTTCGTGGCCGGGGACGAGACTTCCTCGTTGGCTGTAGAAGAATTGATGTCAGCAATCGGTGTATCCAGAAGCTCCAGATCACCTGGTCGTCGCCGCCTTCCATTGTCTTGAACCAACCTTTGCGCTTCACCACTTGCTCGGAGATTCTGCTTGATTTCCTCGGCGCAGACTCTGCGGCCGGAGCCTTTGCCTTCTTGTCCTTGACCATCTTGAATATGCGTGTGATTTTCGTGGAAATTATCAACCAAGATGTCCTTTTGCCCGTGATAATGGAGGAGGCTGTCTGCTACTACAGCAAAATCAAAAAAAGTTTCTGCCGCTACCAGTTCCCAAACTTTTTCTGCCGCGAAATAAAGGCGGTGAGCCAACATCACTTGGCTGGGCTCCTGGGGTCTCCCCAGTGGTGTCCCAGCCCATTTCTTAGTGTTAATAGTCCACTAAGATCATTGTCTTCTAGGGAACCTGCCAGCTCCTCCACGACGGCCTCGTCCGTTGCTGTAATGCATCCTAAATCGGCACACAAATCAACGACGACAAGGGGCAAAATATATGATGATATCACGTCTGTCGTGTTCGTTAGTGTATAAAATCAAAGTGCGATAGAGTCAGCGCACTTTGCCGCATCAGCACAACACCGCTACTGCTCTCACTTGTACATGCAACAATGCAATTCTCATCATTCATTTGAGCGAGGCCTTGACACCTCTTTCTAGTATCTCTATGCTGTCATTCCTGTGGCAAGGCAAGCGACCAGTAAACCCCTTCATGAGCGTCACCGCTTCTCGCGAGGATCGCCAACAATCGACTCCAGCCGCCCGGCGAGCTGCCTGTGCCGGCGCACCACCTCCACCCACTCAGCCTCGGCGTCGTCGCCCACATCGAGCGTGGCCAAAAAGAGGCCAAAGTCGCCGCCCAGGCGGCCTAGGCTGCCCGCGCAGTACAGGACCTGAGTCAGCAGGCTGTCGCGCGACGCCTGGTCGCGCACGGCGGGGAGGTACTGCCGCAGGGTCTCGAGCAGCATGTCGACGAGGTGCAAGGGGAACGTCGCGAGGGCGGGCGGTAGTGCCTCGAGGGGATCGGGTGTTTCGCGTGTTTCGAGAGGGTCGTTGTGACTGCCGTGGTCACCGTTGTGCTCGCTCTTCCTTTGCATCTTGCCATTGATTTTGCTGCTACTGTTGCTGTTGCTGGTGCCATCTGCGTCCACGTCCTCCTCTCTTGTTGATGGTGTCCCTGTAGCTGTGGCTGTCGGAAACACACTCCGGAACATGGACACAATGGCAAAGCTCTGCTCGCGGAAAATCTCAATGTAGCGCTTGAGGTACCGCTCCGTCTGCTGGCCGCCCGACCAGGCATTCGCCGAGCCAATCGTCTTTTGCCGCGCCTGTTCCTGGTCCGCCAGCTCGCGCAACGGCGCCAGCGCGTCCAGCGTGGTCGTGAGCGTGGCGAGCCGGCACACGAGGAACACGGCGCCTAGGGCCCGTTCTTGTGCCGCCGCGTCGTGGTGCGAGCGCGCGGCGGCGCCCGCGCCTGGCGCCGATGAGTGTGCCACGGACTGCGCCAGTGCCTGCGTAAACTCGGATGTGACGGCGGCCGCCGCCGCTTCGAGGTCGGGCAGCACGCGCCGCAGCCAGCTGATGGTCCGCAGCGAGGCCGCGAGCTTCAGACCCGGCGCTTTGAGGGACAGGACCAGGCTCGCGGCCGTCGCCCGCATGGACTCGTCGGCCTCGCTCGCGACAGACCGGACCAGCGGCGAATCGGGGAACAGGGCGTGCAGGCGGCGGATGTGGCCGTTGAGGTCGAGGGCCGACGCGTAGTTGACCGGCACGGCAGCCACCGACGAGGCCAGGAGCGGCGGCAGTTCCAGCACATCGACGAGCCGCTCGACGTTGCGTGACAGCAAGAGGGCCTGGCGTCGACGGGCGAGCACGTCGCCCTTGGCGCCCTTGGCGCCCTTGGTGCTGCCCTTTGCCCCTGTTTTGTGTGCAGCACTCTCGGTGACCCCAGTTGTTGCCGTTGTCTTCCCCGCGCGGTATGTCGTCGAGAACCGCAGAGCCTCGTCGTCCAGCAAAGGGATGGCCTTGCGCAGCTCGGCGGTGGTGGCGGCAAGCTGGGGCACGGCCGTGCGCAGCGCAGCATGGCGCTTCGCCGACTCGAGCACCGGCTGGTAGGACTTCTTCGCGAGGCCCTGGAGAGCCAGCTGCAGCGAGTGTGCCGACTGGGCCAGCTTCAGGGGCTCTTCGGACTGCAGCGACGACAGCGGCCGCGTTGCCAGCGTCGCGAGAAACGAGAGGGCATCGTGGTCAGGCGGACCGAATCCCGACGCCGCTTGCGTCTGCGGTTCTGAGGGGGAGGAGGGGGAGGGAGGTGGCGCCGTCGCCAGCAGGTCATAGAGAAGGTCGGCCATGGCCGGTGGGTGGTTGCGTGGGTTGCGTGTCGTCATTCGAGACGTGGGAATGGCTTCACAGTGGACAGCGCTGTTGTCGTGGGACGTTAGCGCGAGTCAGGCGCCACAGCCCACCTGAGCCACAGTGAGCCCGCCTGCCGCGTTCAGTGGTCGCATGGCCTGGCCTCGTCCCGTGCTTCATGCCTCGGCACCTGAAGACACAAGGTGTAAGTACCTCCCCGCTGGACGGCCAGTACAAACAGTACATGGCGGCGGCCGCCCAACGGACCTAACAAACCGCCCCTGAACTACGAACTATTACGGACTGTGTGCAACCAAAACTGCGATAAGATGGTCGCAGCCCACTAATACCCTGCTCTAGCGTTCTAGCCCTTCCCCAACAAACCCAAGCTTCCCCACCCTGGGACCTGCTCAGCACCTGTCTCGCGCGCTCACCAACCAACCTGCATCCTTGTGCCTCTTTTGCTGCCTTTGCTGCCTTTGCTGCCTTTGCTGCCTCCCGCCGTCAACTCGCATCCGGACTGCCAAGGCCCCCCCTTCAGACTTTGCGTCTCCTTTCATCCTCTCGTGCTGGTGCCTTCCTACATCGTACATCTCTTTTGTTTTCTGCCACTTCTGCTATGCAGCCCGTTGGCGCCGCCTAGTTTTCATCCTTCCACTCTCCTCCGCGACGACAGCTTCAACTTCGACTTTGCAAGCTGTGCATCACGGCCTTGAGAGCGGTAGACGGCTCCTTCGTCTGTCGTAGAGCCTTGTTGGCTTCTTGTACAGTCTCTGTTCTCTCGGGTGTCTCTTTCAACGCTTCATCCCCTCGTCAGGTTCGTGTTCTCTCCATCTCTTTCATGATTCTCTTTTGTAATACTTTATTTTTCTTCAAAACAAATTCAACGAAGCATCACATCACACCCAACCATTTCCCTCCTGCAGGCTAAGCGTTCACACACGTTCACACCCTGCCTCCCTCTCCTCTACATCTGCCATACCTGTCAGGGGACCCGGCGGCTGCCTGCAGCCTCTGGACGAACTCTCATATAACATGAAAGTCTGGCCCATTTCGCGGCCTCTTGTTCATCCTACTTACATGTCCCTTCCTGTCCATCCTGTCCATCCTTTAGCAGCTCTTGCCGAATTCTTGCTGTTGCGACTAACTCTCGGTTTCGTAAGGCCCGCGTCCCTCCGTCACCATGAAGGACGTCTTCCCCATCCCACAGATCCCGGGCCTTAGCCGGGCCGTCCAGCCCTTGGCCGACAAGCTCGGCTTCGACACTCTGCCGCTGCACGTCCACGAGGTTGTCCTTGCCGCCCTCTTCTATACCTTTGTGCAGGTCGTCGTCTCGCCCGTCCTGTCCAACTACTATTTCCCCCACATCTACAAGCCCATGAACCGCGCGAAAAAGGCCAACTGGGACAGCCACGTCGTCTCCATGGTCCAGAGCCTCCTCATCAACGCCCTCGCCCTCTGGTGCATGTTTGTCGACCAGGAGCGCAAGAACATGCAGCACGACTGGAAGGAGCGCGTCTACGGCTACATGGGCACGCCCGCCATGGTCTCCGCCCTGGCCTGCGGCTACTTTGTCTGGGACCTGGTCATTACCGTGCTCAACTTTGACGTCTTTGGCCCCGGCCTGCTCGCCCACGCCGCCAGCGCCCTCGCCGTCTTTTCGTTTGGCTTCCGCCCCTTCCTCAACTACTACGGCCCCGTCTTCATCCTCTACGAGCTGTCCACGCCCTTCCTCAACATGCACTGGTTCTTTGACAAACTGGGCATGACCGGCTCGCGCGCCCAGTTCTACAACGGCATGGCCCTGCTCGCCATGTTTTTCTCCTGCCGCCTCGTCTACGGCAACTACATGTCCCTCTGGGTCTACCGCGACATGTGGAACGCCCTGTGGGACGGCCCTACGCCGGCGTGGGTCGCCAACCCCGGCGCTCTCAACGACCCGTCCGTGCGCGCCGTGGCCGGAAACAAAGGAGGCCCCATCCCGCTGTGGCTCTTTGTGCTCTACGTCACGAGCAACCTCACGCTCAACTCGCTCAACGTCCACTGGTTCTTCAAGATGATCAGGGCCGTGCGCAAGCGGTTCGAGCCGGCGCCCGGCGCGCCGGCTGGCAAGGAGGCGCCCGTTGCGGCGGCTGCCGTCGCTAGCGGTGCGGCAGCTGCTGACGACGCCACCATTCGCCATCGGGCCACCGTCGAAGACCTGCTCAAGGTCGACGATTCTCTGACAGAAGTTCAGTAACCGAGTGGGAGTGTGGACTCCCGGCGCGGGTGCGGGTGCGGGTGTACTCCATAATCTGCTTCGCATAGTCCGTATATGTATGCATGTGTGTGGAGAGATCCAGAGAGATCTAGAGAGATCGGATTTTAGCATTGGCTCATTTTTCCCACGTCGAAAGAGGTACAGACACGCGACAGTGCATTTTTATTTCCCTGATTTGGTGCGCAACATGATTTTTTTTTTTTTCACAATTGCAATTCGTCTTGCGATCTATGTTTGGGTGGTTTTCTTGATTAATCCTAAAGCACAGTCGAGGTAAGCACTGCTTTGACTTGGTTGATGATGAGATTTTCTTCGTTTTGTCATTTTTATCATGATTTTTCCCTGTCTTTTATTTTTGTATATATGATATTTTCACAACATTGGAAGAACTGCGTCAGGATAGAACGCCTTGTTTTATGTTGAAATACCAATACGTGTAGAAAGGTAGAAAAGTAGCCGCTGAGTGACGATAAAAGTGATAGGTGAGAAGTAAATTAAACAAACATACAGAATATAAAAGAAATATGTGTATACTAAAAAAAACCTACTCCGTTAATTATTAATTATTACCATTCACTGCGAATTTCACATGCATTTTCTATTCGCTGATATCAGGTTTAAACCATGCCACGCGCCAACTTATTACTTTTAAACATACTTACACATTTTGATGTGTAAGCATTCCTATGAAGTCGACCGTCGAAAGTATAACTCTGCCCTGGTTACAAGTAAAACGAAGTGCTATGTTATTATGTATACGGAAATAGAATTATATACGATGTTGATGCTCTAGTTTTGTCCAAAAAAAAAAACAAAACAAAAAAAAACACAGGCAGACAGGGTGGGAAAGACAAACGTCGAAACAAGCAAAATCCAAAGAAAAGGGAATGCAGACAAAAAAAAAAAACATACACAAGCACGAGACAAGTACAGAGGACATTGTAAACCAGAAATCAAAACAGGTGGCGTTGCGGATCAGGAGCATCAAAAAGAGAATGAGGAGAAAAAAAGAGCTAGCTAATTTGTATGAGCGAGGAAACACGACGCCTGCTGAGGTACAGAAACATCGATCGCCACGAAGCCTATTGCCTGTTTTTATTTCCAAGCACAAGAGGCAGGAAACGAACGGAAAAATGCGGGCAGCCAAACACAAATATTTATCTGCATGAAGACGTTCCACGGCGATTAGAAACCAAACGGGTTGTCCGGAGCTAGTTGAAGTTAGTACGACCGCATAGAACTAGAAAGCAGGAAAATTATCTTCCCAGGGGATATTCTCGTAAACTTACTCGCTGCCGAGAGGTTCGCGCGCCGGCCCGTGGCCTGGGGCATCAGCTTCTTCGTCTCCTCCGTCACACCGAAACGGACAGGGGGCGGGGGACCCGTCTGCTGAGGCAAAAGGGGTGCCGGGGTGGGAGCCATGCCGTGGTTGCCGAAGCCCTGCGTGAAGGGGCCGGTTGGCTGAGGCTGCATGGGCTGCTGCTGCTGCGCCGGCGGCACAGGCATGGCAGTGCGCTGGGGTTCCAGAGCCGGCGGCAGCATCGAGTTGATGTTGCCTCCCTGTGGCGGGGCCATGCCGAACTGTTGTTGGCCGGGGTTGAAGGGCCCGCCGAAGCCGGTGGGTTGCATTTGCACAGGCTGGCCGAATTGGTTCTGCTGCTGTGGCATAAATTGTTGGCCGGCCATGCCAAATCCGGTCGGCTGCGGTTGGTGCTGCGCGGGCATGCCCGTCATCATGGGCATCATACCCTGGGGCTGCTGCTGTGCCATCATCTGCTGCATCTGCTGCTGGTATTGCTGCTGCATCCGTGCCTGGTTGATGTCGTTGAGGCTCTGGCCCGCCGGTGCCACCTGGCCAGTGACCATGCCTGTCATGTGGGGCTGCAGCGGGGGTGGGCTGAATGCGCTGGGCTGGGCAGACTGCGGCGCCGAAAGCGGGCGTGAGGGAGGAGGAGGGAGCAGACCGCCCTGGCCCTGGGTGTATTGCGGGGCCATGGGCCGCGCCCTAGCAAAAGAAGCAGCCGTCTGCTGCGGCTGGAGCCCGTTCATTCCCTGGATGCCGGTCTGCTGCTGGGCCAGGCCGGCGAACATTGCGGGAGAAGCGCCCGGCATTTGCGGCGGTGGCTGCTGCTGAACAGGAGGCAGCGACACTGCGGGTGTTGCTTGTGCAGGAAGCGTGATAGGGGGTGGAGGGTTGGGGTTGAGCTTCTCCGCCGGCAGGGCCTGCGACAGAAGGGACAGCTCTTGCATCGAGCCAGTCAGGGCAGCAGTGGGCTTTGCAACAGGCGGCGGTGGAGCGGGTTCAGGAGCATGCTGGGCAGTCGGAGGCTCTGGTGTCGCAGCAGGAGCAGGCTGCCGGGAGGGCTTTACATCCCATGCGTCATCATCGAACCCGCCACCACTGGATGCAGATGCCTGCTTCGGGGGCGGCGCAGTTCTCTCTGCAGGGGTTTGTTCCACCGGTGATGCAACACGGTTGCCATTTGTAGAATTGCTGGCGTCACCCGACTTTTGCTGTGAGAAGGCCTTGGCATCGACAACGTCATTCGCCTGAGTCGTGGGCGTCGGCCGGCCACGGCGCGTGTTGTTTCGCAGGGTGCCACCTGGGCCCGAGAAAAGACCGCCGCCATCGGCACCGTCGTCACCACCCTTCTTCGAGCGGCCGTACTTGTTGTCCAGGAACCGCATCACCTTGATGATATCTCCTTCGCGGAGGCCGAGAGTCCGGAGGTTGCTGGCATTAATGTCCGGCAGGACGCTCTCGTCCATGTTGTCTTTGACAAAGGCCTGTGCATACCTTTCGCACAAGCCAACGGCGACTTCGCACGTGAGGAAGAACTGGAACCAGTCGTAGTCGGACTTTTTGGGCTCGATGGAGGCGCCGACCTTGGTGCCGGACGAGTTTTGCGACTCGTCGTGCTGTTGCTGGATCTGGGACCTGCGCTTCATGCTCGAGAGCGGCTTGTCTTCGTCTAGGGAAACGCCCGTCACAGCCTCGACGTACTCGAGGTCCTCCAATGACATCTTGGCCACGGGCACGGCAATCTTGACACCGTTCATCTTGTGCAAGTTGATCTTGCCGTCCTTGAGACCTAGGAACTGCGCATCAACGCTGAATGATTTGGTGCGGTCGGTCCAGGTCCTTACTTTGGACGCATCGGGTTCTATCTCGTCTTAGTGGGATGTCGTAACAAAAAAAGCAGGGAGTATGGGATTGGGGGTGCTTAGTATACGTACTGGCCTTGCCCGAGCGGGAGCTACTGCCGTTGCCATTCTCTTTCTTGCGCTGCCCCTGTTGGTCACCCCCGTTAACGTTTGTTGCATATAAACTACTGCGCCTCTCAGGCGGATGCACGCCGTGGCCTACCTCGTTTGCTCGTTTTGACTCGTCGCGCACCGCAGCGCGCACGGCGTCGCGCGTCAGGCGCTCTTCGTCCAGGCGGTTCTGCTTCACCGTGGACCTGGCACCGATGGTTGCCATAGAGGTCGAGATGGCTGGGGCCGTGTTCGTAGTGGGCGAGCTCGGCGTGGGCGACTGGTGGCCGGATATCGGCTGCGGGGGAATGTCGGATGTAATACTGCCTGTGACCTCGACGTAGCTCAGGGGCACGACGCCTTCTTTGCCGTTCTTAACACGGCGCACCTGGCACCATTCCTCACTGCGACGGTCGTCGAGGACAATGACCTCATCACCGGTGGCTACCGTAACCTCATCGTCGCCCTGGGCCATAAAGTCGTACAGAACCACGGCCTTCTTCAGCTCGTGGCCGGTGCCTGCGAGGATGACCTCGCGCAGGCCCTCGGCGCGAACGGCACCGGCAAGCTCGCCGAGCGCACTGACAATCTCCTCAGCCGTGTCCTTGGCGCCGGCGTGGAAATCGACGCTCTTGCTGGGCTTGACGAGTTCCATAAACACGTGCTTGCCCTCCCGCGAATAGTGCGTCATCTTATCAGCAGACCATTCCTGCGAGGGGCCGTCCTGCGACCGTTCTGGTGCGATCAGAATAACACCAGTCTTGAGGTTGATGCCGAGCGTCGTGGGCATCTTCTTTCGCTTGCCCATGACGGACACCATCTCGGAAATGTTGTACAGGTGGAAACCGCCCGGGCTCAGGGCGTTCGGGGCATGCGACTCCTCGTCATCGTAACCGCCGCTTCTGCTACTGTCAGCAGCCCTGTTGCCGCCGTACACATTGCTCTTGCTCCGTTGCGGCAGAGATGGTGATGGCTCGTCGTCGTCAAAGGTAGCTTGGGGCCGCGGTCGTGTCGGCAGTGGTGGCGAAAGTGGATCCTCTCCTTCTGAGGCGTCGTCTGAGAGGTAGCGAGGACGGTCTGGCAGCGAAGGGGGAGGTGTCGCCGGCCGTTGCGCAGCAGAGCGGCCAGCCAGGACATTGGCGAGTGCGGCGGCGGCAGCTGAATTGGCGTTGGGGCTGCTCGGCTCGTTGGAAGGAGCGCCACGGGGAGGAAGGCGTGGGCTTGGCGTGTTGTCGTCGTCATTGATCGTGGCCTGTCTTGACGGGAGCACAGGAGGAGGCCCCTCAGCGTCGGGCTCACCGTCCTCGGCATCTGCAGCGGCCGCGCTGGTCCCATCCATATCGATGTAGTTGGCAGGCGCAAAGCCGTAGTCGTTGTCGTACCCGGCAAGAATCCAGTCGGGATCGGAGGTGTCGTAGATTGCCAGCTGGGCGTCCTCTGGGAACGACAGCTCCTCGTCGGTCTGTCTTGTATATTCGTACAGGGCGCGTGCATGGCGAATCGGTTGTGCCTGGTTCAAACGGGTTAGACTCGGGAGAAACGTGTGCATACTCTTTGACGGGCGGCGCCGAGAGAGGTACGGCAGTGCAAATCAGCTCAGTCTTACCTCCTCGACGTAATTTTCTGGAATCAAGCCTTCTGGCTCGTCTTCGTCATCGCCGGCGGCCTTTTTCTTGGCTTTCCACCAACCATCGCCGCCATCCTTGTCGAGGACATAGAGCAGGCTGCCCTCGGTGATGGCCAGCTCGCCCTCCGACTGAGGCGCATAGTCGTAGAGCGCCTTATACACACCGACGAAACCCATGATGTGAAGAGGTTGTGAAACCGTGCTTGGAATGTCGTCGGAGATGACCTCGATGAGATGGGAGAATAGGGGCGGAACGCCCGGGAGGTCGTGACTCGGCCGGACGGGGTGAGGCGTTGAGTAAGAATATTCGTTTGGAAACTAGCGCCGTGCACCGTGCGGTCGCTCGTCGTGTTGGGGAGGTGGAACACGACGTGCTTCTGTCGTCGATAGGGCTATTGCCTTGCCCGAGCGCTGCTTGTCGTCGACGTCAGGGGGATTCAGTGACGCCTTGACAACGGGGACATGCTAGTACGTGAGATGAAAAGGGGTGATGCCGATAACCGAATCTCGGGTTCAATTTGCCTTTCGACAGGAGCTGTCTGCGAGGACAAGGAAAACGCTCTGGCGGCCCAAAAAGAGAGCTTGATTGCCGGAAGTGCGGATGGCTGTGGATTTGGCGGGAACGTGTTACCCAAAAGGTCGTTTCAGGTGGGAGGCTGGCATTAAACAGTCTGAAGTCAGCATAAACAGTGTGACAGTTGCGAAAACAAAGCACCGCTGGCAAACTGTGGGGGGGGGGGATGCGCGGTTCGTAGGGCTGGTCGATGACGAAGCGAAGCTGCAACCACCCGACAACACAGACAGGCAGACAGGCAGATATGGAAAGGAAGGGTCCTGCTTCTTGCCTATCCTCCGTTGGTATTGTGCAACGGAGGAAACGAGATGAGAGGACAGAGAAAGGAGGGCGGAATGGCTCACAAGTAACGATGATGGGCGGTTGGGGACGTTGCTCCAACCGTAAGAAATAAAAGTCGAAACCAGCAATGATCGAAAGAGAAGGAGATCGCCCTCGATCGCGTGTGTGTGCGCAGTCCGTGCCGGGATCGGGGTTGTGGACTTTGGCAGACGCAAAAAGGATGAGCTGGAAAAGGGGAGGAAGAGAAGAAGATCAGGAAGTGAAGTTGCCAGGGAAGACGAGAAAAGCGCTGTTGAAGAAAACGAGGTTAGGCGACTTGCGTTTCTAGGGGTGGCAGGTGCAGGTGGGTGGGTGTGGGTTACGATGCCAAATAGAAAGGAGGCCAAGTAAGAATAGAGGAAGAGGGAAGGCGCGGCCACCGGCGGAAGAAGGAGCGAATTGGCAGTCATAGTTACTTTCGTACTGTTAGTAGTGGGAAGTGCCTTCCCCTTACGTTAGGCTTTTGCACCCAGCGCAGGGAAGGAAAGAGCTAAGCCCAAGGCCGCGTCGCAGAGTCGTAGCGCCGTAATTCGTAGTTGCCCGGATTTCGCAGCTGGCTGCTAGTAAGATTCTGTTTCTGGCAGTCTCCAAATCTTACAAAGACGACGCCGCCCGCCCAGACGTGACTTCATACTACATCGTATTGCATGGTGGCCTTGAGAAGTGGGGTAAGATATGTGAATTGGATTGGCGGAGAGCAGCTGCACAGCAGTCCATGAAGGTGGCTGTGGTGCTAGTCAGTATGCATCGCTGTGGCGGGCAGCTCTGGAATCTCGACAGTAGTGCACACGTGACACCAATTCCCCCGCAAAAAGAATGGTTGCACAAAAGTTGACGGCACAGGTGCATCGCAATGACTTATTTCCTCAAATTACGGCTCCTGAGCGCCCTTACACGATGCGGAGCGCTCTCTCGTCGCGTTAACATGCTACCTTGGATCCCCCAATTCAGTATAAAACAAGCAGTACGCCTATATGAGAGACACGTGCGAGTTCAACCCGAATCGTTCGTGCTCGTCGTCCTTCTTTGACCGCTAGTCCTCGTCTGCACCGTCCGCCTCTTCATTGGGCGCACCGAAACTACCCGTCTTTCTCAGCCGGCTGGTCGAGCCCGTGACGGTGCCGTCGTCGGTCTCGTGGTACGAGTTCTTGCGGATGCTGTTGCGGCGCTGGCTGCGCGTGGCAACGCCCGGGAAGTACCGAGGTTCCGAGCCGGACAAGTGCGCACTTGGGTTCGGATCAGCAGCACTGCCGGCCGGTGTGCCTGCACCCGACGCTGTTGCATCAGCAGGCCACGTGCTCTCTCTCGACAGGACCAGAGGCGATGCTTGGATCGGGCCGCCGGTGCCCACGATCGGTGCCGCGCCTCCCTGTGCCGCTGCATGCAATGCCCCGGTCGAAGCACTGGCTAGGCCGGCGTGTGCTGGAGGAAGGTCCGTTGGAAACGGGCCGGCATGGGCGGCTGCAGGCAGGGTGACGAAACTGGGTCCCGTCGCAGGACCGGTTGCCATGGCGGCGGGCGTCGGCGAGTTGGGCATGGGAGCGGCGACAAGGGCCTTGAGCGACAGCGATGGTGATCTGGGAACGGCCGCGCCCTTATCCCACGGCAGGGGCACCACCTGGGCGGCATCTTCCTCGACGGGCCTGGCAGGAGGTGCCTGTGTGTATTTCTCGATCCTGTGCATGTCCAGTGAGTCATGTTGTCCTGAAAATGTGGGAGGGAACGAGGAGAAGGCAAGAAGGAAACGTACATCTGCCATTCTTCCCGCAGTGTGCTGTAGCGGAAGTGCTGCCGCCGGTCGGGGATGTTGGTCTTGACCATCATGTTGCCGGCAATGCCAGGCTTGTAAAAGTCGGGGCCGAGCCACTGCTGCTTGATGGAAAACTCGTAGCCGCTTTGCACGACCGAATTCTTGGCCAGCTCACACATGTCGACGGGACTGAGCTTGTAGATCTGCGCCGCGACGGCATACTCCTCGATCAGCGGCTCCTTGGTGAAGGCGAACTGCAGCGGGTCGTCCGTCGAGAGAGACACGTTGAGACCGCGCTTAAAGTACTGGTGGAACGGGTTGCGCTCGTAGGCCAGGAACAGCGCGTTGTTGCTGAGCGGCGACATGGCGATGCCGATCTGCTCCAGGTAGTAAATGTACTGGAGAAGCGGCACCTTGCGCAGGAGCAGACCGTGGCTGATGCTGTGCGAGCACAGCAGGGCCACGGCGAGATGCTCGCTGTCGCCGGCCTCACCGCAGTGCGGGCGCAGCACAAACGTGTTGAAGCCGCGCTGCTTGCGCCAGGCGTTGAGCGTGGCCATGTTGGCAAACAGGTAGTAGATCCAGTAGCTGTACGGCGGGTTCTGGCCCGAGTTCCACGCCCTGGGGACGGGGAACTTTTTGAACAGGCGGCGCTCGACCTTGCTCTCGTCGTCGACGCTGTCGAAGCCAATCACGCGCTGCAAGAAGACGTGCAGCTTGGGGTACTTTTGCGGGTTCTTGGTCGCCTCAAACAGCGGCTCAAACACGTTCGTGATGACCTGCTCAAAGGACGCCATCAGGCCGGTGGCCTTGTACACGTCGTACAGGCGCGGGATTTGAACGAGCCAGCGCACGTTGTGCGAGAAGAGCTTGTTGTCGACCACCCAGGCGGCCAGCTTCTCCCACTCGTGGATCGACTTGCCGTAGATGGAGATGCGCCATTCCGCCATTTGGTACTTGCTGGACTCCATGTCGGAGATGACCTCTTTGGTGATCTCGGCCAGGTAGCGGCCCTCGATGTCGTTGTCCGTCTTGAGGAAGATGGTCCGCAGGCGCGATTCGCCAATCGGGTTGTACTTGAGATTGAATTTGTCGAAGCGATGGAAGGTGTCCTTGTGCGCATGCATGTCCAGTGTGTCGATGCTGAGATCGTAGGCCGTGAGGTTGATGCTCTCAAACACCTCGGCGAGCGTGAGGTGCTTGCCGTCACGAAAAATGACGACCTCGTCCGGACACTTCTTCATCTTGCTCTTGATGAAGCGCAGCAGATGCTTCTGGTTCATGCAGGCCGAGTGGTGAACGTGCGTGTCGACTTTGCGGACGTTGTAAAAGTCGCGGTGCGGCACCCGCTTCGTATCCGCCGTCTCCTGGTACTCGTTGAGCAGCGTGTAGAGACCAAACTTGCCCTCCAGGTACTGCAGTCGCCGGTACGCAAAGCTCTTGCTGGGCCCGTCGGCCGACACGTTCAGTATGGGCTCCAGGTCCATGTAGAACTCGCGCAGCGTCGGCACGCTGACAATGGGCGTGTCGGCAGCGGCCGCCTTGTCGTTCTCAAACACTTGATACACGCCGCTGTCGTCCAGGCGGTACGTGAGCTCGCTCTCGCTCGGAAGCGGGCCCAAGTCGTCCATAGCAAAGTCCTCGCCAATGTCCTGGCCCGGCTTCCGCCTCTTGGCCGACTTCTTGGGCGCATCTGTCTGCTGCTGCTGCTGCTGGGGCAAGACCATGCTATTCGAAAGGCTGTTGTTCACGCTGTTCGCAGCACGCGTGCCGCTGGCCGCGGCGCCGGCCGTGGCGCCTGGAGCATCTTGGTCTGCAGTCCACACCGGCTCTGGCGGCTGCGGGTAGATAGTCCAGTTAGGGTCGTCCTTGGGGTTGTCCATCGGGCCCTGGAGCGAGAGACGAATGTACTTGTGGCGCAGGTCGATGATCTTTTGGATGTTCTTGAAGATGGAGGTGAGCTCCGACGTGATTTGCGGGTCCGCGTCGGCGTAGGAGGTGCTGCCAATGCCGGCCGGCTCGCCAATGTTCAGCGCCGAAGGACCGGATGTGGCCGCAGCAGCAGCAGAAGCAGCAGCAGCAGCAGCCTCAGATGGCACGCCAAACGACAGACCTGCACTGAAGACGTCGGGACCAGCATCGGCACCCACGGCACTGCGACCGCCCGCATGACCACCCAGGACGGATCCGTCGACAGCGTGAAGGCTGACCGACGCGCCATCATGCGCATCCACGGCCGCACCGCTGGCACCGGAGCTGACGCCATGATGGCCACCCCCAGACGTTGGAGCGGGCGAGAGGGGGACCGAGACGCGGGCATTGCTACCCAGAGGCAATCGCAGCGGCATGCCACCTGCGTCACCATTTCCCGCTGGTGGTGGTGCGCCGCCTTGCAAGACAGGGCTGGCAGCGGTGGTGGTTTGCTGCTGCAACTGCTGCAACTGCTGCAACTGCTGCATCTGCTGCATCTGCTGCATCTGCTGCTGGGCGGCGGCACTCTTTTGCAGGTCCAACTGGCTCAGCTGGTAAAAGAGCTTGGCATCGCTCTGGCTCATCTGGCGGTCGGCAATCGGGTCGTAATAGGCGCTTCGCTTCGGCATGTCCCGCGGCAGCATGCCCTCTTGGAGTGCAGCGGCGGCCGTGGCAGGGACAGTGACGTCGACGTCGTCCGCATCGTCTTCGGAGGACACCTCGAGCCCCTCGAGCGTGCCTTTTACTGCTGGTGTTTCGTCGACCGGAGTCACATCGCCACCGACACTAAAGCTTGCTCTGGGTGGTCGGTTGCCACCGCCAGCCTTGTCCGGGGACGTCGTGTTGTCGCCGTCGTCGTCGAGAAAGGTTTGGTGCTCATTGCCTCTCCCTCCCTCTTTTCCACCGAAACCCATACACGTCATTTTACCAAATGGGTTGGTGTGTATTCCTGAAATGACGGCTGGCTTGACGGGAGGGGCCGTGACTGGTCGAGAAATGGAGGCTGAAGTCGTGACAGGTGTAGCTTGAGCGGCAGTCGAATCTCCGGAGGTCGTAGGGAGGGAGGCAGAGCAGATCAAACAAGGACCTTGCGTGGGATAAGGGTTCGAGTCGGGTTGCGATACAGAAGTAGAGGAGCCGATGTGGAGAGCCTTAACGCTTGTAGTAAGGGTGAGGTTGATGTTCGACAGGCTCCTCGAGGCTGAATGGCCTGGGCGAGGGATCCTTGTCGGCTGAAAACGAGGGATATGTGGGCTCTCTTAAGAGGAGCTAGTTGTAGTAGGACCTGTCGGTCGAGGAGGTGTAGAGACGAACTTGAAACTAACGTTAGATACTAGTGATAGATTCTTACTAAGTTAGGACGGGCCCGGCTCCCAATAGGTGCACCGGTCCGGTGCAAATAAAATTTATTACCTAATATGACTACGGCTTCTGATTGGCTAGAGACCGGTGCAAATAAAATTGTTTATGTAATCGTAAAACATCACCTGAATTATTTTGAAGCCATTTCAAAACATCACGACCATTAAACGCACCAACGAAATAACCTCCCTACCGCCCGACCGACCTCCTACCCTGTCTTTAGAAGCCGTCTACGAGTCACGAGAAGCCCTCCTCCGGTCAATCAACGCGTGGGCGGCGTTGTATGGCTGTGTCTTACGAAATAACGGAGTGGTATGTAACACAAGTGGTATGGTGAGAACAGGACGAGGAGGAGGAAGAGAGGACGGTGGAGGCGGAGGTCGGTACACCACGGCACAGACGGCGTACACGGACCTCCCGTACATCGGCGGCCCGTACACCGCGTACTCGGAGGTCTCGTTTTAAACGAGCTTTACGGGCGGCCGTCGTAGAGGCTTAAACAGAGGTGTAGGTTGTAATGGTAAGCGTAGAGCGAGTAGATGTAATACTACAGAGTATTCGTGAAAGGTTTCAGCCGTTGGATTAAAGTATTCGGAGTATATATATACGGTGATTTATACTACTTTTTATGGCTTTTCGCGATGCTTTTGGAGATGATGTTGGCGATTATATAAACAATTTTATTTGTACCGGTCTTTGGCCAATTAGAAGTCGTATTTTATATTAGGTAATAAATTTTATTTGTCACTTTATCCCACGTGACACACGCCCTCAACACTCCAGGCTAGGCCGGGCGAGGCAACACCGGCCAGTTGGGGTGCGCTAGCGGCAGACAAAAGCTTAATTTGCTGCCCACCAAATCCAGGCACGAACTGCACGAACTGCACGAACTGGCACGACAAAGACATCATGTGGCTACAAAGTCCGTAGGAGCCGCTGAAGGCGGAAAACGTATTCAGTTGGACCGTAGTGCCCTTCTATGTCCTCTATGGGGGTCATTGAAACGACAGCGTGCAGTGAGACCATGTGATCTTCTGATCTTCTGGTCTTCTCTGATGTGAGCTGTGTCCGTCATAATAAAAATGCAAAATACACAAAAAAAAAGTGCAAAAAGGAATATAAAAACAAAAACGAAATGCAGCCAATCCTGGCATCGTTCACTCATATCTCTAGCTATCATGTTTGCGCCAGTGACATTGAGCTAAAAGGCGTTCTAGCCCACCTTGACGCTCACAGCGCGCGGCCGCGCAGACGGCTTCCGCTTGCCGTCAAACGAGTAGAGGCCGCCGGCCGAAAAGACAATAATGGCGCCGATCAGGGTGCCGGGCGAGAGGCGGTTGCCAAAGAGCCAGATGCTGAAAAGCAGGCTGACGAGCTTGCGGATGTTGAGCACAATGGTCACGGTCAGGGCCGAGGACGCGGCCGCCAGCAGGTTGACGCCGCGGATGCAAGCATACTGCGTGAGGACGTTGAGCACCAGGTAGACGAGCTGGCTCGGGATGTGGATGCGCTCGACGCTCTCGCGCAGGCCGGCCGCAACAGCGACGTCGGCGCCGTCCACGGCGCGCTTCGCGGCGTGGGCGGCCGTGCTGGCGGCAGCATCCAAGAACGGCAGAGAGAGCGGGGCGCTGTTGGCGAGGCGGGAAAACTGGCGAACGAGGGACGGCAAAAAGGGAAGGAAGAGCGGCAGGGACAGCAGGTGCGAGTAGAAGAGGTTCTCGCGCCACTGGGGCCCGTACTTCTTGTACGTCTCCTCGGTGTAGAGGCCCATGATGGACGAGAGGACCTGGGCAACGAACAGGATGGAGAGGCCGATGATGAACTCGATGTTGCCCTCGGCGGCCTCTTCTGCGACGCCCTTGCTCTGCGCGTCGGACCAGGCGGCAACGACGACACCCACCGTCAGCAGGATAACGGCCAGGATCTGGATGCGGGAGTACCGCTTCCCGTACAGAAAGCCGGCAATCATGGTGGTGATGCTGCCGCCAGAGCGCAGGATGATGTGGACGGGGACCGAGATGTTGTAGCTAAAGGCGTGGTTGTTGAGGACGTTGATGCTGAAAAAGAGGACAATGTTGACACACCAGCGCTTGATGGGGACTTTGTTGGGTTGAATGAAGAACGGCGGGCGGTCGCCGTCGAACTGGGAGACGTAGCCGGTGATGGCAACGAAGAGAAACTGGGTGAAGGTAAGGAGGGTACCTGGCAAGTTAGCAAAGATGAGCAAGGCGAGCAAGAGGGCAGCGGCAGGTCATGAGACGGTCGGAAAAGCGTGGGGCCTGCGGCGGGGACATACCACTGGCAGGCTCGACCTTGATAATGGCTTCGAGCGCAAAGACGTTGGAGCAGCAGCCGCCAAAGATCAGAGCGAGCATGGCGCCAATGGTCAGCCATTGCGGAATGGTCTCGATAAAGATGCGGCCGGCGAGGGCCATGGCCCGTGAGAAGACGGGCCGGTCGTCGTCGACGCCGTACATCTCGGCCTTTTCCAGCGATGGGGCGGCGTTGATCACTCGAGGGCCCGGCGTGGTCGCCACATGTTTCGGGGGCTTATGCGAAGTCTGGCGGCGTCGGGCGTTGGAGGTTGTCATTTACACGGTTTGAAGGCTCGACTCGAAGCGGCCGTGGAGGTTGTGCTCCGGTGCGACAACGGCGTTTGAAGTGGATATAAAAACGGCTGTTGGTGTCAGGGAAGGGCGTTAGGCTGAACGGAGACAACCGAGGCTGTCAATGGGCGTGGATAGAGGCGCAATTGTGTCTGGCGGACCGTTTGTCTCTCATATATGGTGACTTGGTGGGTATGTATGTCTCGAGTTGTGCATAAAACTGTGCCCCGGGAGGAACACAGGCAGAGTGAACGTCTGTTTTGCGAGCTGTCTGAGTGTATGAGTCGTGGAGGAAGATGCTGGGCCGCAACGCGCTGGATAGGCCGGGTATGTCGGAATGGCAAAACGATCTCAATATAGTGATGTAGAGTAGCAATGAGGGCACTGTACGATGCTTTTCTGCTGGAACAAAACGGTTGGACGAGATTGACGAGTGGCGAGAGGTTGTTGTGTTGAAGTTGACGTCGGGGTGGGGGGGCGAGCGACTCGAGATAGGCAAGGGGGCAGAGCAAAGAGAGAGCGAAAGAGGAAAAGAAGGAGAAGGAAAAGGGAAGGAAGGCAAGGCAACGAAAGGAAAGACGGAGACCAGAGATCGGACGGCTGTTCTTGCCAAACGTGGACCTAATCGTGGCCGGCTCGGCAGTCACAAGGCAGAAAGGGGAAGGAACAGCAAGCAGCAGAATAGCAAAAAAGCAAAAAAGCAAAAAAGCACAGGCTGCCGGTCCTTGGTCGCGGTTTCCTGCTTCTCGCAAGGCAAGTTCCGGGCCCAGATGGCCCCAGTGTGTGCTCTGGAAGAGCCAATCCCCTGCGCCGTTTGCAGTCAGGAAGGTTTAAAAAAAAGGAAAAATTAAACAATCCAAAAGGGAGCATCTCCTTCCGCGCGAAAGAGAGGGCTTTGTGGGAAGTGGATCTCCCGAGGCGCGCTCGTGTCAATCAGTGAGAGCACGGCTGCACGGGTGGCTGTCTGCTATGTGTCTTTTTCAGATGACTGCCCGAGCCCTCTTTTTTAGAGGCAGATCGTTCTGTCACCTTGTATCTTAACAGAATTGGTGGTGTGAAAGTGGCGTGGTGGTGCGCCGGAGGCAAGAGCCGCAGACCGATAGTGGTCGTCGCCAGCACTGCCTGACGTGCTGCGGAGAATACAACATACTGTGATTCTCCGTATAAAACAGAATCAGTGGATCCTGGACGCGCTAAGGAGTCCAAGGGCTATTGCTATGAACCACAAGTATAAAACGCCGCGCCAGGTCGGTCGAAACGAGCGAGCGAGTTAACGGTAAGAGGAACGAACAGAATAGGAAACGTAGCGGCGCGGAAAGTGTGGGACCTACGAAATGCAATTACATGTGGAACTGAATTGCTGATTGCTGATTGCTGAAGTGCCTGTTGTAGATGGATCGATCAGAGGCGGCAATTGGAACTTAGGATACGTGAGGAGGCAGTTACCAGACTGCCGTTCATGAGGTGCCTCTTATTCGTTATGGACGGAGTCTCCATACTGGGTCTGTTGGCTAAGCCGGATGGCAGGAGATTCTGAAAGGAGCTGCTGTCTGTTGAAGCGAAAAGGGACGAAGAACCAGTGCACTACACGAATGCGGCCTGAGAAGCTGTCAGAAGAGCGCATGAGACTTAGCGACTGGATCTAGGGCACCGCAATCTGCAATGTGTCCGCCAGCTACGTGTATACCACTATCAACGCTAAAGGACAGGAACAGGGCCCCAACCAAGGGCGCTAAGCTAAGGGTCAGGGGAGAAATAACCGTCGAAATACAGAGGTTCATTGCCTTGGAGTCTTGGACAATGCCAGATTTCACAGCGAGAAGAGTCTCGAGACGAAAGAAGACGACGGAACAAAAGAGAAGAGCAGCCATGCTCGAACGGGTTTTGTGACCACGTCCCATAGCTGGTCGGCAATTTGAAGCAGGTGAAGCAGGCTGCACAACGTACGGCGGAACTGCCAAGAAACCGGAACGTCCGTTCACCCATATCTCTCTGTCCTGCTCTCCGGCGTCGTCGTCCGTACAAAACGCCGAACCATGGGACGCTGTTCTAGACAAGACTCAAGTGCACACGAAATAAAAAAAGCACTCCCTGCACATGGCCCATTTGGAGATGAAGATCAGCCCCTAAGCCTAGACGGGCCGAGCGAGCGAGCGATGGGGATGCTGCTTTCGGGAGATACGATTCGCTGCGGCCAACGCTACCCTATTAAGCAGGTGTCTGCAGAGGAATACGACGTACATTGTACGGGCAAAGTATTCTGTACAGAGATGATCCTCCAGAACTGACATCAGTACGCATACGACCGGACATGTTTAGTACGACGTACAACGTATGGCTCCGTTCGCGGACGAGACGACGCTACAGGCACTCTCTTCCGTCGTCATAATACGACCCCGACCCTCGGGCAAGGATCTCACAAGTCTCACAAGGATCAAAGATGCCCGTGTACGGACTGACTTTATTTCGATTTATTTGCTTGGTGCTTGGTTGATGCTGTCTCCAATGGGTGTAATAGAATCTACAGCTAACAAGACAAAATCCATCCTGGATTGCTGGTCTGCCAAGCCGGCCCATGCTGTCTCGACAACACGGTCTGCGCAGCTCCCACGCACAGGGAGGGGAGGGGGCCAGGCTTTCGTTTCCGTCTCTAGCCAAGATATCATTGTTGTCGTTTGTCCGTCGTCGTCGCGCACCACTCCGAAAAAGAGAAAACAAGGACTCAACCGACAAAACAGCAACAACACCCATTGTCCTCCAACCAGCCTCCAACCAGCCTCCAACCTGCCGTCGTTCTCTGCCTGCTCCGTCTCCCAACCGTCACTCGACGCCTCCCCCTCTTCGTCTATCATATGAGACCAAAACATATCAACAGGAACAGAGCCCCTGAGCCCCCCTCCCGATGTCTTCGTTTCTGCCCAGCTTCTCGCGGACAGGATGCCAGTGTGTGCTCGTCTCTGTTGTCTAAAATAAGTGCAAAGGGTAACAAAACACGGAACGGTCAAGAGATAAAGTCAAGAAAGCGATCAAAACTGAGCAAGGTAGAATGGTCAAAATATGAAAGATAACGGGAATCGAGACATAGGGGCGACATAAACAAGAAAACGACACGAGACAACCGCCGCCCCCATCTTCATGATACAAGCGGAGTTGCGCCGGCTAACCACCCGACTGGTGACAGTCTACAATGCGGAGAAGACAAATAACTGCATTGGACGTTAGCGACGTGACCACGAATAGACAAAAGGGGCGTAAGTAAAGGCTACAGGCACTCACGTTGTTCGTGGCGGCGATAGCGATACTGTCCTCAAACGGATGCCAACTCATGTGTAGGATCTTCTTGTTAAAATCGATCTGGTCCGCGTCGGTCTCCTTGCGCATCCGCTGGCCCTGGCCGGGCGTAGGGCTGCCCGACCGCGAGCCATTCTTCTTGCCGTTGGCCGTCGGGCTGGTCGACGAGTTGATCGGCGTCGGCACGCCCACCTTCTTGGCCTTGAAGGCCGACTTGTCGGCCTGCAGGACAACCTCGGTCTCCTTCTCAGGGTCGGTTGGGTAGATCATGAAGTTGTTGTTGTAGCTGCCCGTCATGACGTTCTTGGCATCGCCCGAAAAGACCACCTCAAACTTGTCAAAGATGCTATCGTTCTCGTACGTGTCGCAGAGCCTCGGCCGCAGATGCTCGTGGATAGGGATCGTCTTGACAGGCTGTCGCTCCATGTTCACATCCCAGATCTTGACGGTGAGGTAGTCGCGGGACAGAATGTAACGGCCGTCGTGTGAGAACCGGACATCTGAGATGGATGAGATAATTTCGGAAAAGAAGGACCGCGATTGGGGGTCCTCCTCCTGTTCGAACACTGCGGCATCTCTGTTAGCAAGCTAGAAAAATACAAAAAATACACAAACAAAATAAGAACCCAGGGGAGTCTTACGCTTGGCGTGCTGGTCGCATAGCGCACTCTCCCGCATGTCCGCCAATTTGATGGTGCCCTTGGAGCTGGCATACATGAACCAGTTGCAGCTTTGTGGGTGAAACTCGGCAGCTGTGATCACCTCGGTCAGCTCCTCCATGTTGGCCGGCTTGATGTCGACAATGTTGAAGCTCTGGTCTTGAATGTTGAGGTTCCAGAGGTTAATGCGTAGGTCGTCGCTACTGATGAATGTTTCTCCGTCGCTGTTGACCGAGATGCTGTTGATGTGGTACGCATGGGCATTGGCGTAGGTCCGGCGCGGAACGGCGGCGACAACGGTGTCGTGGTGCGTGAGGCGGGGGAGCTTCAGGTCGCTCGCGTTGCGGAAGTGCACAGATGGTAAGGGCCGCGGGGCGCCGCCACCGGCCACGAGACCACCGGGCGTCAAGTCTTGAGTGAGATTGTTCTCGGCGACAACTTTCAGCGACTTCTCAAACACCTTCCACAGCTTGATGGTCTTGTCGTTTGTCGACAAAAGGTAATGTGAGGCATTCTGCCGCCGGCACCACTTGATTTTGTTGATCTTTTCTTCGATTTCGAGCGACTTCAGGTAGTCAAACTCTGGCTCGTGCGATTGGAATTCGGTGTGGAACTTGTACTCGCATGTTTTCTTCTGTGGACGAGGCAAGGGTCGGATACTGTTAGTCATCCATTACATTTCCGTCGCTACATAGAAAAACCGTGTTTCATGATGAAAACGGGCAGCACTCACAGTTTCGTTGCGCTCAAAGAGGACAACTCTTCCTCCCTTGTCTCCTGTTGCCAGATAATTGCCTGTGTGGTCAAACTCGACGGTCGAGATGATATCGGCTACGTAACAATATTAGTACCGCTGGTCTGGTGAGATGCGCCGGGGTGCTATCTTTCAAGTTATGTCTGGGACCTACCTTCCGTGATATCTTCCACATCACCTTTGTCGCCAAAGCACCTGCGAGGAGACAATGCGTTAGCGGTCGCTTGGACACGACGAGAGCACCTGACAATGTGCAAATGATACAGGTCTCGAAAAGGAAACATATGGGTAGAGGCGTTGTTTCTCGCTCAGTTGTGAATCGGGGACCATGGAGGAGCTTGCTCCTGAGAACCATCCCAGGCCACAAACGCAAGAGTACTACCAAGCGGGCCCAAGGTGAGACGGAATATGAGAATAAAGAGGGAGCCTCGACAACAAAGAGACGCTTGGTAGTGGTTGGAGGGGCACGAGTAATGACACGTGTATGAAAGGACTCGCAGGAGGTGTTCGAGGCATAAAAGAAAAAGGGTAGAGGGACCAGGGGCCACATACTGTGTGAACTTCCACGTAGGGGAGTTCGCCTCTGCTTCCACCATGATTCCAAGCCTGGTTCGCAAAGGGTGCCGGAAGAGCCGCCCTTGTGTCGATCACGAAACGAGTTGATAAAGGTGGTATGACGAGCAATCGATACTGGGACGGCCAAGGGCGAGGTTGAGCCAGGATAGAGGGCGATTACGGTCGACAAGTACGGCGACGCAGAGGATGATCTGTCGAGCACCGAAGCTGTTTTTAGCAAGATGTTTGAAAACGGGATACAACATAAGCAAAGTGAGGCTGCGGAAAGGGACACGGCAAGGAGCGAGGCAGCAAGCAACGGAAGCAGAGCAGGCCCCGAGTGCGGCGATGAGATACGCAGGAGAGCAAAAGTTCAAGCTAGGAAATATGTCGCGCGACAAGCACTAGGGGTAAGGTAGGGGATCAAGAAGCAGGCGGGAGAGGGCTGAAAAATGACAAGCTCGAGGAAACTGGGCGCGTATTGGGTTTGACGATACGTGAGGAACGACAGGAGGACTGTGGCAAGCGACAAATGCAAGAGACGTGGAAAGGTGTGGGCCGCAAAGAAGCTTTTTAGGTTGACAAATGGGTGTTTTGGTTGCGTGCAGGGACCGGAGCCAGGCACAGTATGTGGAGAGAAAAGCCAAAATGATATATGATACGGAAGGCAGGGCTGAGAGGCTGTCTGCAATTGATAAAAGCAAGCGGAGAAGGAGGAGGCAAAAGAGGCAAAGTAAGAGAAATGCGGGAGCGGTATCGCACCTTTGGCACGGTCTGGCCGATGTGGATGTCTTGGATCCTAATTCGGAACCGACGACGGCGTCTCGTGGGCGGTGTGGCGGCAAGCGCTGACGTTCGCGAGCTGGACGATGTGTCAACGCGGTTCGGGGTCCGATCGAGGAGGGGAGCGTGACAAAGACGGCCGGCCGGGAGCAAATCGATGGGGGTTGGCGAACGCGGCGAGCCGGGAGAGCGCGTTCCAAGGAGCGGGAGGTTGGCGGAGGCAGAAAGGATGAGGTCGTCGAGGCTGCAACGTCCGAGGGGCGGGATGACGTGAATGGCGGCGTGAGCAGCGGCGAGATGGAGATGGCAGAGACGGTGAGCGAGAGATGGCGTGCAGAGCACGGTGGCCAGCTGAAGCAAGATAAAAGAGACAAGGATAACAGGAAACGGTCGAGATGGGCGATGTGGAGATGGCAGCGGCTGCGCGAGGAGAGCTGCCAGTCCAAACAAGACAAGGGGTTTCTGGGAGGAGGATGATGCGACGTGACAAGGACGGGAGGAGGAGAAAAAGGAAGCAAAGACAAGAACCCAAAAGCGATCGAAACGGATTCTGTACACAAACAAGGTTAAGGCGGCGTTGGGACAGGACAAAGAAGGCGAGACGGCGTGTGATGTCGACAAAGGTAGGTTGGGAGGGAGAGCGATGTCCACAGAAGAGGCAAGAGGTCAAGGGCAAAAATACATCAGCACCTTCCAAATAATTTGCTGGGATGGTGGGAAGCAGGAGGGAGCAGGAAGGCAGGTCCAAGGGGGGCCGCTCTGGCGGCGAGGGAAAGAGCGGGCAAAGAGAGAGGGGGTGGATGTCCGCTGCAGGCGTGGCAGGCACACCGGAAGCCCAGAAGGGAAGTGACTGGGCTTTAGGGGCCGTTATTGCTGTCAGAACCCCCTGCCAGCTTAAGCTTTACAGGTCCGGCCAGGGCCTGTTTACACACTAAGGCCGCACTGCAGGGGCATTTTATGCTACGTATTGATGCTGGTGACTTGAGATTCTGGTGGCTTGTGCGGGGTAAAACCATCTGGACCAAACTGAAGACGTAAAAAACAGTGGGCGGTCGCCGGATTAGAGCTGTTTGTCCACCCTCCAACAGCACAGCTTAGAGCTGCAAGCTTTTATCGCGGCTTCCCTAAACCGTTAAGCTAAACGGAGCAGGCCACGAGAAAGTACCGGGCAGGTACTCTCTCTTAACCCAACATTAGAAAAGGAACATGAAGGTACTCCGCAAGATGAAGTAACCGGCCACTCGGTAAAACTTCAAAGGCAAGAACGGAGCTCGATATCGACTTTCGTTTGGTTCGGGCCTAATTGCCTCATGGGCAGCTGTCTTGCTAGTTAAAATTTCGGGGAGTTGTTGGCTGGTGAATTGACACGCCGTCTGTTTTGTTTCTGGATTGTCGATGACGACGATGCCAGGTCCATCTTGGCCACGGTGAGAATCGGCACACCGAGACCACTTCAGATCCTAGCTGGCTACAGATCCATATTCACGTGCACGCCTCTCTTTCCCTTTCCTAATTCCGCGAACTGCCACATCTTTCGACCTTTATATTTTGATCGGCATGCCTTTTTCAGCTGTTTTGAACGAACAACAACTTTGGTCTTTTCATCCTTAGACCACAAGACACACAACAATGACAGGGAACGATCCTCCAATTGCCAAAGGAAAAGGCAAAGGGAAAAGCATCGATGAAGACACCACAAGCGGCGGTCGGAGCACGGAGTCGGCACCAACTGATGGCCAGCCGTCGGTCTTGTCCCGCATTGCCCAATCGGCGGCGGGCCTGGGACGGGATATGATGTCGGCCCGGCCAAGTGGCGGCGACCTGGTCTCGCTCACGTCGACGGACAAGGGCGGGCGGGCCAGCCGCGGACAACCGTCGGCCGCGGCTGCAGCCGGCGAAGGCTCTGCTTCTGCTACGTTCCCAAGGTCGGCGGCACCCCAGTCCGGAAGCAGCAGTCACTCCCAGCAGCATGCCATGGCACAGGACGAAGCATTCTCGCACTTCTTGGATGGGACCAGCATCGACATGTCCATGCCCGCCGAGCCAATCATCGGCCTCGACGACAATGCCCTGCTAGAACAAGCGTGGACACATCGGACACAGTCGACAGACGTGCCGTCGCTGACGACGACGACAGCGACAACTACGCATTCTATTCCTCCGCCGTCTTCGGCCGTGGCCGAGCAGGAGCGCATGGACGGCCTCGATGTCGTCAACCTGCTTGCTGGGGGCGGCCCTCCAGAAGAAGAACCTGACTACGGCGACATCGAGCTGGCCGAGGACGAGAGCACGGCGCTCAAGCTTGCCCTGTTTGGCGACAGGAAAAGCGAAGAGCAGTATGCGGCCTCGACAACAAACCACGATTGGGACACGGTCCTCAATTTCATACCCGATTTCGTGCGTCCGAGCCCCGGCGGCGAATACGAAGACGACCCAGGGCACACCCAATCCCGCACCGGCGCACCGACAAAGTCCCGCGAGACACAAGCGGCGTTGGGCATGCCACACTCGTCCGAGAGCACGCGACAATGGCTGGAACAGTGGCAGGGCGTTCTGACTCGCTACGACGACGAAGTCTGGGGCGGGCTGTCGCCGCTGGTTGCGCAGGCCCGGGAAGAGGTCGACCAACTTCAACAGTCCGAGACGGACAGCAGTCCTCCCGATCGGCCGCCGGCAAGTACAAAGGCTCTGGACCGTCTGCGACAGATTTTGGGGCATCTTCGCGAAGATTGAGACGTTTACAGTGACCTCCGTACCGTCGATGTTGATGGCAACCTGCGTCTGGATGTGGCACGTGATTAGCCCAGGCGCTTTTAGCGATGACATCACTGATCGTCAAGCTCTTTAGTACCCCGGAGCTGCCGGTAAGAAGCTTAAGCGCAGACAACGACAAGGAATTGGCGACTCCAGGTTACCGCCCGTGTGATGTTGGAAACGCAAGAGAGTAATACTATATGGACAAGTTATGGGATAGTTATGGACATTGAGGTGCAATAGAGATACCCTTTATGTTTCGACCGCAGTTACTTGACAATTGCCGCCGGCAGACTGCGCGATCTCTGCCGTGTGTCTGATCTCAGTCTTGTGTCCGAGCGCTTGTCTAAACAAGACACTGCATACCCGCGTTACCTGTGGCATCTATTTATATTCCGTTGTGCCTTTTATCTCCCGTTTTCTTGTATGGAGTAGATATGTTTGGTACTTATAGCTGCTGCCTCTGAGCCTTCTGTGTCCCTTGCCTCCATGCAAGGATCAACTGGTCGATATTTGAGCCCTCCATGATGCAGAAACCTTGGGCGAGACGAATGCTCTCCACCACTATATATGCAGGGCGGTATGCAGGAGAAAACGCAGGGGAGCGTGCAGATGATTTCCACAAAGCCGTCCACAGGGCGAGCTAAAGAACACAAAAGTACGGAACACGGCCTCACAGGCAGCGAGGGTCGTTTTTTGGGCCTAGGGGTTATCTGGGCGGCAAAAGTAAGGCGCGAACTGGGCGCGGGAATCTACGACTCGGGTTGGTCGATGGAGGTTGCAAAAGAACTGAATGAAGAACAGGAGAGAACGAACTCTGATAGGACGACGGCATGGGCCAGCCCAACCGTACACATCATGTTGCTTTGGCGATGTAGAAATAGATAGGCACCATTACGGCCCGAGGCAGAGCCGCATCAGAGCGACAACCAGCTGTCCATATCACAAATTACAAAGTCCAAAAAGATGGACAAAGCTCGAGAATGCGCTCGCCTCTCTGTTTGCCCGTTTGACGACGGCAAAGCGCCGATCCAGGACCGCCCTGTGGAATGCGTTCCCAGCGGGATCTTCGAGCGATCCTTTAGCGAACATTCGGTGGGTCGCGCTTACCACTCACGGCCCCAGCGCCTAATTCACAGATAAGTTAATGGGTGTCTCAGATGCTTGCTGTTGGTATTTAGCATGTCACTCGATGTCTAACATGTCTCTGTATTGTCTTTGATGTCTTCGAGTACAACCTGACTCTCACTTTGTGTCTTTATGGGCTGTGTCTCTGATTCCTATTGGCTCCTCATAGCCTGACAGACACTTCGAAACTTATGGACAGAAATTCGCGAACCGCTGCAAAATCGCTGCACGCAAGGGACAGAAGCACGGGGTGTAGAGTAAAAGAAATAAAAGACTTAGACAAGGGACAAGGAGAGAAAGAGGTGGATAAAGAAGGGAAGGAAATATATGAATAAAAAGAAGCAGGAGGACAATGCGCTAGGTCACAACCGTACCTGCCTCGAAGCACTTCCACGCTGATTAAGTTGCCACCTCCTCTAGCTGCCTTTTGCCATTTTGCCCTTGATGCCTTGCTTCAACTTGCAGCTCGTTCCTGCCCTTTCCGCCTCTCGTCCCCAGCGCTCCCTCGGCTCCTTCTCTTCTTATTCCCTGGTCCTCCTAGCCTCTTTCCTCGAACGACACAACACCGCCCACGAAGCCTAAGATCTGACTACATTTTCCAAGAAGGTGCGGCGGACCAAAGACGACTACTCATTCCCACTGGAAACTGCGCCTCCCTGTTCCCAAAGGGCTGAAATCGCCACACGTGCACCTGCCCTTTTGACAAGCAACGCAACGCCTTCTTTAGCACAAACGGGCAGGTACGACCAGACCAAGGCAAGTCCGAAAACAACTAGAGGCCCAAGGTCGCATCTCAACGAGTATCGAACTACCAAGCTACATTCCGCCCATTTTCAACTCTCGTTTCTCTCTCTTAGCTTGCCGTCTTTTTACTTTCTCTTCTCCTTTACCTTCTTTTTTGGACTCTCTCGACATCCTCTGCTCTTCTTCTGTGCCCTATACACACCTCTGCTCGGCACAGTTCTACTACCGAACAGCGACATATTTTACCAATAGTTTATTATTGACGACCTGTTCTGTCCTCGCCTGGCTCCCCAATCCCAATCTTTTGCCCAGATACCCATACGCGCACCATACGGAAGCGTTCGACGGCATGAGCCCGTCGCACCTCGACACCGGCGGCGGTGGCAGCCGGCCAACAAAGAAAGACGCCAGACGAAGCCCCATTGGCAGCAACAGCTCAGACGAGGAAGAGACCTGGCACTCGACACCAGCAAGTCCCGCGATGAAGCCGACAGCAAACGACGCGGATACGACAGCTCTCTCAACAGAAACAGACAAATCATCCTCGCAAACAAAACCTTTGACAGAATTATCACCCGCCACCGCTTTTCCCGAGGTGGGAGGGGTTGTTGGGAGTCGACAAGGATTCGACCTAGACGAGCAGGGGTCGGTTCGACCAGGGTCAGGACATGGGCAAATGCATATGCAAAGCGGTGACAACTTTTCCGATATTGCACTCGATGACCAGCGGTCCTCCATCCCATCCTCCGTCGCTGCCTCGGACGCCGAAGAGGCTGCGCGCGTCTTTGCGACACCGCCACAGTCTTCCACGCCCAAATTGCCGCCGTTCCCTGCCCGGCCACCCGTGGCGCGCGTGTCCGCGGCAAGCAATCTAGCTGGCGACGGTGATGGCGACGATGCGGTCTTTGACGAACGGCCCTCGTCGTCCTCTGCTGCCGGCAAAGGCCCAGCACCACCACTGCCTCCGCGCTACTCGTCGCAATCGTTTGGAGGCGCACCCATCTTCCCGCCGCCGCCAAAGCGCCGTTCACAGCGCGTGAGCGGCCGTCCCATGTCGATGGCTTCCGTTATGAGCGGCACAGCCTCGCCGTCCTCGTCAACCACCTCGCCGCGCTCCTCGTCCTTCTACCCGCCCAATTACCTCAACCGCCCTCTGCCCCAAACACCTACGTCGGTCGTCAGCGGTGGCAGCCGCCCGTCGTCTTACTCCTTCTTTTCGCCCACCACCTTCATGCCGTCGGCCACGTTGGCCACCTTCTCGAGCAACACCTCCCAGACACGCCCGCTCTCCATGGCCATGGATGTCCCCCGCCCCCTGCGCCTGCAGCCGAGCCTGCCCATCCGCAAGGGCACCTCCACGCCCGGCAGCAGCAGCAACGGCCACGCTGGAGGAGCGGGCGACGACGCGGGCGACGACGCCGGGTACGACATGGCCTGGCTGCGCGCCCATCAGGCCGCCGCCCGCATGGCGCGTCGGCGTCAGCGCGAACAGCACTTGGGCCCCGAGGCATTCGAGCGGCACCGGCAGCGTCTCGAGAGCCACGAAGGCACCTTTGAGGTGGTGGCGTGCTTCTTGCAGCGCCTGGCGCACGCCGAGAACGATGCGCTGGAGCCCGCCAACTTCCCACACTCGCTGGCCGAACAAAAGCGTCAGCAGGAGGCTATGGAGCTCATGCGGCAGGAGACGGTCGAGGCGCTGACCCCCCTGCTGGCATACGGACCGACAGAACCGCCACCGCCGGCTCGACACGTCTCTTCGGCCAAGACGCCACACATGTCGGCCGCCGCCACTGCGTCGTCCAAGAAATCGGGCCCTGTCCCCGGCCACGTCGTCGGCCTACCACCGACGCCGCCCCTCTCGCCGCGTCGCCACGATCCCCGCCGCGAGTCCGGCATGAGCAGCATCACAGAGACGAGCCTCAGCGGCGGGCACAGCGACGACAGCAGCAGCATCCACGGCAGCGCGCGGCCCGCCTCCGATACCTGGCGGCAGTCCATGAAGCGGGCGTCGGCGTTGTTTGGCGGTTGGGGTGGCGGCGGAGGAAGCAGCAGCACGGCGCCGGCTTCGACGACGCGGTTCTCTGGCGACTAGTTCTTTGGAGATCCAGTGTTTGGCCGCCGTCTGTTTTATACCTTTGTTGTGATGTGCGTTGTACTCTCGCGGTGAGCGAGCACACGAATGTGTATCTGATATCTTTCGGGCATCATCCTGCGGCGTTTTACTTTGTAGCAAATAGTGTACGGCGTTTCCCTTTCTCGCAGTATGGTACTTGGGGATAGTGATTCCGATGTTTTGTCTATTTTTTCTTTCTGGAACTATTAACGATTTCGGCACTTGCAGTTGCAAATACCACGGGCCCAATATTTTGGGGGACCCTATGAGTATTATTACCGATATCGCAATGGCGTCTTTGCTGCCATTCTATGTTTTGTTGCAATCACAAATGTTATTTGATTCATTTTTATGCTGCATACCATCACATTGTGGTTCGACACGTCAAGACCAAGGGAGAATTTTTTGTTTTGCAAATGGTATATCCACCTCTGAACAGGGAAAACAAGCCCCTCTGAGGCTGTCCTTTTTAAATTAAGAAAGGAAGAGTTTCAAGAAGCAATAGAAGGGCTGAGTGGGCTAAATAAAATAGAAAAAGCGAAAGGAACAAAACATCATCGCGCCCAGTGACAGGCGTCCTATCATCCTTAAGAGGTATGGGCGGCATGGGACATGAGAGGCACGCAACAGCACGCGCTTACACGCACACGGTGGGTACGGTAGAACACGGTAGCGCTACATTTACTCGTGCTCCTCGACGTCGCCCTCCTCGACGCCGTACTCCTCCTCATCCTCGTCGATACCAGCATCCTGGTACTGCTGGTACTCGGAGACCAGGTCGTTCATGTTGGACTCGGCCTCCGTGAACTCCATCTCGTCCATACCCTCACCAGTGTACCAGTGAAGGAAGGCCTTGCGACGGAACATGGCAGTGAACTGCTCGCCGACACGCTTGAACAGCTCCTGGATGGCAGTCGAGTTGCCCACAAACGTGGACGACATCTTAAGGCCGCGCGGCGGGATCGAGCAAAGAGCAGTCTGGACGTTGTTGGGGATCCACTCAACAAAGTACGACGAGTTCTTGTTCTGGACGTTGCGCATCTGGTCCTCGACCTCCTTCATGGAGACCTTGCCGCGGAAGATGGCGCAGCAAGTCAGGTAGCGGCCGTTGCGGAAGTCCGAGGCGGCCATGATGTTCTTGGGGTCGAACATCTGCTGGGTAAGCTCTGGGACGGTCACAGCGCGGAACGAGTACGAGCCACGGCTGGTCAGGGGGGCAAAGCCGACCATGAAGAAGTGCAGACGGGGGAAGGGCACCATGTTCACGGCGAGCTTGCGCAGGTCAGAGTTCAGCTGGCCAGGGAAACGCAGGCAGGTGGTGACACCAGACATGACGGCGGAGACCAGGTGGTTCAGGTCGCCGTACGAGGGGTTGGGCAGCTTCAGGGTGCGCATGCAGATGTCGTACAAAGCCTCGTTGTCAATGCAGAAGGTCTCATCCGAGTTCTCGACCAGCTGGTGGACCGAGAGGGTGGCGTTGTAGGGCTCGACGACGGTGTCAGACACCTTGGGCGAGGGGACAACAGAGAAGGTGGCCATCATGCGGTCGGGGAACTCCTCACGAATCTTGGAGATCAGGAGGGTACCCATACCGGCACCAGTACCGCCACCCAGAGAGTGGGTGATCTGGAAGCCCTGCAGGCAGTCGCAGCTCTCGGCCTCGCGGCGGACGACGTCGAGGACCTGGTCGACAAGCTCAGCACCCTCAGTGTAGTGACCCTTGGCCCAGTTGTTGCCGGCACCCGACTGGCCGAAGACGAAGTTGTCGGGACGGAACAGCTGACCGAAAGGACCGGCACGGACGGCATCCATGGTACCGGGCTCGAGATCGACCAGGACGGCACGGGGGACGTACTTGTTGCCAGAGGCCTATCAAAATGGTTAGACTAGGGCCAAAGCAAAGCCGATCGGGAAACCAAAAACAAACCTCGTTGAAGTAGACGCTCAGACGCTCCAGCTGGAGGTCCGAGGTGCCGTTGTAGACACCATTGTTGTCGAGGCCGTGCTCGCCGGAAATCTGCTGCCTGTACCTTTGTTAACACGATTTGCGCCCAACCGAAGGATTCAAAGGCTCGTTGTACATACCAGAAGGCGGCACCAATTTGGTTACCCTATAGAAGAAATCAGTCAGTAAAAACAAAGTCTCGCCGTTTCCTGTCGTCAAGGGATCACTTCGAGATTTCGGTAACTCGTTGTCTCCGGAACGTGAGAGGGGGTTGGACGCAGAACATACGCATTGGCCGGTCTGGAGGTGAACCTGTTGATGAGAAAAAGGAGGTTAGCAGTTGCTCAAAAATTATATTAGTGTCGTAGCTCTGCGAATGCATGGAGAGAAAGCCTGCAGCAAATACGTGCGAGGTCTCATTGCTACGCTCTCTGCATTTTTGGTGGCCGGTGGATGTGCAATGTGTGGTAGGTAGAGTCGGTGAGTGAGGGAGAGGGGCCACACTGGCTGCAAGAAGGGAGTAGGCAGCCGTCGAAGGCATGCATAGTAAAGCGGACGGCACCACCGGCTGAAGCAAGCAAATGCCCCAATTCACGCCCATCTCGCGATGTGAAGCTGTCTCCGACATGGAGATACCAAGCAGTCGACACCAGGAACGAGTAGGATCAGGGTCCCGGCCGGCCTTCTCGTGGCGAGCAAAGAGACGGTGAGAGGAAATAGGGGCAGGGGGGAGGGCAGAGAGACGCGAGAGATGGAGAGCAGAGGACTGGAACGTTCAGGGGAGAAAGACTCACAATCTCGCGCATGGTGACGGTTGTATCGTTGGATGTATGTTGGAAGACAAAGGTATCTGGGGGTTGAATCGGTAGTGAAGAAGAGAGAGTTGTGATATTTTTTGTTTGGAAAGAAAAAGAAAGCCAACAGGGTCGGAACACGATATGGGCAGTTTTGGCGGGTGGGGAAAACAGGAGGAAGGTGCGAGTGTGGGAAATGAGCACGGTCCAGAAAAAATAATACGGGAGGGGGGAGGGGTGGGAAAGAACGGGGGGGGAATACAGAAGTACAGTGGTTGCCTTCACCTGTTACAGCAGCCCCTCTCTGCGTGCTCGACAGATTTTGGTGAGATACATTGCCTTGGGTGGCGCGAGCGTGGAGGGAAAGACCAATGCACAAAGACGATGCACCGCAGGGGAAGGTGCCAAAAAGGGGCTCGGAGGCCAATAACGGCCCAGGAACGGCTGTTGGTTTGTTGATCTCGGGCAAGTGCCCACCCCTCCTTTCTCTCGTTCTTGCCTATGTTCGCCGCCAAAAGTACTCACCGCTAGAGAACGCGCGCCGACTGTTGTTTCCAAGGGGAAAGAGCAACTGCTGGTCTCTTGGCCTCAGGCACAGCTGCGTCCCAAGCGCGCCATGAACGGCTAGCGCGTCTTTCTTTCGGTCCTCATTTCCCTGTATGTCGTACTCCGTAGGTTGTTTACTCCCCCGTCGCGTCTCACTTCGTCCCCTGGCCCGTGCCCCCAGCTGCATTCCTGTTGCAGACTAGCGCGGGGCAACCGTGTCTAACGGCATATCTCTTACACGAATAATCTGTGTGCTGGACGGCAATTCATCCAGGCCGTCGGGTCTTCTTGATGTGAGAGCGCCAACATGCAGCTCATTGTGCTTTATCTGCTGCCTGCACAGCTGCATTCCGGAGAGGGAATCCTACATATGATGCTATCCTTCCGGTTAGAAAGGTGTGTTGTGTTGCCCATGTTCTACATAGGCAGCAGGAATACCCAAGTAGCTGGACAGAAAACAATTACCCAAGGAAATGTCGTGTAAAGATCATTAGGCGCAGTGTTCCTTAAAACATAATGTCATTAATTCTATAGATGCTTGCTGTTCCTGTGAGGATGAGACGAGCCTAGCCAGCTGGCCACCGCCGATGTGAGCATCCATGAGTCGCAATGTGCGGTTGTTTTGTATGTGAGTATGCGTGCGTCCTTCTACCTGGTTTTCAACCCAGACATATCCCCAACGGGAAAAATAATAAAGTCGAAATAAACGAGAACAAAAAATCATCATGAAGCTCTGTCGGCCCCAGAGTCGATACCATGCCCACCAGCCTCTTGCAATGTTCGTTATTTTTCGTCAGAGTTTTGGCCATCCGAAAAGAAATAAATGTGTTTGTTTTGTCCAAGGTCCGTTCCAATTTTTGTGTCCCCTTCCTATGGTGTCCCCCCCCCCCCCAAAAAAAAACGCAACCGAAAGCAAATCATACGGGATCAAAACCAAGAACAGAGGGCAGACCGGGAAACAAAACGCGGAAAAACGTACAGTGCATGACCACATCTTGTAGCCATGCCTCTCCTCTATGCAGTCCATGACAAATAAAATAAGAAACATATGAAATAGACAGAAAGGGAACAGAAAAGGAACAATGCAGTAAATAATGAGTCAACGTCGGCCGGGTAGTAATCGACATCAGTGTGTATTCGTACAAGACAGGTAATGTGGTAACGACGCCATGCTAGTAATAGGAGTAGAGACAAGTGAACAAGAAAAGGTACTCTGGTGTGATTTGATCAGTTCACCGTCATCATTTGCAGCCTCTGGCTGACTCGCGCCGTGGAAGGTGATTCCAAAGCCGGCGAGGCACGAGCAACCGAGTTACCACTGTGGCTCTTGGGTAGTCGCTTTGAGGGGCTCGATGGGTCGGTGAACACACGCGTGAAAGCGGGGCTACCGTCCTCACAGCGATTGAGGCGGTCATGTCGTGGTGTCACGGCCGGACTCTGCGTGAACAGCTCGGCGCGGCGGACGAGATCAGAGAGTGTGTGGAAGAGGGTGTTAGCGCGCTTCACAAGCTCCTGGAGCGTATTCGTGTTAAAAAACAGCTCCGATGTTGACGTCTGCTTGACAGGCGACTTTCGAATCGGCGCCGAGGCGGACCGCTGCTGCTCCATTGCTGCCATGATGGACTCAATCATAGCACTGTCGGGCGTCTCCGCGGTCGTTGTGAACCGGTTGGGCGTCTGCGGTCGCCGCGCCTCCTTCTCGACTTGCCTCGCAGGGGACTTGTCATCAGCCACTGGCCAGCCGCCACCAAAGATGTCGTCTTCGGGGGAAAACACCGACCGGCGGCGAGTGTTGTGTCGCTCCCTAACAACAGCAGTCCTGCTCATGTCGGGTCGGGGTGGCGTGCTTGGCGCCTGCACAAATTCAGACGTGTCGAAGGGATCCTCGAAGCTGCCGCGATTCTGGGCGTCGAACTTCGCTTCCAAAATCCCATCTTCAACATCGGACGCATCGAATTCGATTGAGGCTCTTGGAATATCGCTGTCGTTCTCTACTGCTGCGACTGCTGTTTCCGCTCTCTCGGTAGGTGAGCCACTAGAGTCTCCTGCAACCGGTTTCGCCTTAGGTGCTGCAGCCTCAGAAAGGTCTTCGTCAGGCGAGGCCAGCGCAATGATATTTGCGGCCTCTTTCCACAACGCTGGCGATTCGTCAACAATGTCCAGGTCCCGAGCATGACGACAAAGGCGCTTTAGCCCGTTCACCAGGAGCGACAGCTCGCGGATCTGGCCCGAATGGGCCTTCACAGTGGGCTGTGTGGCCTGGATCGATGCCGGGACAATCATGGCAAACGAGCCAGGTCCTTTGCTTGAGCGCAGCGTCGAGGAGCGGCCAAACGCATCCTCTTCGTCGGTGTCGAAGCAGTCGGCAGCGTTTTCATCATCATCGTCATCGCCGTGATTGGTGCCAAAATCAAAGTCGTCGTCCCAGTCCTCACTTGCGTTCTTCGGTCCAGAAGAGGCCCATGTTCCGAACTTGGATGTAGACGGCTTGGTGCCTTCGGTTGCAGGGTCAGCGTTCACTGGTACGCTCTGGCTTCTGACGTGAGCGACTGCTGGGCCCTTCCGGTTCACAGCCCGTCCGTTCCTAAGGTCCAGTTCCTGTTTGCCGTGCACAGTCTTGGGCCGCGGTGAATGTCCATCGCTGTCAATCTTGTCGAGGTGTACGGTCGACTCGCTCCAGTCAAACAGGTTGCTCCGAGGCCGCTCTCGACTACCGCCCGTCATGAAGCGATCGTACTGTTCGGACGATAGGTCCAGTCCACCGTTTCCACTGATTAGTCCAAGAGCAGGGCGCTGATGGTGAGAAGATGGGAAACCAGTGCTGTTGTTTCGGAACAGGCCGTTCATCTCGTGGAACGAGTTGTGGGCGGATCTAGACGGTGGGGACAGGTGATTTGTAACACCACTATCATCCACACGCGCCCAGTCCTCATCATCGTCATCATCAAGGGATGGCCGACTATAATCAACTTCGTTTGCATGCGACGTACCGCTAGCCGTCGGCGCGAGGACGCTGTATATTTCGGTTTCGGGCCGATTATCGTGGCTGTTAGCAGGCATATAGTCCTCGTCAAAGTGACGCATGACCGATGAGGGAGATGGAGACCGCTCCGCTCTTGTAGGAAGATTCCGAATAGGGGTCGAGAAACCCTCGTCTTCTTCCTCCATGATCCGCGTGTCACTGTCCCAAGCTTGGCCCAAAATTTCTTGTATCGAGAGACGCTTCGCTTTGCCGTTGCCTGCTGTGCTGGGTGGGGATTCGTCAAACATTGACTCGATCGGGGTGTCGGTGGAACGGACACGTGCAGAGGCCGCGGTACGGATCGAGTCGAAGATGGTATCGCTCTTAAAGTCGGTATCGTCATCATCGCCGGACGAAGCAAATCCGCGTTGTTCCAAATCCGAGCCGACTAAAGCGAACGACCGCTCGTCAGATACATCCCGGTGGCGCGGCACAAGTGGGAAGGACCGCGGCAGAGTTGCAAAGCCTGAGGGACCAGATGTATGGTTCTCCTTGTATGACGCCGAGCTACCGGTAATGGCAGCCGCTAATTGTCCTGATGCGCTTGAAGAAGCTCCCAGCCGAGTCAAATCAATATTAAAACTGGAGAGGCGCGACAGTGGAGGTAGAGGTGAGGATGAGTTACGTTGACGCTTCGGAATAGCTCTGGCATCCACGTACGATGGTGGCACGGGACTGTCTCTGCCGACCATCACCTGTTCCCGCTCGTGGGCATCACCAGGACCGTGGGGCAGCTGGGTGAGCCCCTCCAGCGGTTTACGGAGGTGCAAGTCGGCCGGTGTTGTCGCACTACGGGTCTGGAATTGCTGATAATGTGCGTGTGCTGATGAGGGCCGGGACCCAGACCCAGATGAAGGAGCAGAGACATGACGTCTCCCATTAGACAGACTACCTGCAGCAGCGGCAGCAGCAAGCTGTCTATTGATGCGGAGACTGCCTGTGGCACTTGCGTTTGGCGGATATTCGGTGCCGCGTTTCGAACGACGAATGCTACCAGTCTTTGACATCCAACTTGTGGGTGAGCTGAAGTTCATTGAGATTGAACGCCTAGCTCGCTTTGATGGTGTGTCCTGGGGAGAGGAGTTTGAGCCATGAGGAGAGACAGTCATATCGTCTGTATTCCCCTCGGGCGTCTTTCCAACGGTTTTGATAGCCACAGGCGACTGAAAAGGAGAGGCGAGCGTCGCAGTGGCACGTGGTGCGGGAGGAGACGGCGTTGAGGCAGGTTCTTGAGCAGACAGCGCTGAAGCCTGTGTAAGATAAATTCTGGATTGTTTCCCGTGTCGAACCTGTAATGTTCGTGACGGAAGGCTGTAGTGAGTACCGCCAGGACTACTCTCACCGGAGAAAGGCGAACTACCACGAGCGGGTACTGTCGATTTTGTTAACCGTCCATGGAAAAACGACGTCCACTTCGCTTGCAGAGAGCTCATCTGGTTGTGCTGCGGTAGCCGGGGCTCTACGTGAGCATGAGCACTCTCTTCCTGTCTGCCGTCGGTTTCTGCTCCATCGTTTGGGTCAACGGGGGCCTCGGGGCTATCAGCTCCCAGACGGAAGATGGCCAGGCTTGGGCGGGTCCGTTGGTCGAAAGAAAATTTTGGGTCTACTGGATTTGACGCCGCAGGTGCCGGTTCGTCCGGATAGGTTACTTGGTGTAAAGTAGCAGATCGTTGGTGACTTGTTGCAGGGCGGCGTAGTGAAGGCATCTGAGAACGAGAGCCACGCCTGGAGAGGCTGGCGGGAGCGGCGTCCTGGCCGGCGGTTGCGCGTTTTACCAGTTTGTTCCTTGACTGTTGCTGTTGTGGGTGTGCTGAGGATTGTTGTGAATGAATGGGGGCTGCGGAACCAAGAGAAAAATTAACGGAGAGGGAGTCGGGTCCCACACTGGATCGTGGACTTCCGTGTTGAGAAAGAGGTCGTATGGATAGACGCCTAATCCAGGACCCGTTTGAAGAAATCGAGTCTCGCGAGACCTCGGAAATTGGAGGTGGAATCCAGTCACCTCTGTGAACGAGAGAATGGCGGCGGTTCCAACCGCTCTGGGACGAGGATGCGGTTGAACGTGGGAGGGTGGCCGTGGAAGAAGGAGCGACGGATACTTCTGATGGAGCTATCTGTGACGGACGCGTCGAGATAGAAGAACTGGTGTTACTGCTGCCATTGCTAACGTTGCGAACCCGATCGTCAGCAGCCACTGCCGCAGAAGGTGCCGAGGCAAAACTAGCTGACTTTGCCATGGGCCGAGATGTCGCGGGTCGAGTGGCAGAAGGAGGAGTGGCGGAAGAGGAGGAGGAATGGTCTCGGTCGAGAGTGTTGAAGTTTGGTCGAGCAGACATCGGTCGATAGAAATCTGGCTCATTGGCTGGCTGTGCAAAAACAAGTCCAGTGGCAGCGGCCGCGACCGCGGTGCCGGTTCCCACGAGCTGGGCGAGGTTAGCTTCAAAATGTGACTATATAATAAAAGTATAAACAAAGGCAGCATGCGTGTCCCATTACAAAATGGGATTATGAATTTTGCTGCACCATTCAGTCTCGTTGATGAAATGATGCCGGCATGGGGAAGCCCGCCCGGTATCTCGAGATGGCGCATCTTCTGGGATATGGAAGCAGAGGCCACATCTAAGCCAGCCAAAACCCAGTTCGACAGATATCCAGATACGTTTTTCTCGTGGCAAAGCAGTTGCCGCAAACACTTACACTTGGCACTGCCTGCATCTTGACAGCTCCCCGCGACTACGTGCACGAGGAAGACCGGCGGACGCAACGGCCCTGTAAGGCGGTGCTCGGAAAGAGGAGGTAAACACTCGTTTGTGAGATCGTCGTTTGCATCGTCATGACATTGCGAGTTCGTAACAAGAAGGAAAGGAGAAACGAGGAATCAGCCGGGTCGTTAAGCGTCGTAGATCGTATCGTAGTCGTCGGCCTTCGCGTTGGAAGAGGTCGACGCCAGTCAAGAACGCGGATAGAAAAAGAAGGGACGTGTACAAAGACGAAAAGTCGAGAGGTAGAAAGAAGAAAAAAACGCCAACGCAGGTCGTCGGCCACTCGCGTGTGTTTCTCGGCCAGGTTCCAAGACCAGTGGAGGCTACGAGCACAATGTCGACTGGCCAAAATAGTCAGTGGAAAGCTACCACCATCAATCAAGAACAAACGACAACGGGATAGGAGAAGGGAAAAGACGGAAAAGAGGAGAAAAGAAATGCAGAAACGTGGAGACGACGACACAGAACGCAAGGAGCAGGACGAGAGGGAAAAAAACTGGATGCAGAGGGACGGACGGACTGGACTTGGCCGGGCCAGAAACGAGAAACGCGCCTGTCTCCTTCTGGGGCACAGGGAACTGGCGAGAGATTGACACGAGACCGAGCAATACCATTCCAGCGCGGGTCAGTCGTGGATGGAATTTGGGGTTTGTGCTTACAGCTAGTGAGTTTTGGCTTGGTCCTAAGCAATGTCGACAGGCCTCGCTGTGACCAAGGAACAGCAATCTCCTTTGTTAGAAGCAGGAAAGAAGAATGAAAGGAGACCAATGCGTTGCAAACGACGTTGTGGAAAGCCCTCGGTCCTTCCCTGCTTGGTCTCCTTCGGAGGGACGGGGTCGTTTCGGCAACGCGTTGGCGTTGTGTCCCAGGGCCAGCAATTGGGCAAGGGCAAAAGCGCGATGTCTGTTTCGGTGGGCGCGACGGGCTTTGAATTTTTGGCGAAAGGTGGACTGGGGTGGGTTGGAAGCAAGAGGGCGTGTGTGTGAGTGGACAGGGCCCGACAGGGTGTGGGCGGGAGGGTGTGTGAGGAACGGAGATGGCGAAAGACTGGCGGGATTGTTGACATTAAATTGGCATTTAGTGCAGAGCTGGTGCTGTTGTTGTTGCTGCCGCAAGTGCCAGACTAAGGTGAGGAGCTGCGTCGAAAGGCGAGACTGTGGGACTGCACAAGCTTCTCAGGACGAGAGAAGAAAGAGGAGTGACAAACACGAAGCAAAGAGAGCAAAGACACAGAAGGAAACCAATGTCACCAAATGGGCTGCAGAGGAAAGGAGAAGCGAAGGAACGTGGGGTGCCGGAAGCAAATAAATAATATAGAAAAAGAAACTTCCACGGTGTGTTTGAGAAGGGGGCATGAGCCACTGACGAGCGCTGCTGACACCGTGGGCGGAGAGAAAGGAATTGATTGCGGGAGAAGACAGGGTGAAAGGAGAAGCGATGAGGGCGAGGAAGTGCAACGAGGGACAGACAAGATGGGATGAGGTGGACAGGCCGATGTGTATCCTGAACAAGAAGGAGCCGCCAGGTCCTGGAGGTCCTTCTGTACGCTCGAGACGTGCCTCCCCTTGCTGTCAGTCGCTCCTTCCATTTGGTGCGCCATGGCGGTCGTGATGTAAGATACAGAGGTAGGCGCGCATGACCAGAACTGGACAGCGCCTTCCTAGGCAGTCGTCTGCAGCCTCGAATGGCAGGAGCTCACCTTCTACAACCCAATCCCATTCGCATGCAAGAAGATCTCCTTTTCGGCATTTTTCTGGGCTTCATTTAATCCTCTATTTGAATTGACGGTCACCTTTCTCCCTTGCTGTTCAATTCCTCTCCTCTCCCTTGTCGTGCAGCCGTTCATTTCAGAAGGCAGCACAGCGGGCCCTGCCTGCGACCTGCAGCCCGCATCCTACATGCTGCAGCCTCTCATATATTTTCTCGCCTTTTTTTTATGCGTCAACATCTTGAGTCGCAACACAGCAAGCGGAGCTTTGACAGAGCGCTGGTAGCACTGCGGGCCAGTGAAAAGGCGTCCACCATGGCAAACAAATGTCCCACTGACACGCTGATGTCGCAGGTCACCCACTCAAGACAGGCCGGCTGATTCTAGGCGCGTCCACCCCAGCGTTGTCCAGTGCAGACCAATCCTTTTTGTGTATCAAATTGCGGCGAGTGGGCTCCCATTTCCTTCTGCAGATCGATCTTCAAGGGGATCGGGAAGACCAAGCCAGACAGAGCGGGCCCTGATACGGGTCTCGCAGGCACAACGAAACTACTCTACCCTCCAGTCCTACACTAGAAGGGCGGTTGAGCACTCCATGCTTCTTTGCTATCCGTCATTTCATTTCTGCATGACCTAATTATTGTATGCACATGCATGTCGCCCCGTATCAGGGCGTTCTATGTCAATTTTTTTTAAAGTTGTCGAAATTGGCGGCAGGCTGACAAGAGCGAATAGGAATGAAAGCAAAAATGAAAACCGCAGACAAGAAGAAGAAGAGAAAACACAAATGGAGAATCGGGAACGCAACTTCAAAATTAGTGCATACACGAGCAGTCTGGTCCCGGCACCAGTCCCTGCAATTTATGTCAGGCAAAGCAATGGCAACGCCGGCTCGTGGATCAGAAGTGTTTGCGACATAGGCCTCACCGGCTTGCATGGGGTCTAGACACGAGGAATGGTGTGCCAAATGTCACAACTGTCTGACGTCTGGGATACAGAAATAGGCAACGGCGTACCTTCGACGCAGCGCATTGAATGCAATATATCACAGGCGGGCACTCTGTTCAGCAGCAGGACCTGCAATGGCCTGCCGCGTTTCGAGATAAACACCTCTGCTATTATTTTCGTCGAGGTTTTACTTCATACTCTACTCGTCTAGTTCACCTTTGTCCTCGAGACAACACGGATAACAACAACAGGAACAGGAACAGGAACAGGAACA